GTCTCCTCCAAAAGGGGACCTCCGGCTTTCGACCCTGCCGGCCCTCGCTTCGGAGTGGCGAATCGCGGCGGCCCCTCCCGCCGGGCACATCCTGCGCCCCCGGTCGAACAAAGTGCGCATGGCTCGGATTTGGCATGTGTCCAGACGAGCCAGCCAATGGCTGGGACGTGCGCAAGACTTTCTAGTGCCCGGGATAAGGAGATATGCGACCTTGTCTTTGACGGGCTGAGCATATCACTGCCGAGCCTAAGAGGTTGCAAGTCATTGTTCTTTGCCACGCGGACTATAGCCACGAACATAGTGATCGACACGTCATGCTAGTTCAAGCACAATTTTGGAGCGGGTGACTCGATAGGCTCCCATCAGCCTTCCCCCTTTGGGGAAAACTCGTGAACTTCGAATCGTCAATGGCTGGCCTTTGTGAGACCGGCTGCCCCGTAACCATGCTGGCTCCCGCCGCCGTGGGACAGGTTTGCCTGTCATACGAGCTGGGGGTTCGCTTCCGCATTGCGTTGCAGCAAAACACACTATCCACGAGTCACGACACCACCGTGCCTCGGCACCGTCAGGGGGGCTCAAGAGCCTCCTACTCGAGCTTCATCGAAACTCAGCTCAACCCCCACTTTCCAGCCTCTTCCCTCACCTCGCTGCAAGGGACCTGATGACCAAGCGCAGGCTGGGATGACGGCGCAACTACAACTCGCCCGAAGCTCGCTTTCTCCCTCCCTGCGGCCCTAGCGCTGATGGGCAGCCGTGCGTGCAGTCGTGGGCAGAGTGATGTTCACGGACGGCGTGGTGGCGATTCCGAAAAGGGTTCGTTCATGATAAATGGCCAGGTTAATGGTCCGTTTATACGGATACTACGGGACGGGATGTGACCGAGTACACCGACATATGTCGTCCAGGCCTCGCGGACGCGCTGGGAGAAGCAGATAACCCCCCGCACCAACCGTCTTTCCCGGAGTTCGATTCCCATATGCATGCGGCTACAAACACTGCATGTTCCCATTGCGAGACTGCGGAGACTTGAGAATCGGAGACTCGGCAGGCACAGCCTGTCGACTTTGTCGAGCTGTTGCCTTCGAGCATCTCAATAACCGCCCGTCTTGGAGGGCCGCCATGTCAGTACGAGCCTTAGGCGACATAAGTCGTAGCAGAGAGGTACGGTAGGGCTTGTCTTCATCCGCTATACCACATGGTCCTTTCGTGGTCTCACCTCATGTGGTAGCGAGCCGCGGCCAAATGGGCCCAGGGATCGATCGTGGATTGAGACTTGATGCGGCAGATCTTTAGGACCCAGCTGCTCTCCATCGCCATTGGGAAACAATCGGACGGGGAAGGCTACCGTCCCTGTCTTAACTGAAGACATCTCAAAGCCGCAGTCCTGCTTTGCCATCACCGCGCAGTGGACGTCAATGGATTGGGGCCCTACATACAAACCTCGCTGTACGTAGAGGTGAATAATGAAAAGTGTTCCTATGCGCTCTTCCCAGACCGAAGCATCGTGGGATACATATAAGCAGATGCAAGAAATAACCTCTCTTCCCGCGTAGGGCCCATAGACGTAGTTCCTCCCATCATGGCGTGTAGGCTTGCTAGAAACACAGAATACACAGGACTCGAGGAGCATGTGCCTTCCCGTAAATCCAGTGCAAGTTCTATGTATCCCGCAAAAAGGACTCCTGTCCAGTGACGTTCAACATCTGGCATTTCCCGCGGCATGCGTCATGTAATAACGGACCATTTGCATGGCATACACATTGCAGGCACTGGCATCATGGCATGCGCAGAGTGGAGCTGGCAAAGGTCCACCCTCAGAAGATAGCAAAAGTAAGGATTCAGCTGGGTCACCACAGACCAGTCGCCGTTATGCTGCATAAGACAGACGGAAGCAGATCTTTTTTGGAGGTAAACGACGCATATGCAAACGTCCACAAGAGACCCGGCGCCAGACTCCAGTCGCCTTCTATTCCTGAACTGGCAAATAAGCCCACATGTTTTCTGCTCCAACGCCATCCTGTTGCCTGCACGCTGACAGAGCCAGCGGGTATCAGGACGAAAAGCCCCCAGAGCCAAAGATCGGCTTTAAGCCGACGACATCGGTCATCACCGGCAGCACCAACACCGTTTTCTGCATTTTCCGCGGTAGTTTGATTGCTCCTCACAAGCCCCCGAAAAGCATCATGCTGTTTGAAGCTGTGGGTAAGCGACCAGAGCCGTCAGAAGAGACAAAGAGGTGGAAAGTAATGATTCGTAAGCTCGTAACCATGAATGGTAGTGAACGTCTTCGAAGGGCGAAGGGGGATGCAAGGTGAAAAAGGCGCAAATGCTGTGACAAAGTCGAGAGGGGAACAAAACAAGAGAAATAAAGTCTACGAAGAAAAGGTCTACCGAAGCACACAGGCTTCGGAGAAAGGCGTGGAGGATTCGGGGAAGGGAGGCCACTCGCGGGGCCTGGAGTCGGCGGCGGGAAATGGTTAGAGGGTGTAAAGCATGTTGCGATGAGAGAAGAGAGATGATGAGCAGCTCATATCTGGCCTTTGATGTCAACCTTGCGGAAAGCCTCGGATCTCGCAGATTCGAACAGCGCCCCGGCTTTGCCGGTCAAGAGAGCAATGTACTCTTGTCGTTCTTCGAGTAGATGCTGACCGTTGTAATCAACAATGAACTGAGCCGCATCAACGTCGGACTCGAAGCCGAGTTCCTCTGTGATGAACCGTAACTTTACGTCTGGCTTGTACCTATAGGGAAGAAGGTTAGCGATCGCTGGCTGACTGTTGGTGAGCTTGGGGGTACGTACGCTTTGCAAATATTGCACAAGGCAGCAAGACGCTCACGAACGACGAACATGTCCATGAGGTATGCCCCCATATTGGGAGTGTCGAGGTAAAGCTGGAAGAACTTATGGTAGTTTCCCAAGGCAAGAGCGGAACGCACCGCAAGCGCGTGCTTGATGGGTCGCTCCTCCTTTTCTGCTGCGGTTAGATCTGCCAAGGCATCATTGAGGCCTGTACGGTTGGCGGTATGGATAAAATACAAAATGCGATAGGCCTTGAACTCGATGGGGTTCCCTTTCAGTCCCTTTGCGTACAGAGTACGCAGCTGGGTTTGGCACTGATTATACTCACCAAGGTCCCCCTTCTCTAAGGCGATGCGAGCGTGGAGCTCGTACACGGACACTGTGAAGTCGTTCTTGATGCGTTGGACTGTCAGGTCTTGACGCATGGATTTCAGCTGATCGCAGATGTAAGAGTAATTGCCCTCCTTCTTCCACTTCTTCTTGAGTAGATCCATCGTCTTATGGAGGACGCGCTCCGGACGGACCTGGGAAGGAACGGGGGGAGCGGTCAAACGCAAGTAGCGCTTCTCCAGTGTCTCGCTGGTGCCGACGACAGGGCCATCAGAGGGCGGAGGGCTGGGCGAGCGGTATGACGACTTGTAGCCGCCATCGAAGCGGCGTTGACGCTTCTCCAACTGCTTCTGGAACTTACTTGACTTTGGCAGAGGCTCGTCGAGGCTAGCGCGTTTATCGGGCGAGGCGAAGGTGATACGGTCTTCCAGAGCGTTGGATCGGTTGTTGTTAGTAGTTCGCCAAGGCACAGTAGAAGACTTCTCATCCGGGGTAAAATCAGACGACTTCCGCTTCTTGGGGTTGGCCGATGGGGTGTTGTCATATCGCGATACAAAGGGAGACGCAACATGCATGGATGAGTTGAACTGGGACTGGCGCTCGTTTTTGATCAAAGCGGCAGGGAAGGGCATTTTCTCCCAATCGGTGGACTCGAGAGTGCCGTTCTCCATGTGTTGCGAAATGGTGTCCTTCAACTTGGCTTCAATATCGGGGCGAGACACGGACGGATCCATATTGCTAGGCAGAAAGGACTTTTGGACATATTCTCGGACGGAGGGAGGCCATTCGACCTTACGTGTGGGCGGCACAGGAGGCGCCGAAGCGTTCTGGTCTAAGGGAGCAGCGACCATAGGCGACGGCGCCGCTGTGTAGGCAGGTGCGGGTGGGGGAGGATACTGGCCGAAACTTTGTCGAGCCTGAACTGCGGTATATGCTGGATCTGAAGGACATGGGTCAGCAACCTTGCCGGAGACAGCGTGAGGCTGCCGGGAGAACTTACTGGGGGGGTAAGCATAGTTGGCAGGAGGAGCGCCGTAGGCGATGCCTGGCGGTGGCGCTGGGGGCCAGCTGGTGGGCATCATGGTGACAAGTCGGTGACGGGCTCAACGGTGATTCTGAATCGGGGATTAGTTTGAAAGGGTTACAGGATATATCTATTAACCGGTTGGTTGGTAGATGGCTGCCTGTGGATGTCGGTGTCGGTGGCAGTGTTATGGAGGTTGCAGGTGATGGAGGGAAAAGACGGAAGGGTTGAAGTGAGGTTGGGGAGAATCCGTGAAAGGCGGTGGAATCCATGGTGGCCCGTGTGCGGTATTTGAGGGCAAAATTGCGGAGATGTGCCCCAAAGGGTGCCCTCGTGGCCCGCAGCCTGTCACCACTACCTATCTAAGGTACGTACCTAGGCATCTTATGAAGGTAGACACACAACCGTGCTTGACCAAGGGGCGCTAACGCTAAATCGGGGCTATCGCTGCAGTGGGTCGACGGCATCCCACTTTGGGCTGGGCTGGCTTCCCGTGGGGCAGGCTGCCGTGTCGGCAGTGAGATAACGCCATTCGTCAGGTTTAGCTGGCTTCAAGAACACTCCCTTCGTGCTTCAGGAACGCTCGTGTGTTATCCAAATTTCTCTTTGCTTCTCTCCGCGTCTTCCTGTGCTGGAGAAACCATCTGTGTTTACAAAAAATGCGCGATCACTGAATCAGCTGCGAACTCGGCTTGCAACCCTCAATCCCGCCCGGGACCGTCACTCGACATATGCGACGACTCGCAGCCACCAACTCACCCCCTCAATCAATTCAGAACCGCCAACTCACGTCCTGTGCAAGCGAACTTCGACACCCCTGGGAGCACTTCTGAACAGATATGACGGATGTTTTTAAAACACATCGACCTCACGACCGCTCTCCGGCCTTCCTACTTACCGGATGAAGTATTGTTGTTCGTTCAGGACAATGTTGGGCTTTATGAGGGGTAAGGATAACGATCCTGGACCTGTCTTGGGTTTCTGTGGCAGCTAGCTGATACGAGGCGTTGCTCTTCAGAAAGTTCAAGCTCCCTCAACAACAAAATGGTCAGGTCTACCTGACCTCTCACCGAATTTGTTACGTCGATAAGGACGAGCCGCGTAAGCACTCTGTCGCCCTAGATCTCAAAGATATCGATCGGTACGAATTCTACTCCGGGTTCCTCAAGTCTTCTGCGAAGATCACCCTGATACCTAAACCGCTGAAGCGCTCGTCGCTACAGACAAGAGCGTCCGCGATATCATCTCCCGGGAGACCTGGCGCTGGGTCTCCAGCTCGATCCGACAGCCCTTATCGACCGCCTCCCGAACCGGCGAGCGCTGCCACCTGGGTCTGCACCATTTGCAGCTTTTCCAACCCAGTACCGTCCAACTTTGACCCGACGACGGCCAACATCCATACTCCTTTACCGCCATGCCTTGCTTGTGGCATCAAACCGACGTTAGCCCACGTGCTAAAGGCCTCCATCTCCAACGCGACCAGTCGTACCCCGGTGGCCCCGTCGAGCCCCACAGTCAGCTCTCTGACGACGCACCCGCGATCTACGTCGACTAGACCAGATGACACAGGGTCCCTGCCCCCGTGGCCCGCCGCTTCGAACATCAACGGCGGCCCGCAGAAGCCTGCTGATCCGAGCGCGACCTTCCAGTGCCCCCGATGCACGTTTTTGAACCATCCCTCTCTGCTTTCATGCGAGATGTGCGGGGCGTCTCTGATATCGCAAGACCTCTCCCAAACAAAACCGCACGAGCAGGCGCAACGAACAGAGTCGCCAGGGCCGGTCTCGAACTCGCTCGCGCCGGGCCAGGATACTGCCGAGAACATAAAGATTTCCTTCCGCGGCGGCGGGGAAAAGATATTCTACGAGCGACTGAAAGGGGCCTTGACTCAGAGGAAGTGGCTGCTGCAGGGGGCGCCGCCCGTCCCCAAGAGCAACCGGACGATTGACGACAATGGTGCCATAGTACGGACGCCCTCGACCGCTCCCGAGCGTCCCAAGGGTGTTGGTATCGCCGGGTTGGAGCAGCGCGGGCTTGACATGCGCAAGAATAATGAGGTGATGATCGGCAGCGCTTTTGAGGACCTGGACGCCCTCATGGCGTCGGCGAAGGAGATCGTGGCCCTTGCCGAGCGTTTCGCAAGACAGAACGGCGGAAGCGGCGCCGAGGCCAACGCACTCTTGGCCGAGTCGGCAAGCCAGCTCGGGCTTGTGACCACCAAGGACATTGTTGGCGGCAGCAGCTCCGAGAGCTTGTACCTGTCTGAACTGTCAAGGAACCTGGCAGAGTTTCTCACGGACGATGCTCGTGGCGTCCTGAAGAAGGCCGGCGGAATCATTAACCTGGTCGACCTGTGGGCCATGTTCAACCGTGCCCGGGGCGGCGTCGAGCTCGTAAGCCCCATGGATTTTGAGAAGGCTGCGCAGATGTGGGAGAGGCTCAAGCTCCCCGTCCGGCTGCGCAAATTCAAGAGCGGCGTGCTGGTCGTCCAGAGCAGCGAGCGCACCGACGAGACGACGATCAAGGCACTGGTCTCCTGGCTGGACGACCTGCACGAGTTCCCGCCAGAGAAGGAGCTGGCGTGGGACTGGCGACAGTTTGGCCGCGGCGTGACGGCGCGGGACGCGGCTGAGCGGTTCGGCTGGAGTATCGGCGTGGCCGAGGAGGAGCTGGAGATGGCGGAGGAGAGGGGGGTGCTCTGTCGCGAGGACGGCATCGAGGGCCTCAAGTTCTGGAAGAACTACATTGACACGGGGGACACGAACCACCGCAGGCGCAGGAAGCATCGCGAAGAGGACGAGGTGATCAGGGCGCTACGGGAGAGCGGGCTGATGTGAGGATTAACGCCGAAAACTTGGATATCTATCTCATTGCCCTTTGCTGGTGTGACTGCAGACATTAAGCGCATTACTATTCTACAAGTGTGTGTGTATCTGTGTGTGTGTGCTTCTTGTGTGTGATGCCCCGAATATCGGATCGCGGTACATCGTCTATAGAAGATTGCCCAGTTCTTTAACCCGGCGGCTGGGTCGTGACCGCCTCCCAGGTACCACTCTACTGAATGCCCTCCCCATTTGAGAAGGGGGAACCAACAAACCAAAACAAACCAAAGCCCAGAAACGCCGCCCATATGAACCGATGCCGGAAAGGATTGTACCAGTGAAAAAAGGGGGTGGGGGGTGGGGGAGAAGGCACAATTCTCTCAATCATGATGTGATGCGGAAACATGCAATACAGCATCTCACGGCTTCTCAATCTTGCCCATGAGGCTCAGGCGCACCTTGCGGTTGACAACGCCGCCAACGCCGTAGGCCGGGATGATGCGGCAGATACGGGCCAAGGTGCTGACGCCCCAGTTCTTGGCCACGGAGCGCCAGCGGTCGGCCCTGGATACGGGGCTGGCCTGGGCGTTGGGCCGGTTGTAGATGTCGAGGCCGAGCAGGTGCAGCGGGGTGCTGGCGAGCTGGACCATGGCCGGGGCGGCGAACTGGACGATGGTCAAGCCGCTGACCCTGCGGGCCATCTCATCGCTCATGCGGCTGTTGAGCCAGGGGCCGAGGCGCGGCGGAACGTTAAAGCTCGCGAAGATGGTCATGCAGTCGCGCAGGGTAAAGAGGGCGTAGGTGAGGGCGGGGACAGGCCGGGGGGTAACGCCGGGGGGGCCGTACATGCGAGCGAAAACCTGGTCTTTGTACATGCAGATGCCGATGTTGGCAGTGCTCGAGGCGGCGAACTTTGCGGTACCGGCGGTGACCTCGGTGGCAGGCCGGTTGTGGACGGTCGAGAAGGCCGTGTCTAGCGTATTGGCCGTCAGGTAGGTGCCGCCGTAGAGGGCGAATATGAGGGCGAAGGGCTTGCTGAAGACGACGTGGTGGGGACGGAGGACAAGTTCGTGGAGGCAGGAGCGGACACATTCGCCGAGGCCGCGGCGGCCCGAGGCGTTTTCCATGATGGAGCTGCCGAGGGGGGAAGGCGTGTTAGCTGGGTTGTCCTTCTCCTTCGTTCGCATGAATCTTTCTCTCCATGACTCGTGAAGCTCTGGGTGTGCGGCGGCGGTAGTGATGTTACTTACCGATCAATGATGGACACGAGGGGCGCGACCAAGGTGCCGGCGCAGGCCGCGCTGAACAGGTCGGCGCCCAAACGCAGGCCCAAGTTCTTGGAGTTCCAGGTGGTCTTGGCCTCCATGTCGACTTTCTTGGCCAGGGCCAAGGGGCTCGGGGATTTGATCTTGAGGTCGGGCGGCGCGACGGGTACGGGAGCGAGCCCCTCTGGTCTTGTGCCTCGTTCAGCCATGCAGTGCGTTCTGCTTCGCGTTGTCGAGGGGTCGTCCGAGCCTCTGGGGTGAAGCTCTCGCGAGATTGAGAGGGGGAAACGCGCAAGGCGTCGTGGGTTGGTGGTCGTTGGTGCTGACCCAGTGTCGGTTTGCGACGGGTGATGCTGACAATGGCTGTACCGAGGGTGACGTAGGTATTGGGGTTGGTGACGTCTTGGGGACCGCGCTGGGAGCTATAGGAGCTAATATGAATGGGACGACGACACAAGCGGACGAGGTGGGAGAAGACCACACAATGAGGATTCCCTGTTCTTGGGGTAAAAAAAAGGCGCAAGGGAAAGGGGGGTGAAGACCACCAAGACGAAGACGGAGACGGAGACGAGGACGTGGACACCACTAAGGGGACGGGAGCGAAAACGGGGACGTGGACGGAGTGGAGAGAAGCTACAGATGTGAAGCTATGAATCCATATCAACCAAGGGAAAGGAAAACGCGCCCAGTTATCAATGATGGGAGTTTCCCGTGTCCCGACACTGCGGCATGGAGACAGATGCGAAAAAAAAGCATTGCTAGGTGAAATAAAGTGGATATGGACAAGGTGCGGCATGAGCGACGGGCCATGTTCTGGCGAATCGCCGCGTGGGAATTCCAACTGACTGGAGACCGAAGTCGGAGAGAGTCGGTACGATAGGGTCCGAGGGAAAGAGGGAGAGAGAAGATTTGGTCAAGATTGAATCGCGTGGGACAAAAGTATTACTTGACAGCATGGGATTGGTTTGGCCTTGCCAGGCAACCAGGAAAGGGTCCAGAGACACAGAGGGGTGGGATTATTATTGTTTGTTTCTCTTTTTTGCGTGGTGGTATCCGTATCTACACTACCGGTATAAACCCCGAAAGACCCGGGACGGGCGTTCCTCGAGTGGGCCGCTATTTAAAATGGAGTAAGCCAGGGGGAGAACAGACCAATAACAGCAGGGGAGAGTCTCGTTTTGGTGAATAGTGGGGGTTCACACGGGGGGTGGTGGTGTCCCGTATCCAAGCTACTCCTTACCTTGCCAACCATAGTAGGTACTTTGATAATTAATACATAATTCGAGAATCATGTGAATACCAGAAGTGGCATGACTTGACATACGATGCACGCTGTCTAGTCGGGCATGCGTCCAAAAGTAACCAAACGGGAGACGAAGCCCGTCCATCAGAGTAAGTGGGCCCTCTCTCACGTCGGCTTCTCGTCCGTAGGCCGTCCGGTTTCCCTCCGGGGCCTTGCGCACGCACCCTGCGACCAAGCCTCTCTCCTGGTTTAGCTAAGCTTTTCTACTTTCTTTCTTTTTTACTTACCTACCACCGCACCCAGGTTCGAAAAAAAAGAGAAAAAAAAAGAGGCCGGTCTCTATCACATCCAAAAAGTACCCGTATTTTAGAAGCCTATCATAACGTTACCCCCAATGCGTTTAATCAATTCAGTCTTTTTTTATTGCATGATGCAGAGTTATTCAGGCATGTTGTAGTGATATAGCATTTTTACTAGTAAAAAGGCAGGCGGTATGGGAGACCGACCTTTTTTTTTCTTTCTTTTTTTTTTAACCTGGGTGCTACCTACTACCTAGGTAGATACGGGTAGTATGATATGATAGACCGGGGGGCCGCGTGTCGAGGTACTTCCTGGTAATGCATCTCCCCTGTACAATCGCCATGGCCTCTAAACCATACATGGCAGCTCTTGACAACACACTGAAAATTACTATGTAGGTACATATAGCTGTAAGTAGTAGTACGGCTGGTTGGAGGCTTTGGTGCGGGGACCAGGGTGAAGGAACGAAAGAGAGCATGGTTGACGAAGCTCTGCTGCAGCTGATCGTCTCAAACACGCCAACTCATCATCAATACTAAATGCTGCTGCCTGCGCGCGTACTAATATTAATATGTATCTGACATTGCCTTTTCCTAAACTCGTCCCAAATGATAACCACACCCTTTTCCTGGATGGGGGGAAGCTTGGTCGCGCATCTCAAGGGGGAAGGTCAGGCGCCAAGGTTATCCGCTCCAACAAGGGCTGTCGCGTCCCCGGGGCCCAGTCTGCGTCAGCTTCATTCGTACACCTACCAGAGAGAGTCGGATCGAGTGAAGGAGAAATAGCTCAAAAAAGACGTCAATTTCGCTGTTCGGTATTCAAGTCCAACTCTTCTCATAAACCAATTGCGGTGACACCCTCACCCGGCTCCTTCTCCATTTGTCCTTGCATCACTGAGCCATTCCCCTCCCGATCTCGTGAACCCCTCTCCTCTATTCGGTTCCCACGGACCGCATACCGCCCGTCCGGTAAACATGCGCGTCGCCAAGGAATTCACCCCGGAGGTGCTCCTCAGCGCGCCCCGCCGCGGCGCCGCCGTCCCGAGCCCGGACGGCACCCTCATACTCTACACCCAGTCCAGCCACAGCTTCGACGACAAGAAGACGCTCAAGGAGGTCCGCGTCATGGACGTCGAGACCGGCGCCTCCGAGCAGCTCACCGCTGACGACAAGGTCCACGACGCGCTATGGGTCCCCGGCACCGCGACCGACGTTGTCTACCTGAAGTCGGGCGACAAGGGCACCACCCAGATCTGCATCGCCGACGCCGCCGACCTCGCCGTGGATCACTACGTCGCCGCCGAGTATGATGCGCCCATCAGCACCCTCAAGCTCAAGGCCCTCCGCGACGGCAGTGTTGCCTTCGTCGTCACGGGTCTCGTCGGCCCCGACGGCTCTCTGTTCAATGACGAGGCCGAGGAGAAGTCGACCACCGGCCGCATCTATGACGACTACCACGTGCGCTTTGTAAGTTGGACCCGCCCCGTTCGTTGCCTAGAAATCAAAACGCATACCCAACTAACATGTTCGTCTTCGTCGAAGTGGAACACCCTTTACAAGTCGCGCAAGTATGCCCTATGGTACTCGACCCTCGTCAACGCGCACGGCAAGTGGGGGGTTGCGGCGGAGCTGCAAAACGTCCTCCGTGACACCCGCCTCGAGGCCCCTTTCGGCATTTACGGCGAGGCCGACGCATACTCCAATTTCGACGTCAGCGAAAAGGGCATCGCCTTCATCGCCGAGGACGCCGGGCTCTCGCCCGAGCAGGCCGGCATCTCACACGTCTACTATGTGCCCCTCCGCTCCTTCACCGCCGCCGCCGCCGTCAAGCCACGGCCGATGGTCATGGGCATCTCTGAGACCAACGCCTTCTACAACCACGTGCGGTGCTCCCCTGACGGCTCCAAGATCGCCTTCTTGCAGTCCTTGACTGGCGACTTCTCAGACGCCAGGCTGTACATCGGCCACACCACGTCCTTTGGCGCGTACGACGTGCACAAGATGGTCTTTGGCAGAGCGCCGCTTCTGCCCCCGCAGCGCTTCGAGTTTGCGGGCGACTCCGACGCCATACTTCTGCTGACCGAGGACTGCGGGCGTGTCAAGTTGTCGCACCTCGAGCTCCGGCCCCACGCACAGGCAACGCCGCTGGTGCAAACCGGCGTGGTCACGGCCTTTTACCCCCTGACAGAAGCCAGCCACGACAGGATCCTCGTGACGAGCAACAGCATGGTCGACAGCAGCCTGTGGCAGATCGTCGACGTCTCCATGAAAACGGCGCCCAGGGTTGTGTCGTCGGCCACCAAGCATGGCGCCAAGTACGGTCTGTCTCATCGTATGGTTTCGGAGTTTTGGTATGAGGGCGAAAATGACGCAGTCGTGCACTCCTTCATCATCAAGCCGACCGACTTTGATGAGACCAAGAAGTACCCCTGGGTTCTCTTGCCCCACGGTGGACCGGTGGCATCTTGGTTGGATTCCTGGTCGACAAGGGTGAGCTCCCAGAATCGGCCGGACTTTCCGTCACGGTATGCCTCTTTGACTGACACACAATGACTCCGCAGTGGAACATGGCACTCTGGGCTCAGCAGGGCTACGTGCTCGTCGCCCCCAACATCGCCGGCAGCACGGGCTACGGCACCGAGTTCACCGCCCGCATCTACGGGTCTTGGGGCGGCGCGCCGTACCAGGACCTCATCGCACTCATGGACCACCTCGAGAAAGTTCCGTACCTCGACCAGGCCCGTGCCATCGTCGCCGGCGCCTCGTACGGAGGGTTCATGATCTCGTGGATGATGGGCCACGACCTGATCCGACGCTTCGCCTGCGCCATCTGGCACGACGGCATCTTCAACCTCCCTGTCTTTATGATCCAGAGCGACTTCATCGACAGCGGGCCCAACTTTGGCGGCCCGCCGCTGATCTGGAAGAACGCCGAGGAGCTGGAGCGGTGGAACCCGGCGCGGCCGGAGCTCCTACGGAACTGGAGGCACGCGCCGCCGACGCTAGTGATCCACAGCGAGAAGGACTATAGGTGCCCCATCACAGAGGGGATTGCCGCCTACAACACGCTGCAGTCTCAGGGGGTAAAAAGCCGGTTCTTGATATTCAGCGATGAGTGCCATTGGGTGCTGAACCCGGAGAACTCAATCGTCTGGCACAAAACCGTGTTTGACTGGATGAAAAGATACGCTGGAGAGACACAGGCGGTAACGAGGGCATGAACATTTGTCTTGGTATATACTGATGATCTTGTGTTCCTCTCGAAAACACTTTTCTTATACCAGCCGTGTCTTTTGGGTCTTGGCAACTCGCTACGCAACCACAAAACGCGATATGAATACAAAAGCCTGCCCGGACTTGTTCAAGTCGACCTACCACCCCCTTCTGGTCTGTGAGCTCTTTTCTGTGGCTGATGTGCGTAGCGATTTATGGCCCGGGACCGCAAAACCCCGAAACCCCGCATCGAACCCCTGCGCCAATCCTCCATAGGGGATCCTCCCGTCTCTGGAACTTCATACCCCCGTTCTAGCCCAGTGCTTTCTCTATCACTTTGATCAAAACCGGGACACGCAAGCGCCGCTGATTTGACGACTTGGCTAGTCCAACCGAGCAATGTCACTGCTACGCGAAGCACATGCAATGCCGTGCCGTGCCATTTATACTGGGGTGTCTTTGCTGGGGAGCTTCTCAAAATGCGGGGGTATCCGGGGGAAGAGGCCAGACCACCGCCCTTTATTCGAGCGCATGGCCTCAAGTGAGAGAAGAGGTGTTGTTGTGTTTTCCGTTTTGTTCCTTGGATTTCACGTATATATAGATCAAGGATTCACATGCCATCATTTGCAAGGACACCAACTCGCGCGAGCTCGAAACAAACCCCACGCGAAGTGGTTCTCTTTTGCGATCGGGACATCTTGAGCAGTGACCGAGATGGCTCTCCACCGACATGAGCTCAATAGCGGCTGGTCCTTCAAACAGCAAGATGACGCCTCAGAGCACCCATGGCTTCCGGTTCCCAAGGTCCCGAGTCAAGTCCATGTAGACCTCCTTGCGAACAACAAGTGAGCTGCCTTTACGTCGACAGAAATCCTTGGCACCTGAGATGGCTAATGCCGCAAAGGATACCAGATCCGTTCCTGGACATGAACGAGCTCGCCGTCCAGTGGGTTGGGGAAAAGACCTGGGTCTACCGCACGTCCTTCACGACGCCGGCGGACCCGTCGGACGCCCCCGGCAGAGTGACGGATCTCGTTTTTGAAGGCCTGGACACCTTTGCGACCGTCACCCTGAACGGGGCCGTGATCCTCAGGTCGGACAATATGTTTCTCTCGCACCGCGTTGAGGTCTCGCGGCAACTGAGACGGGGCGGCGCCGACAACGTACTGGAGGTCGTGTTCGACTCGGCGCTGCTCCGCGGCAGGCAGCTCGTCCAGGAGCACGCCCACGAGCATAGGTTCATCGCGCGGCAGACGGAGCAGGGCCGGATCCCTGTGCGGAAGGCGCAGTATCACTGGGGCTGGGACTGGGGCCCGATCCTGGTCACCGCCGGCCTGTGGAAGCCGGTGTTTCTGGAGCGGTACCTTGCTCGTCTGGACGACGTCTGGGTCAAGGGCGAAGTCAGCCCGGATCTGAAGTCGGTGTCTGGGAAAATCATTGTTAAAATCGAGGGTCCCGGCGTCGACAAGGTATGCGTAAGGTTCAACCTACAAAACGAGATCGTCCTCGAAAAGGAGTTCGCCGTGGGTGAAGACGGGACAGCACAGACAGACTTCCACCTAGACAACCCCCGACTTTGGTACCCCATAAACACCGGCCCCCAAACCCTCTACACCGTCACGGCCACCATTCATCATGCCTCCGGCATCCCGCTCGCCGCCAAAACCAGGAAGACGGGCTTCCGCCGCGCGGAACTGATCCAAGAGCCTGACACCCTCGGGAAGTCTTTCTATTTCCGCATCAACAACCACGACGTCTTCGCCGGCGGTTCTTGCTGGATCCCCGTCGGCAGCTTCCACGCCGCCGTCGGCCCCGAACGCTACCGCGCGTGGGCGGAACTCATGGCCGCCTCGAACCAGAACATGCTCCGCGTCTGGGGCGGCGGAGTGTACGAGGCGGACGCGCTGATGGAGGCGTGCGACGAGCTTGGCGTGATGGTGTGGCACGACTTTTGCTTCGCGTGCGGGAGCTACCCGACCTACCCCTCGTTCCTGAAGAGCGTCGAGGAAGAGGCGAGGCAGAATCTGAGGCGGTTGAGGGGACATCCGAGCATCGTCATCTGGGCGGGGAACAACGAGGACTACCAGGTTCAGGAGAGATACCGGCTCGAGTACCGCTTTGACGAGGACAAGGACCCGGAGTCTTGGCTCAAGACGAGTTTCCCAGCGAGGTATCTTTACGAGTATCTTCTGCCCAAGATCGTGGGGGAGGAGAGCCCGCTTACCACTTACCATCCGAGCAGTCCTTGGGGCGATGGAAAACCTACTGCAGACCCAACAGTCGGGGATCTTCACCAATGGAACAGTGAGAGTCCCCTCCCTTTTTAACACTGGCTCATCATCAAATTGACACCCCCAACCCAGTCTGGCATGGCGCCATGAACAAATACCAAGACGCCCACCTCCTGACCGGCCGCTTCGTCTCCGAGTTCGGCATGGAGGGCTACCCTCACCTCTCCACCATCGCTACCATGCTTACCGCTCCCTCTCAGCGACGCCCAGGCTCCATGGCTCTCGACTTCCGCAATAAGGCCTACGACCACGAACGCCGCCTGATGACCTACATCGCTGAGAATTTCTCTGTGGCATACGACTTGCCCCGCTTCACCCACCTTACCCAGCTGATGCAGGCCGAGGCCATGTCCTTCGCGTATAAGGCCTGGCGCCGGGACTGGGGCACCGGCGGCGCGAGGGGTTGCGGTGGCGCGCTGGTGTGGCAGCTCAACGACTGCTGGCCGACAGTGAGCTGGGCCGTTGTGGACTACTGGCTCGTGCCGAAGCCCGCATTCTACGCGATCGCTAGGGCGCTACGGGCGCTGGACGTCGGCGTGCGGAGGCGAGTGGACGAGTGGACAAAGTGCCACGCAGACCCGACCCTGGGGGCCAGGGGTACCGAGTTCGAGGTCTGGGTCGCGAGCGGGCGTACAGACGCCGTCGCGGGGGACCTGACGGTGCGGTTCATCTCCATCGAGACGGGGAGGGAGGTGAGGCCGCGGCTCGAGAAGAAGGTTGTGGCGCAGGGGAACGCGACGACAGACGTCGTGGAGAAGCAGACCGTCGGCACCGCGAAGGAGGAGTTTGGAGACGCACGTGTGCCGTATCAGCAGGAGGCGGATGACCCTTTCGTGATTCACGCGACGCTTGTTGTAGACGGGAAGCTTGTGGCGGAGGACACGGCGTGGCCGCAGCCGTTGAAGTATCTCGAGTTTTCCGACCGCCGGATCAGGACGTCGGCTGAGAAAGGGGTACTGCTTATCTCTGCCGAGAAGCCGGTCAAAGGTTTCATCATTCAAGAGGAGCGGGGCATGAAGCTGAGTGACAACGGGTTCGATATCGTGCCGGGCGAGGAGAAGGTGATCCGGGTAGAGGGCATTGAGGTTGAGGAGTTGAGGTGGACATATCTTGGGGCACCGGATGCGTCGCTAAGGCTGTCTAGCTAGAGCTTGTTCACGTGTAGCTGTCACGGTTTGTCCTCGGTGTACTAAGGACCAGTCGAAAAGCATAGTTTTGATTCTACTGGGCTTCATTTCTCATTACGGCGTAAAATACTACAGCTATGGGGACAGGTTTCCTTCCTTGTCATTCTCTCGTAAACCCAGCGTCATGGTGACTGCCATCCCAAATAATCAAATGATATCACCACCGAAGCCACCGAAACCCCCCGGCCCTCCAAAAGGGTTTCCTCGCCCACCACCATGCCGGGGCAGACCACCTGGGCCGATTGGATCCCACCTAGCTCCCGGTGGCGCTTGGGGATCATACCCGCCACCACCCTGCCCGCCTTGGCCACCGAACAGGGGGTCATCGAAAGTTGGGTGCATTCCGCCTCCACCCCCTGGACGAGGTAGACCACCACCACCGATGAAATGAGGCCTAAGAGGGTCGTGGGGTCCTAGACCAGGCGGATTCAGGTCATCGTGACCAATGTTGTAGGGAGATCGACCCGGGACACCCAAAGGTCTAGGCGGCCTGTTGACCTCATATTCGTCCTCGAAATCGGGCGGAGGGAAATCTCCTACGGGAATGGGTCTCCTGGGAGGCTGAGCAAGGGGGTCGTTGATGGGATACGGTCGGGCTGGATCAGGAAGGTCGCCGGGCATTGGCTGTCCAGGCCGGCCAGCCTGAGCACGGCCTTCGCGCTGTGCGCCTTCCGCGGCGTCCCGGTCGTCGGGGGACTCTTCATAGCCTTCAACTTGCAGTTTTGGGATAAGTTTCTGAACAATATTCGTTTTGAATTGATCGATAAGCATAGTGATGGCGGACTCGGATACGAAGGCATCTTTGAGTTTCTGAACGAGGTCGCTCCTGTCCTCGGTACCGTCCTCGGTGAGTGTGATACGCAGGGGAAGCTTAGCGCTGTTGACAAGATCTTTTGTAATGATATCGAATCTGTGGATGACGTCGTGACCAATGGCTAGACCGCTGATCTCGACCTTGCCGCCGACCTTGCTGACCCGGATGATGAAGGTCATGGAGGACTGCTTGTGGGCGTATACAAAGCGAAGAGAACCGTAGCCGGCATTCCACGATGCGGGCAGTCGCGGGGCGAGGCTTTGGATTTCTTCCTCTATGGCGAGGTGCGTGTTAGCTGGGTGGTTGGCCAAGGGCGGACTCGACGTACCTATCGTCTTCTCCTCGTCGAAGCCGAGGAGGCGGAACTTGAGAGATACCATGCATGCATGGGCTAGGAGGGCGGGCAGCTCGTATCCACTACTGATGTCGGAGGTGGTATCGTCTTTGGGGTGCGTTGGCAGAGCATCTGCCATCAGTTGCAGTATGGACTGCGGGGTGAGTGGATTCGCCATCGTAAAGTTCGAGCGATGAGAGGAAAGGATGCAGGCTCCTTGGATGTGTGATTGTAAGGTTGAAATCTGGGAAACTTATGCCGGCAAGGGAGCGCAGTACCTACTTAAGTAGATGGTGGTTGGGGCTTGGAGCTTTTGGGCTTCGCTCTCTGTTGTTGGGCTCGACGACGTGAAGGTGGCAGAGCCAGAAGTAGAAAAAGCTAAGCTCTGGTGCAGAGCTGCGGGCAGTTCGCATGGTGGCGTCACTGCCTGGCTGCCTTCAGCCCTATATGTGGAGTAGCCCCTCCCTCGGTGTATGTATGAGTAGGTAGTGTAGAAGTTGAACCCCCTGATGAATAGTCACGTGCTACAGCATGTGATATGGCGTAGAGCTGTCAAACGCGTTCGTCGCGGTTTCGGTGCTTCAACAATCCTTGCCGCCAGTAACACTCCGAGTACTATCGCCTACGGCTTACTTCGCTTGGGTGACACAGTATACCGAAACAAACTATTTGCTGCCATTCAAGAAGTGCTCTTTATTTTGTCTGGCGCGGCCCTTTGCGCACCATGTCGTCCAGTTCAGACGCAGTCCCTGCCCCCCCGGTGTCCGTTCCACGCCCGCAGGCGAACACAATCCTGACATCATTCACATCCTTTCTCACTATTACGATACACACAATACTATATCACAGACGTTTGTACCCGAAGCAGACCTTTCTAATGACCAAAGCCCATAACCTTCCGGTCCCCCAGTCCCGCCACCCGGCTCTCTGCGAATGGATCAACTCGGCTCTTGCTGCCATACAGGACCAGCTTGCACTTGGTACCGTCTCTAAAGTCTGCGTCGTTATTCACGCCCCTGATAACATGGCCGTCATTGAAAGATGGGTCTTTGACGTCGCCAACTTTCCTGTCTGGGCTACGGGTAAGGGCAAAGAGAAGATTGGCGCAGGACACAGGTTCCAGCGAAGGGAAGACGATGACGATGACGGATCTGTCAACTGGATTGACGTTAACGAGGCGTATCGTGGTGCTCTGAGACGTCTTGCCTATGCGGCAGAAATGAAGGGTCCTCTGCCAGAGGGATGCACCTTCACAATGGCCGTTGAGCTTAGGGACGAGGCTCCAGCACCAATAGGGGTATGCATTACGCCACTTGCTAAACACAAATTCGACCGGTTTCTGACCTATGATGTAGCACCCGCAGCCTTGGATTCCTTCTGAGCCATCCCTTCAACCTGCTTCGAGGACGAATCCAGTGCCGGGCATAGCCATTGGCGGCGCCTCTACCACGCCGCTGCGCTCCGTAGAGGCTGGCCCTCTCTTCTTCGAATGCTGGATTGAGGAAGGCAAACCACAGTCCTCTCCTCCTTCTACACAAGACTCCTATTTTTCATGAAGTACATACTGAGTCTATAACCAACCGTCTTCAATGCCTTCCTACATGAGCTTTGCGTCATACCTATTTTTACTTGCCCAGCCCACAGGCAACAAGAGGGCCGATCACCAAGAGGCTTAGATAGACGTCAATTACTATCTATGATCTTGACCTGGCTGGCGGCCTTTATTGATCATTCGAGATCAAACGATATGGAAGATGAAACTAAAGGTCTTGTGAGTGACCTAGAGGTGATCTCTGGCCTAACTATACTATGATACTTGTTCTTCGAAGCACAGCTATAACCTCCCGACATGGCAAGACCCCACCTGGAGAGGGCCAGACCCTATATATTGCGGACTTTGAATATGAGCCCTACCAGCTGGGCTCACGGCCGTAGCTTGAAGTACGTTTTGTTCAGGTTGGTGGCTGATATGGTAATCACTGCTTGCAAGATGCACTATACCCCGTTCCATCGATCCGCCAAAGGAGACAATAGGGACTTTGGATAAAATATTATCGAGATAACAGGGGTTGATCAAGGTGCAGTCAAGGAGACGAAGACGCGCCTAAGCGGTAGGAAGGCATGGCACAGATGGCTTGGATCCAAACAAGTGCTGTTGGCAGTACTACTTGATGCAACCGGATGTGGCCCCATGGACGGGCATCGGCTGCTACGGTCCATCCTGCATAACGGGGCGTTCAATGACCCAGATATCTGTTATACCACTGTAGGAAGACTTTGTGTCATTCCAGAAAAAGGAAGAAAGAGATCATGTGAGTTATCAGCAGGCGAAATCGGGGAGGTTCTGGATTGGATAGGATGAATGTCGTATATATTTCTTGTTCGTTTGTGTCGTCCATTATAGTAACTCCCCCACCCTATATCCGAACCACACCCACAACTAACCGTCGGTCCTTGGCTGACCCAGAATCCGACAACATAGAGGCTGGAAAAGGGAATTCAGATGCTGCACGGCACTCACATTCGCGAATGAAGCTTTTTGGTCGGCGAAGCCGGCTATGCGGCATTTGCGGACAACCGTTAGTATTTGTATGGCCACACCCCGTGTCGGAGGGGGTATCACGTCTTCTCCCCAGTCAATGTCGCAACGGCGCTTAGCCCAGCATAAAGCGCCAGCATCGGACGTTTCCCGATTGACATTGATAAGAGCCCCGACTAGAAACCGGGTCACACTGAGGACGAAGGCGAAGATCAGAGGACATAATAGCTCCCAAGTCAGCTTCCGCGCCCCTCATTCTCAGGCTGTCGATATGCCCCACCACCACCCTGTCGCTACGCGTAGCACGTCTTTGTCACCCGCGTTGATGCCATCATGCGGCACTATTAGATACATGTTAAAAAAAAGCTTGTTGGCAGGAGATAACTCCATATAAGTACTCTTCCAAAGGTTGATCATGAGTTTCTCTCGTTCGAATGCCACGTGGGAGATTGCAGAACTGCTTATACTAAACATTATAGTTTCGAACATTGCTTGAAAACTGTTGCAAGATGGGTGTTCCGGCTACCGATTCGATAATAACCACTACCAATGTCTCAGCGGCTCCAGATGGCAGGTCTGATGACAGAATGTCCGGGTCCGGTGGCGATATCTCTCTCGTGAACAGCAACACGAAAGACGATGTTGACCCAAAGGAAGAGAGAGCGTTTGTAGGTCCTTAGGCTGCACTAAGTATATAACTGAAGTCTAATCGAAGAATTAGTTGTGGCGCCTCGACTTATTCTTCTTGTCCATTGGATTTTTGGGGTATATGTTCAAGTGTGTGAAGGCCCTTTAACTGGTAGTCTGAGTATGAGAAACTGACAGCGTATCTCAGGTATATTGATCAAACAAACATTGTATTAACCATTTTCTGTCGTCGGTACTTAGCCGCAGCTAACATGGGACTCTCTTAGAGCAATGCATATGTATCTGGAATGAAGGAGGACCTGGAGTTGTTTGGCAACGAACTGAATTACTTTACAACATTCTTCAAGTAAGAGTCGTCTGTCGTTGATGTGCAGATTTACTGACTAAAGTCCGTCCCATATAGTATTGGATACATGATCATGCTGTATCCTTCGTGTATCGTCATCTCTCACTTCGGCCCCTCCCGATGGTTGCCGGCCTGCGAGGTCAGCAATTTACCATACAGCGTATCCCCAGGTCGACTAATAGATTCATCAGCTTATTTGGGGCGTTCTTACCTGTTGTCTCTCAGTTGTGAGCAGCGCCAAGCAGGTATGTCTTTCTCTCATGACCATATCCGTCTGCAAGGCAGCAAGCTACGGGTTAGTTTATAACGGTCGACCAGGTTTATGGCCTTCGCTTCCTGATCGGATTCTTCGAAGGGACTGCTTGGCCTGGATACTTCACACTAATCAGCCAGTGGTACATGCCTCACGAGGTCGCCTTACGAATGAGTCTCTACAATATTGCCCAACCAGCGGGTGCCATGCTTTCCGGTGCGATGCAAGGGGCTCTTTCAACCAATTTTGAGGGTCTGCATGGCCGGTCTGGCTGGAGATGGGCTTTCATCATCAACGTGAGCTGGAGGCCGTGAACTTGGGTGGATGTCGACGGTGACCTAATAACAGCTCTGATTAGGGCGTGTGTACTATCGCCGTCGCAATTGCCGCTTTCTTCATTCTTCCTGGCTATGTAAGCTTTTACTCCCTTCAGTTGAACCTCGAGACCTCCTGAACTTGGAACTGACCTGATAACACAGCCCGAACGCCCGAACCCTCTTTCCAAGTTCTACTTGAAGCCTAAACATATCGACATCGCTCTGGCTCGTGCTCGTCGGGTTGGCCGCAAGCCGCAGATCGGCATCACGCCCATATCCTTTTTTAGGTGCTTCACTTTTTGGCAACTATGGGCCTTTGCTAGTAAGTTTGCATCAGCTGCGGACAGGAGGCTTTGAAACGATCTGACAAGACCTCTTAGTTGCGTGGTGCATCGGTGGCAACTTCACACCGGCCAACTATTTCAACCTATGGCTCAAGTCCCTCAAGAATTCCGACGGTTCAGTCAAGTAGTGAGTTCCAACTACACAACATCAGACCACTGGAAGAAAGTCTGAAGCTAATGTGGCCAAAGTTCCATTGCAATGATCAACTACCTGCCCATCATCGGGCAGGCTATCCAGCTCGTAGCAGAGCTGTTGTTTAGTGGTTTCAGTGATTACTTTGGCGTTAGACTGCCATTTCTGCTTCTACACTCTGTATGTTTGCACATACCTAGGAATTACATGGGCACCTCAAGCTGACAATGTATTGGATAGGTCATCAACATTTCTTCTCATATCATTCTAATTGTACGACCTAGCAACGAGCGGGCTTACATGGCTGGTTGGTACATGAACTACATAGGAGCGTACGTCAAACATTCAAACCCTTTCACAATCGATTCTCTAACTGAAGCCAGAGTCTCCACTATGCTGCTCTGCTCATGGGCGTCGGCACACCTTCAAGGTGAGCCACAGGTGCGCACCGTGCTCTTTGCCAGCGGCACCATCTTATCGTACCTTATGAGTGCATTCATCCCTCTTGCTGCCTTCCCAGCATCCGAAGCTCCTCAATGGCGCATTGGATCTAAGCTCTATCTCGGATTTGCCCTCGTGTCTAGTGTGATGTTCGTTGGGATTCACTTTGCGTTGCAGTGGGAGGAGAAGAGGAAGGCAAAGGATGCAGTCAAGCAAGATTCAACAGGGGAGCCGGATAATGCAGACGCTGGTGTTAAGTCTGTACTCGAGAAGTCCGACAGTACAGCCATTGGAAAGAAGTCAATGGGGAAGTTTCACGATAGACCTCAGTAAATGCAGGTGAAAGAGGATTTACACGGCCGTTGTTGAAGGTCTCTTTAACTGCAACTGGCGATGTTAGAGAGGCATCACTGCCTCTCATAGAAGCTCAGATTCACCTCCTTCGTACCATGAGAGAGTCGGACTAATCCTGGCTCCATACGTTCGAGGTTCTGATAAATGAGCATTCAATGATCTCAGTTACACCCAAATACTTGAAAGGCACATGTCGAATCGCTTCATTTGTTTTGTTTACCAGCTCTACTAAATTAGTATATTGGACACGATATCGTCACCCAAGATGCCTTGGGCAGGCATGAAAAATCATGCATAATAACCTAACAGAACGATCGACAAGGAAGATAAAGAGCTTCTAATTTTTATGCAGCAGTGTCAGCTTAGACTCATTCTACGAAGTCCGAAAATATGCGTCCGTCTCCATAGTATCCATACGAGCTCTTTAAATGCAAAAACAATGCGCATTAGTAAATGCTGTGTTAGAAAATACGCCCATCAGAACAAGACCAGTTGCAGATGCCTCCGAATGCCAACCATCGTATCACTTATTCTCAAGCCTTTGCCTGAACCGTTGAGAGAAGTAGTCAATCTCACTCTCAGGGATCACCTCGATAACTTTTGAATGATCTCGGCCCTCGCCTTCGAAATACTCTATGATATCGTACTGCCTCGTAGGTCTACTCCGGAACTGTTCCCACCTGGTCTTGGAATCCTGCTGCTGGGGTTGTGGACGTTGCTGGCGCTTGCCGACGGTAGCAGCATCGCTATTTGGAGCGTCGTGTTGACTTTCACTGGCCGCGGGACTGCCGTCTTCCCGTCTGGGCACGTCCATGCCCTTGCGTGGCGTCTGACTGCTACTGTCGCTGCTCTGACCGGAAGAGGAGCTCTCATCGTCTTGTGCTGCAAGCCGCTCGCCCTGCCGCCTTGGAATAGGAACGGGGCTTCTCCTGGACGGGGCCGGGCTCCTTCTCACCTGCACCGAGCTCCGTCTCACAGGCCCCGAACCCCTGCTCGTTCGAATTTTGGTCGCACCCCCTCCACTGCCACCTCCTGGAGGGCGGCGCGGATGCGCTTCGATAATCTGCGGGGGCACATCGCCATTGAAGAGTTGCTTGACCATCATCCGGGTGGAAGTAACCTCTCTCTCCGTCCGCCGCGCCATGATCCGTCCAACCTCATCCGACAACTTCTTCACATCGTCCTTGACCTGCCACCAAATGAACCTGTGCATGAAGTCACACTTATAAAGCGCGCTCCAATCCGCAAAACTGTCCGCTTCGCCGTGCTTCTCTAAGTCAGGACGGACCTTCTCATCAAGGTCCCCCTCAGACCAGGCTGCGCCGTTGAGAATAGTCTCGGCGCGGAACCCGCTCGCAACGAGAAACGGCCTCTCGATGTCTTTGAAACTGCACCAGAGATCCCGCAGAGTCATGTAGTGAAGCGGTAAGGTCTTCTCGGCGTGCCTAAACGTCTTACGAGCTTCATGGCTCGCTAGCCTGTCGTTGACACTCGTAATACGCTGGCGTAATCTGCCATTTGAGCGTATCTCCTTTGTCTGGTATCGCAGGGCCTCTCTTTCTTCACACAGCTGGTGTCGGAGGTTTCCCAATGAATCTCGAATCTCACTAGGAGCAGCTCGGATGGTGGCGACGAAGTTGCCGTATAGTGCGATCAAGTTGAGGATCGTTAGGCCGAAGGAGAGTATTCCCGTGACGAAGGAGACCCAGTTGAGCGAGTTCGGAACATCGGCAGTCATCTGGAGCTACAAGGGCCTGCAGCAGCATGTATCTAACTCTGACAGTTCATATTTAAACATGGGGATTTCGCTGTTATTAAGCATCAACGGAGATTAGGAAGCTAGACCTTCGCGTGGTTGCTAGTGTATCTCATCAGCACTATCATCGTTAGCCCGATGAAGCTAAGGTGGGCGCACGACGCTGCCAGTTGTCAAGGTTCACGAACCATTCGCAATCAATGCTGCTACATGATATGCGTTGTTAAGTGCAATTTTAGATTCGGTCTGTGAGCTCTTAGCACGCAGGAGCTGCAAGGGTGCCAAAGGAGCGATGTGCTGCTATTGGCTTCGACACAACCTGTTCGTCATAGCAAGGCGGCCAAAATGGTTCGAAGCACCAGCCATGTATTCGCTTGCAGCGAGAAAGCTCAGAGGGTATGCCAGCTGGTCAAGATATCCCCAGCCATCGCGACAGATGCAGGACTTCGGGTTTCCCCGGATTTGACTTGAGAACGAGGTGCTCGCCCGGCATCGTGTCACATGCTAGGCTGGTTGAATCCTTCCGACTATCCACGAAACTACTTTTGATACTATACAGAGTATAAGGAGCAGTTCTCTGTTGATTATTAGGCAAATATTAGCAGTGAATGATGTGGAAATCAAGGGCTGTTGGTTTCTAGACCCCGTAGGAAAATAAAGGGATGTTGTCTGCATATAATAGAGACCTATCTGCATATCCAAGATTTTTGCTTTAGTCCGATGCATTCTACTGCCCGAGACTAGAAGAAGATGAGCATATTGATGCTAGGGTTCAAGATGTACCAAGTGGACTAATGATAATGATATGGAGGCGTTCACCAAGGAAAAGAGGTTGGGAGAATGAAGCATTGAGGTCGTCCCCCACCAGCCCCGGCAGGAGCTCCATCATTCTTATCGATAAGCACCCGCCGTCCTTCCCACCGTGGGGTAGACTCACCGAGCGCATCCAAAAATTTCCCGGACATAACCTACATTAAAGTTGCTTCCCAATCTCGAGGAGGCACCGCATCTTCTCAGCAAAGACGAATTGATCCTCTCACGCATTCCCGCACAATGCCAGCCCCGACAGCAACAATGGACCCCCCTGACGAGCCCTTCGACCCGGATCCCGTCATCGCCTCCTACGACGTGTTCTTCAACCCGTCCCTCCCGCAGGGCCGCAAGCTCTGGGTTCTCCAGCAGCCTAACCGCACCGATCCGCGCCAGCCCACCCCGACCGAGATGCGCCTCAAGGCCCGCTCCGGCATGGTTGAGGTCGATGTGCCCCTAGACTATACTCAGTCCTACGACCGCGAGAAGGGCATGAAGTGGGGCCGCCAGCTCAAGGCCAGCCTCGAGGCCAAGAACGGTGGCACTCACGGCCTGTCCGGCGGCTTCGGCGTTGGAGCGCCCCCGCCCCGGCCCAAGAGGCGCGGAGAAATTGACTTGGAGGACGAGATGTACCTAGAGTGGCCGGAAGCCGTGCGCCAGGACAAGGTGCTGCGGACGCAGACCCTCGGCGGTCAGTGTCCTGACCATAAGGAGGTCCAGTACATGATTGGCGTCTTCCAAGGCAGTAAGCTTCAGTTCGCCTTTCTTTTAAATATTATTTCAGCCTGCTAACACAAGATCTCAGAGGACCTCCACCTCACGCCGGTTACAAACCTCGTCCACCTCCGTCCCCAGCTGCACCATGTTGACGCTGTGGCCCAACAAGAACGCAACGCCTCTGCCGCCGCGGCCAAGGAATCCGCGGCAGCAGCAGGTGCCGGCCCGGGAGGCGCAGGCGGCGGAGCGGCTCAGGGCTCCGCGGCGGCGCGCGCGATCCACATGACCATCAAAACGACGCCCGATGGTGCCACCGCAAAGAGCGAGACCATGGCCGACCGCCTCCGCGCGGTGCAGATGGAGAACTGGCGCAAGCTCAAGTACACGGACGAGAACGACGAGGCCGCCTGGGAGATCTACCAGGAGAGTCTCATCATGCGCGCGCCGGGCGACGCGGGAAAGCCGCAGCTGCTGACGGCCGACGAGGACGAGGAGGCCGAGGAGAAGAAAAAGAAAGCTGCGCTTGAGGGTGCCGAGGCGTCTGAGTCTAAGCCCGTGGTGGACTTGGCGGAGCAGGTTCCGCGGCTGGAGACCAAGTGGGGCGACGACGAGCTGTTGGAGGCTGTCAGCGGCATCAAGAAGCCGAAGCCGCTGTCCAAGGCAGAATTGGAAGCTGAGGCTGCTGCCGCGGCGGCCGCCGAGGAAGAGGCGCGGAGGGCGAAGCCCAAGGCTCGAGGCGCAGTGGCGTCGCGACGGGGAGGCAAGGCAAGAGCGGCGCCCGCGCAAGCATCTTCTAGCATGGACCTGACATGACGGATAGTACCCCGACAACAGGATTTGATTTGCATAGCTTGGGCGTTGCGGCATGGTAGACAAACGGGTTCCTTCAGGGAGATGGACGGCTCCGGCTTTTTCAACGTCAAAATGCATATTTTCTTTTGCTCTAACTAGCAAGCCTGGTCGCAATGCACCACCGATATTATCATGGCGGCATCATCTCAAAAAAGCCGTGTGTTCAATGTACACGAGATATGTTCTGTGCATATTGCCTTGGAATAAGCCACACTTCCGCATGTTGAAGCCTCCATAAATGCTGCAGCCCCAGTACTACAGCTTTGTAGCGACCTCCATGCCCTCAAAAAATCACGGGCCATGCGAAAACGACCAACTCGTTATCTCCCAAGTCTCGAACGCATACTTCCACTCGTAATGTGTCATTAGCCACGATTGGCGCAACGAATATCCCCTTACTGAAGCAATTCAACATCCAAGCCAATGGAATGCATAAAGAGGTTGACAGTGGCAAGTCGGGTGGTTGCCATGGCGCCCGGAAGCGTCTTGGCATGAGCGACTGTGTCAAGCACGCGGTCCTTGACAGCAAGAACCAAGCGCTGTTGCTGTTCGGGGTTGGCGCTGACGCCAACAGCTGCAAGGAGCTGCCAGACGACAACGTCTTCACCTGTGTTGACGCTACCAGGGAAGATGTGGTGAAGAGTGGGCTCGAGCTTGTTGAAGAACATATTGAAGGTTTGCTCCCTGCAATGATGTCAGTGCGTGCCAATGGAGAATTGGGCCGTGTAATGCTTACCATTCAGCCCACAGCTGAGGAGTGCCTCCACCACCTTGCTTCAACAACTCGGCTCTGCTTAGGATCAGAGTCAACATCGAGCAACCTACGCGAGTCTTGGCAATCAGATCGATGTTCAGCTTGGTGCTGATAAGACCAAGAACACCAGTCACAATGTCAAGCTCCGTCTCGTTGAAATAGGCAAACAAGCTCGGCATGACAGCGGCAGAGAAGAGTTCAATACTCTCCCGCATAGCAGCGTTGAGGCTAACCTCACCGTCGGTAGCCTGAGCACCGTAGACTACATCGAGCTGATCCAGGTGAATGATGATCATGGTCAAGATGGTGGTGCGCTGCTCGAAGCTAATGTGTCGGAAGACACGAGGGATGGCCTTCTTGCCCTTGGGGAACGAAAGGAACGCGATGAACGGGTGAATGGTAGTGGCACCAATGGGCTCATGAACCTTGAGATCGTTCCAAAGCTGAGCATTGTACGCCTGGGCCGTCTCCAACCACGCTTGGTGCTTCACATGGAATTCTTCGTCGTTGCCATTAGCGGGCGGTGGAGGAATGAAGCGAGCGTGATCTTCCATCTTCATAATGGTATTGTAGACCTTCTCAATGTTCCGCAGAATAGCTTTGCGGTCCAGGCCGTTCGAATCTCCATGGCGCTTGCCATTACCAGGGCGGTTAGCATCTCCACTGCTGTCGGTTCTCTTGATGTTGAGGAGTGGCTTCGGTGTCTTGGCGTTGCTGAAAGAAATTTTTCCAAGACTGCCCGCGATGACCAGCTGAGGGTTCTTGGGCTTGTTCTTGGCAGCCTCAACAGCACGCTGAACTTGCTGTTCCATCCGCTGGACATGGTTTTCGGCGGCTCGTCCCTGTCTTCTCATGTTGCCTTGGCGGCTTCCAGTCTGGAACAGGTAGGTCTGAGCAAAGTTGTTCAGGGGCTGGTTCGGGTTCTGGCGCTGACCACCGCGGATCTGGCTCAAAACCTGATAGTAAAAGTCTTCCGTCAGAGAGTCGTCGTTGGTCTGATCAATCGGATTGCCGGTGGCCGAAACAAGCTGCTGCAGTTGGATACGAGTCACAAAGTTCTTATCCTGAGGCGTCATGAGACCGTTGTCCTTGGACAAGACCCAAATCTTATGATTACGCTTAGCACGTTTGGTTTCTTGGTCGAGGTATGCAGCCTTCTCGTCCTCAGAAAGGTGGGCAAGATGCTGCTGTTGCTGTTGCTGCTGAGCGACCGGAGGAACACGACCCATGGAACCTTGAGATCGATGGGCCTGGTGATGACCATGAGGAGGTTGGCCATGTCCTGCGATCCGAGCGGCATCGCCCGAAAGCCTATTGGGGTTTTGCAATATCTGAGTCGGCTGCGTAGGCGGAACTTGAGAGTGAGGAGGTTGAGCAAGAGGACTGGGGGTGCCCTGAATGGGCGGCGTAGGCTTGGAGGTGATAGACTGAGGTCGCTGAAGGATGGTAACAGGCTGGCCATGGCTGGTGTGCTGAGGAGGCTGACCAGCGCGCTGCTGATGATGCTCAAGACCCTGGAAAGATTGTTGTTGAACAGCCTCAGGTCGACCATATCCATAATCAGCCGGATAACCTTGAACGCTCGGCGCAGACTCGGAAAGAGCAGGTTGGGCTGTTCGCTTAGTGGCCTGCTCTCGCATTGCCTTTTCCACTTCCTCCAGACTCATCACCTTACGGCTGGCAGAGGCGGCTTGCGGCTGCGGCGAAGGCTCCGGGACGGGGGGCTTCTTGGAAGGCATGCCCCAAAGTGATGCATCGACATGAAGATCAGGGATAGGCTCTGCCTCTTTGTACTTCTCATAGCCGGTGCGAACAGGCCTGGAGGTCTGCTGGCTTTGATAGTAGTAGTTGGGCGGAGGCTGGGCCTGTTGCTGATAGTGCTGTTGCTGCTGAGTCGGCGCAGGAGCGGGAGCCGGCTTCGCCATTGGAACTTGGCGACTGTAGCGGACCTGCTCTTCTTCGATGGCATCCGACACTTTGGCCGTTTGGCCAAAGAAGTCAAAGTCCTTACCAACGGGCGCGGAAGAGATGGCTTCGCTGCCACCACCCCCGAATGTGTCGTCATTGAAGGCATCACCGCTCTCTTCGAGCTGATCGCCTAAGCCATCATAGGTGTCGTCGAACTCGACAGCATCGTCTTCCTCGGTGTTGCCGCGGGAGAGGCCAGCGAAAGGATCGTGGGCCTGAGAAAAGCCCGGCGCCGCCGTGTTGTGGCTCGGACGCGACGGGTCGAAACCGAAGAACGACATTTTCGGAAGCCGGTTCGATTTCGAAATTGTCCAGAAGCAGATAGCTGTGTACTAGGTATCGGTCAGTATTTGAAGTTGAGCATCTGAAGTAGGCCGAGGCAAATAGATGGCAAGGTAGCTAAGGCGAAATGAGGAAAGGACGACCAGCAACAAGACGACGAGAGCAACCTGATTTCAGTTAAGAAGAAGAAAGAGACTCCTTCAGACACCTTCAGCCAGGTGAAAGTGATACGTGGTGGGGAAGCCACCCACTTGCTCCCACTTGCTCCCACTTGCTCCCACTTGCTCCCACTTGCTCCCGCCTTTGCATTTCGTGAACAGACAGGAGATGGTTAGAGGCATAAAGTAGGGCAGGCTGCTCTCAATACACTCTTGCAGGCAGTGATGTGAATGTGAGAATGATGCGACTTACCACTAAGAGAATGAGATGTCTGTGGCTTTAAGCAGAACAGCTCCCAAAACTATCATGATGTCGTCAAAGACAAATTCCAAAAGTGGGAGTAAAGCAACTAGGCATAAACAGGGTATTATAGCCGATCTGCTTGGTATATGGACATCCAGAGGAAACAGATCCACCAAAGACCAAGATCGAACACAATGCGCCAAGTGCAGTGTGGTGCTATGAAGGGAAACAGAAGAGTCGCGTTGCTTGGGCTTGGGATGCAATGTCCAAAGTGGTGATGCATCATTCGCAGCCGTGGAGGAATTGAGGCTTGAGAGGCCAGAGGACCCCACTACCTGGCCATCTACGGACCAATGGGGAGCTTAGATGACCCATCTACCAGCACACTGATCACGTGATTTGTTAGTCACTCGCCGGCTGCTATGAATAGCCCCTCCCGTCACCGTGGCCTGTACTGATTAGTACTGCGTAGATATTCTGTCCGAATGTGGATGGAGGGGTCCTCAATTATGTGATTTTCGTTTTCCAGCGGCCTGCCAAGTTGTTTGTCGTTTTATAGGGCATGGCACCTGTGTCAAATGAATATGTAATGATCGGCAAACTTCAATCAAGGGCTGCATTACATCGCCAAACTCTTCAATTACATTTACGTCCCTATGGCTCGGTTATGTTCACCGGTCTGATGGGAACCAATCTTTTCAACGGCAACGACTCCAAACCGACACGCACAAGGTTATGTACATGATGAATTGTCATGTACAGGTAAGATCCGAACGATGGGTTATACGTATTCCTTGCATTTGCGGCTCTCTTCTCACATCCTTGCTACTCAGGTTGTAGTGAGCCAGCTGATATCTCAGGCGATGGTTGTGTTGTAGAGTGAGGTAGGAGATTGGGCTTGACGTATTATACATATCGCACAATGAGTCAAGCGTCATGTTTGTTCACAACGTGATGATACCTGTTATTTTGTATGGATGTCGTCGAGTCTTCTCTGAGTTCGCCAGCGTTATTATCATGGTATTGATCCGAGTCAAAATGGCTAGAGGAGAAAGATTCCTCCTATCTCAACTTCGGTTTACTGCAAAGCCCAGTCCGTGCATCCACTCGGAGGGTGTGATGGAAGTGGAATGCTTAATCATTTGGTCGAATGACTAAGGTTATGGAAAGTACCCTTGACACTCACCATTTTGGCGAGGAATTTATTCCTTGGCCAACGCTGATCGCAGGCGGAAGGCATAATAGCAGGTGGCGGTTCATCCCGTTTCTCTGTGCTCAGAAGCACTACGAAAACAGGTAGCCCACGAAGAGCCGTGAATCGCTTTTGGGAGTGCTCCTGGTGCCAGACAAAGTTCCCAGCACGAGCCTTTCGGTCAAGTGCCACGGCGACCAGCTGTGTGGCTCGGTCGGGATACGAGCGGGAAGCAAGAGGCACGTGGGTTGCACGAACCTACAAAGGTGCTGCATAGATAGTAATGTGATGTAAAAAAATAAAAATAAATAAAAAATAAAAAATAAAAATAAAAAGAAGAAGAAGAAAAAAGCCAATCTGACATTGTCGAAAGGTGTCCCGTCGGCTCGGCGTAAGACGAATACCAAGACACAACTGCCAGCCGAAAGGACCAGCGCTTCTTCTTAGCCCCCGGTACCTAGACATTACGGACAAACGCATCGCAAAGTACGCAGTAGCAATCAGGCCAATCTACACGAGGCCGCTAGATCTGTCAGGGGCTACCGACTGGGTGTACCTGCACGTGTAGGTATATGTCATAAAGAATGCACAAGGGGCTGGATTATGCTGAAACCAAGCACAGTGAGTCTCCTGTTTGGGTTGCCCTCAGGGCTGAGGCTGACGGGATGCAATGCGAGCGGATTCTCGCAGTGGCCACGCTCCCCGTCCTCTCCCTTCCCTGTTCAAGAATGGGGACCGCCTGCCCGAGAGTTGGGAACGGATACGCGGCAGCGAGGTACGTGGAGGATGGGTACTTATCTTAGGTACCTAACTGAGTTATCAACCGGTTGCCGTGCTCAATAGCCAAGTCTTTTTCTCGCACCCGCTAGCGGACTGTTTCTTGTGTGTATCTTCTTGCTGCAAATACCTAGACTAGATACCTACCTAGGGATCGACATGACTTATTCCCAGCTCCAGGTCTCCAAATAGGTAATATTGAAAATCCTCTTTTTGAGCAGGCATGAGTTCAAACTCATTCCATAAAGCTATATACCTACCCCGAGCAGCGATTTGCTGACATCAGCAACTATCAGGAAGAAAGTACTCCCCAAATAGAAATCACCGAAAAAAGGTACCTGTCGCTTTTTTTTTGAGTTGCCAAGCTTCTGGGTTCAGGCCAGCTGTCCACCCCACCCCCTTTATCCTACCTCAGGTACCGTATTGTAAGTGGGTGGCACCATTGTAGATACCTAGCTAGGTACATGCGGCGCGGCTTTTTGGTGCACCGCGTACGCTGCATTCGTACCCCTGTGAAAGTCCGCCAGGTCCCCCGGAACCAGTTGTCGCTAGCGCCCCAGCTGCTCCTCCAGCTCCTCTTGACATGTATCCCTTGAAGCCATCTTTTTGTATTAACTCCCGCGTCCCTCGCATCTTTTTCCTTCTCGTCCTCCTCGCCCTTGTTCATCCTTGGGGAAGAGCGAGATATTTTCCCACTTCTAACTTCAATCCCTTTCTCTCCCTTCCATCTTCCGATTCGGGCTTCCATCGGGCCTGATTATATAGGTCAAGATGGCGACGGGATCTGCACGATACGTTCGATACCTACTTTTCGCCTTCTTCGTAAGTTGAAACCCTCGTCCGTCAAAACTTGTGCCATTGCAGCTACACCAGGAACCTGAACGACGCTGTTTCTTTGTAACCCCATGACATTCGCACTTTGCACTGCTTAGTTGTGTCTTTCAATCATATGCTTACTTCGACATGTTCTTGCGCAGGGCCTCGCCGTCTTCTACTTCATCTCCCACTCCAGCTACGAGGGCGCAAGACTTCAGGATGGCACCTTCAGCAAACCAGGCGCTCCCGCCAACGGTCAGCAGCAGAGTGGTCAAAATGCTGCAGAAAAACCCAAACAGCCTGCTCAATCCGATGCAAACCGGCCCAAGGTTGGCGAGACATACGATCCAAAGGAATGGCCCATGCCCATGACTCCGAACGAGCCTGGCTGGGACGAATTATCCGGTATCGCATCCGGCCCACGCATGAATGCCACTTTCGTTACCCTCGCCCGAAACTCCGACATCTGGGACATTGCCCGCTCCATCCGTCAGGTCGAGGACCGTTTCAACCGCCGCTACAACTACGACTGGGTCTTCCTCAACGACAAGCCGTTCGACGCCACATTCAAGAAAGTCACCACCTCTCTCGTCTCCGGCAAGACTCATTACGGTGAAATTCCCAAGGAGCACTGGTCCTTCCCCGAGTGGATCGACCAGGAGAAGGCTCGCAAGGTCCGCGAGGACATGGCCCAGCGCAAGATCATCTACGGCGACTCTGTGAGCTATCGCCACATGTGCCGCTTTGAATCTGGCTTTTTCTTCCGCCAGCCCCTCATGATGAACTATGACTACTACTGGCGTGTCGAGCCCTCCATCGAGCTCTTCTGCGATATTCACTACGACCCCTTCCGCTTCATGAAGGAGAACAACAAGAAGTACAGCTTCGTCCTGAGCTTGTACGAGTATGTCGAAACCATTCCTACTCTTTGGGACAGCACCAAGAAGTTCATCAAGAACCACCCTGAGCACATTGCTCAGGGCAACTCCATGGGATTCCTAAGTGACGATGGCGGCGACACCTATAACCACTGCCACTTCGTAAGTTGGCTTGCACCATATCATGTAAGCCACATGCTGACCTTCATAGTGGTCCAACTTCGAAGTTGGTGACCTCAACTGGCTCCGATCCCAGGCGTACATCGATTACTTCGAATCCCTTGACCAGGACGGCGGTTTCTTCTACGAACGATGGGGTGACGCTCCTGTGCATTCGATTGCCGCCAGTCTCTTGTTGCCCAAAGACCAGATCCACTTCTTTAACGACATCGCTTATTACCATGTCCCCTTCACTCACTGTCCCACTGGCGAGAAGGTCCGTCTTGACAGACGTTGCCACTGCAACCCCAAGGACAACTTTGACTGGAAGGGTTACTCTTGTAAGCTTAGCCCCTGAATACGAGGCCCCGGGACGGACAGCTAACACAATCAGGCACGAGCCGCTTCTTTGAGGTCAACGGTATGGAAAAGCCTGAGGGTTACGAGAACCAGCAGGATTAAGCTCATACACCGGTACGGTACAGTGAGCGTATGTAGTATGTATCAACAATTTTCAAAAGGGGCCTTGGTTTTGGCCGTCAATCAAGTGGGCCTGCATCAATGAAGGGAATTGGGCAGATCGGGTACTAAACGTGGGGCGGCGTCAATGGTTCTGGACACTCTTTTTGCTCTGTAGATATTAGCAAATGGAGATTGCTACCTGGAGTTCATCCAGCTTTCAGTGGCTCTTGATATTGTGATAATCTGTAATGCGATAATAGTACACGACTTTACACGTTGTAGAAGTGCCCGTTCTAATCGGGCACCTGTGGGGGCGCAGCTTCACCCGTACTCCCTTGACTCTTTTTTGACGTCCCAATCTCCCACTTGTATCTTCCTCTGCCTCGTTAAGAACCCCGTTTCTTTAGCTCACTGTGGCCTTCTTGGGCTTCATCGTGCCGTACTTTGAGCGAGAACTGGCACGGTTCGCCACACCGCCAAGATCGAGAGCGCCACGGACAAGGTGGTATCGTACACCGGGACAATCCTGACTACGACCGCCACGAACGAGGACAACGCTGTGCTGCTGAATATTGTGGCCTTCGCCAGGAATGTAGGCAGTGACGTGGCGGCCGTTGGAGAGGCGCACACGAGCGGTCTTGCGCTGGCCGGAGTTGGGCTTCTTCGGGCGGATGATACCAACTTTGAGGCAGACGCCCTTGAGGGCGGGAGCCTCAATCTCGGACAGGGCGGGGGAGACAGCGTGACGAGCGCGCTTGCCCTTCTTATGACATCCCTGTGATTGTGACTGTCAGTATATGCTTCAAGTATGGGAGTTGACGGGCTGAGAAGGAGGGGGACGAACTCTCAGGACCTGCATGATGGTGGCATTCTGAACGGGGGTAGATGAAAAGGGGCGGATCAAGGGGGCCACGGTTGACGTGAAGAGGGATGCAGCGCGCGGAAATGTCGCTGGCCTCATCGCCGGAGCAAAGAGTGATCTGAACAACGTGCTGGCCATGTCGGGAAACGGCTTCCAATTGCTTTCGTCACAGCCTCTAGAGCTCTCGTCGCAATGTTATTACCTTCACCTGGTGGATTATTTTTTGGATTGCTTAGCTAAGGTTGATGCACGTGATGCTTCCCTGTCCTCCAAATTGCGGACCTCAGGCACCGGTCCTCCGCCCCCGGGCCCACTCACTCGGGCCACCTTAGCACCGCCCCTTGAACCGATGAAATCGGCCTTTTTGGTCTGTCAGTTGGTATCACATGCCTCCCTTTCGGGAAGATCCTGACGTAAGCGACCGAGACCCTGGTTCACTCTTGGTGCTACGCCGCCGGGCTTTCCCCCAGATACCTACGGGATAGCGAAGCTGGGGGCGGTTGCCCCCCACTGCGGGATGGATATCCTCGGCTGAAGCGGGCGCTGTCTGTTCGCCAGCCGCCAGGTACCGTGGCTCCGAACGGGCTTTGAGGTTCACGGTCTAGGGTGCACCACATCTCTGACTACTTTCCTGTTTTCTTCCTAGACCCTCCCCAGAAACAATCCTACTATCGAAACCGTCCGTCGCCAATTGACCAAATCCGTCCGGGCGTTACCTACTCGTTGGCATCGCACGGTCGACAAGACAGACCGAGTCCATAAGTAGTTGAGCACTTCCGACGATCTGCAATCACCCATCTCCGGCGTCTTTTGCTGCTTTCCTTCCTTGCTGTTTCCGAACCACTCGAGCGACCTTGAGGTTATCCACACTTGACATATTGCACCATGTCGTCTTTTGCTCGGGCTATTCGCCCCGCCATGAGGGGAAGCCGTGGTGTTGCCGCCCTCGCTAAAGGGAGGACATGCACGCCGACCAGAACCTTCTTGCCACTCCAGCAGTAAGCTGCCAACCCGTCCTATTCCTCTCCCAAGGGTCGACATTTATGAACCTTTGCAATACTAACATGTGCCCTACAGAGCCGCCAGACCTCTCTCGACCACCCAGCGCCGCCGCAATGCCGACCACCTTGACATCACCGACATCCCCCCCACGCCCATCACTCATCTTTCCGAGGTCGAGGCCGCCATGCAGGAGACTGTGAATAAGTTCGCCAACGACGTGATCGCGCCCAAGGTTCGTGAGATGGATGAGGCAGAGGACATGGACCCGGCGATCGTTGAGCAGCTCTTTGAGCAGGGGCTCATGGGTGTCGAGATCCCCGAGGAGTACGGCGGCGCCGGCATGAACTTCACGAGCGCCATTATTGGCATTGAGGAGCTCGCCCGCGTCGATCCCAGTGTCAGCGTCCTCGTCGACGTCCACAACACCCTTGTCAACACCGCCATCATCAAATGGGGCAGCTCCCAGCTGAAGCAGCGCTTTCTGCCCAAGCTCGCTACCAACACCGTTGGCAGCTTCTGTCTGAGCGAGCCAGTCAGCGGCTCCGACGCATTCGCCTTGGCTACCAAGGCGACCAAGACAGAGAACGGTTACAAGATCAACGGCTCCAAAATGTGGATCACCAACTCCAAAGAGGCTGACTTCTTCATCGTTTTCGCGAACCTTGATCCCGCCAAGGGGTACAAGGGCATCACTGCCTTCATCGTCGAGAAGAACACCAAGGGCTTTTCCATTGCCAAAAAGGAGAAGAAGCTTGGCATCAAGGCCAGCAGCACATGCGTCATCAACTTTGACGACGTTGAGATCCCTAGGGAGAACCTTCTCGGAGAGGAGGGTTCGGGCTACAAGTACGCCATCGGTCTCCTGAACGAGGGTCGTATTGGTATTGCTGCTCAGATGACTGGCCTTGCCCTCGGCTCATGGGAGAACGCCGTCAAGTAGGCTTGCCCCCTGTTGCCACTCACTCGCTTGGGCTCCCTGATGCTAACAGCTACCAGGTACGTCTGGAACGACCGCAAGCAGTTCGGCCAGCTCGTTGGCGAGTTTCAGGGCATGCAGCACCAGATCGCGCAGTCGTACACGGAGATCGCCGCTGCGCGTGCGCTCGTTTACAATGCGGCGCGCAAGAAGGAGGCCGGCGACAACTTCGTCATGGATGCCGCCATGGCTAAACTGTACGCTAGCCAGGTCGCCGGTCGTGTGAGCGGCCTCGCCATCGAGTGGATGGGCGGCATGGGCTTCGTCCGCGATGGCCCGGCCGAGAAGTTCTGGCGCGACAGCAAGATCGGTGCAATCTATGAGGGCACCAGCAACATCCAACTCAACACCATTGCCAAGCTGCTGCAGAAGGACTACACCGCATAAGTGGTGTTCTCCTTTCTGGGAGTGCTTCGAACAAGTCCGAGAATGAGAGAAAGGGAGTGTAATGGCGAAACTGGACGGGAATCGTGTAGGTTATTAGACGGCGTTTAATAAAAGCGACACGATCAAGTGTTGGGCGTCTTGCCTCCAAAGATTACTTCTCTGCACATTGTTTTGGGTAAATTTGACTCTGGATCTCGCCGTCCTTCGGTGTCATTCAGCAAGAGGAGATCTTCCAGACCCTGAGCCAATGCTATCAAAGTAATGTGTCTTCCACGTTACCGTAACGTCTTGTTCTTTACCTCCAAATATGGCTTTCAGCCAAGTATATCATGCAGTCGGTTACACGCCCAGGCCTAAGTGGGTGTCACATTTATGGTGAGCCTGTTGTATATCAGTGCAGTGGTACACTGACTTTAGTATCGACAGGAAAGATGAGAATCGTCAAGAGTATGTAAGCATTTACTAGGGCTTCAAGTCCGAGTCGCGCGCAAAGTCAGTCCGAACGCATCTAATGGAATGGCAGAGCCACACAGAATAGAGGATTCAGCGGTTTGGCCAGGCAGATGATCAAAGTTCTGGATTTCTAGATGTCACTCAGATGAACCGGGCTGTGTGCCATCCATTGTTCTTGCACGCATTCCATGCATGAAACAATTGAAGACGCACTGCAAGATGCGAGGGGACTTAGTCAGAAGGGGTCGATATGATGGCTTGCGATCAAGCACAGTCCTCTAACTCCGACATGGCTCCCCGCACACCGCAAGTGCACGTTAACTGCAGGTCACAGGCTTTAGATGTTATATATTAAAGATATGGAATAAATGTTGGAGCTAAATGATGTGATGCTGTCCATGATACCTATAGTCAGGGCAAGATCTCACACTCACTTGGTTTAAAACAGTTGTGTACACTATGGGAAGACTTGGATTGCTGTCTTCTTTGTCTACCCAGGACACGCGCAACATCCCTACTCCTAACAGCATTCTTTGCGCGTACCTGTAAGCAAATTCACCTGAATACACACTGGCTCGACTGGACAGGGCATGTTTGTCAGAGCGCCGTTTCATAGAAACCACTCAGCAGAAACAAAGCGACAAATGACTGCAAGTGTCGGCATCACCACTTATTTTCACCCACCAATTATGTATGGTGGCTTGTCCGTCCGTCCGAAGAGTGACATATTGAATGAAAGTGCCGCTTCGCCGGCACGACCTCGCCGGCACACACGCCTCGTTGCGGCAAGGCCATCTGGTGAGTCACATCAGACCAGACAGAGAAACGTCGATCCTGACACACGGACTATTCTGAAAATCCTGGGGTCGGAAATAGGGACTTTATGCGATAATGATCCGAGCAGCTCGCGATTGGCTTCATAACTCGAGGTCAAAGAGTGACAGGAATCGCGAGGGATGCCAAGTTTTACACTCAAAAGAGAAAAAGGAAGAAGACGGCGATGAAGAAAAGGAAGAATGAGAAGAATAAAAAGAAAAAGAAAAAGAAAAAGGTCTTGAGCGATCAATCTGATTTCCTCATAGACGGGACAGCGGCATGGGCCGTAACTCTCTCTATCAGCACTGAAGAAAGCAAATCTTGGCCCCTGCCGGGTCTGCGGGGATTGAGAGGTGATCCGCCGGAGTCTTTTCCGCAGGCCACCGTATATAGGGCGCGCCCGCGTGGTTGGAGGGAACGACCTGGAAGGCGGCCACTGAGCGAGGGTGGGTCGAAACGGTTCCGCGACGTTGGTGTTTTTTTTTTTTTTTTTTTTTTTTTGAGGACTCTTTCCAGTTAAGAGACGGACATCGATATGCATGGAGGGCCAAATGTGACCAGCCTTTCGGCTTTGCATTTGTAACCCAAACCCGAGTGGCAGAGGCAGACTTTCCGGTGGTGGGAGTGACTAAGTTCGTTTCAAGTAGACGTTACAGTTGGCGTGTTGATCGATCGACTTCGTGTTGGGCCAGGACGGACAAGTTGGGCATGGTGGATGACGGGTTCCGGGCGGTAATTAGCGTCCACTACTCCCGCTCCGTAAGTGAAGCACGGATTTTGTATTGAGTCCCCTTGCTTTCGCGTTCGGGGTGGGATGCAGGCAGAAAGACCCGCCCCATGACAATGGTGAAATCTGGAAATCTTGGGGTTTGTGGCAGCCGTTACCACAAGAGGGTGCCGTAGTTGCCGGCCGTATGGCGCCATGGGGAGAAGTTCGAGGTATCTGCGGAAAGGCCGGCGGACAGCTGGCGGCGGTGAGACCAGTCGGCAGAGGTGTCGTCAAGTGAGAACCCAACCATAAAATAGTGATTCATTGCTGTGATGTCGGGTTGGCCCCCACGATGGTAGGCCTAGGAGCTCTGATGTGTTCATGTTGTATGGAATCATACATTGGCATGTGGCTGAGAATGGAGCAATGGCCCTAAGATACGGTTGGCCGACAGGCGGCCGAGCTGCTGGGTGGTGATTGCAACGGGCCTACTCAGTATTTGCAATACCTACGGAGTACCTAACAAAAGAAACTAGCACTGAGCTAGACGAGATACTGAAAACCTAGGTATGCATCGCTGCATGCACCCGTACGCTCAGGACTGACACTACCTACCTACACTGAAGTAGTGTGGGTGGTTGAAGGGATGGTCTCGGGGCGATGACGATGCAGCCGCGAGCCGGTCAGTCCCAGGATTGGCCGTCTGGGAAAAGTGGATCGGCAAAACTTCCCGATAAGTAGGAGGGAGGGGGAGCCTTGGAGACGGGCGGCCTGGCGGCTGGGCTGTGTCCGTCGCCGTCTGCCGGAGATCTCTTCCTCTCACATGGGAGGGCAACCAATTGAGAGGCTTCTACTCCTGCTTGTCAAGAACCCAAAGGGGCTCCTCTGCATACTGTGTCAGGGTGGCGTTTTCTCGTCAAGGGTTTCGTCCTTTAAGCATCGTGTCAAAATATTCTATCTTCTCTCTCTTACTGTATACTGGCATAGGTAAGTAGAAAGTGGATTGTGGTACGGGTAAGTCTATGTGATAATTAGTTGGCCTAGCCGTAACGAAGTACCTTGAAAGTCGCCGTCTGCTGTCTGGGATGGGGGAGGTGTTGGTGTAAGGTTGTGTGTAAGGTTGTGTGTGTGTGTGAGGTGTGGGTGGACGGGCGACGACGAGGGTGAGTGAGGATCAGAGACAGGCGACAGAGTGGAATTCAAAAAACCTTCTGCCTGGGACCTAGGTAGTCAGGTTGGAAAGCGAAGAAGTCCTGGTTCAGCGTTATGACAAGAGATGCGTAGTGTAGAGTGCCCAGCGAGATGGTCAGTGATTGGCGCAGAACAGAAATGAATCTTCACCACGGTGAAACAACCAAAAGTCCTAGAAGCCCCACGTCCGGTCTAGGACTTTTCTCTCCTCTCTCTCTTCCCCCTCTCTCCCTCTCTTTCTCTCGTCCGATCCCACCCTTTCGTGTGCGGTCTTGTCCAAAAGCATCTGTAGGGTGCCGTCGTCACAGCTGTTTGGCTTGCTTGATTGACATCCAACCACTGGCTGGCAGCCCGAAATTTCAGGTCGGGCAGAGAAGAGAACCATGAACGGTCAACAATACGAAACGGCGAGTTGAGTCGAGTCGAGCTTTGCTGCCCTACTACTACACTACGTACATAGTACTACACTAGTACGGATAGTGTACAGACATTTACCGTAGGTATGTGCCCCATCTGCCTTGTCATTGCGTCCTGTATCCGCCCAGGATACGACGTCAAACACGAGCCATCCTTGAGCAGCTGGCGCAATTGGGAGGCAGAGAGGCAAGGACCGGACGTAGTGTACGCAAACTGCACACCAAACATGTTGGTGAGGGAGGTGCATCAGGCAGGTACCTCGGGGCCCTACCAGGCATACCTACAGGTAGGTAGTGAGTGTACAGTACCTCCGATACGGACCAACCCAGCCTGCGCATCCGCAGTTGTTGTTGGGCATCAGAGGAGATAAAAATGCTGGGAAGCAAATGGGGCTCCAATGTGCCCCATGAACCAGCCAAATACCTGTACATAGCGGAAAGGCAGGATCGGGAGGGTACGTGACTGGAGGCAATGAAGAAGCTCATGCGGGAGTCGGGCATTATATCTAAGTAATCAGCTGCCTGAATCATCCATTTTAGCTCGCCTGCCATCTTCACATTGAGTTACAGACTTGCTTCGTCCGTCCCAGCGCATTCGTAACACCCCTCCATCTCAGGTTCCTCCCCCCCCCCTCCCCTACAGAAGAGATACGTACCCCTTGTTGCTCCCGGGTAAGGTAGGTACTTCGTGGGTAGTGAACCTTACCTACCTAGGTACCTAGTAGTCCTGTCTCCAGAACTGGAGGTGGGAGAGAGATGGGAGAGAGGTGGGTTAAGAGTACCTCTCTTCCCTGTATCTTGCATGGTTGAGACGGTGGAAAGGATACTTCGCGCAAAGTACCTTCTTCTCATCTCTTCCTCGTTGCCTACTGTCCATCTAATTAGCGTCCACCCTCTCCTCTCCTCTTCCTCCCCTCCTCTTGTCCGCCCACCTCTACTTGAACGCACAGGCACTGTCAACTGCGCGAGAGAAAGCGACCCCTCCCGACAACCCCCCCCGTCTTGTGTCCTGCTCCAAAACCCACTGACGACATCTTTTACCAACCAGCCCAACCCGCGAAAAAACAACACCACTTCCTCGAGGGCAGGCTGCACCCACCGATCTTCTGTCGTGACAGTCTCCGACAGACCGATCCCTCCCGTTGTGCCAACCTACCCCGAGGCCCCTCCGACGCCGAACCTCCGGCACCTATAGCACACCTACCATACCCATCACAGACATCATTTTCTCTATCGTATTCCATACCTTGCACCCGCAACTTGCTCGTCTTCCCCGCCATCTCGAGGTGACTGCAGCAGACTGAGACATCACGCATACCTTCACATCCACGCTCCCCTCTTCCCGCAGCTTCAGAGCATATTCTTTTACCAGCCAGAACACAGCATATCACAAACACATAGCCCCTGCGCGTGGAGTCGCGCACCCCTACCGTCACCATGAACGACGAGGACGCTATTCAGAACATCCTCAAGAAGATTGAGCGCGAAAAGGCTCTTCTCAACGCCGCCAATGCCATGCGGGCGCAAACCAACAATGAAGCTGTTCGATCACGACTCGACTCTCAGATGCGCGATGGTCGCCGGAATCTGCAGTTCTTCGAGGAAAAGCTTCGTGAGGCTCAGTTGCGTCGTGGTATGGACAACATGTCCCTCGGTTCCCCAACCGGCGATAGTAGGCCCCTCAGCGGCGATATGGACGACGTGCCTCCGCCTCCTCCCAAGGATTCTGGCTGGGAACAGCGCGGTGGCTACGGCGCTGGGAGCGCGACTTCTGGCGGTAATGTCCAGTACAGCCAGATTGGCGGCCATGCCGACCTGATGCCTCCCCGTCATCCATACGCCAACCCTGGCCCTTCGTCCGTCCCCAAGTCGCGCCCCAACTTTACCAAGCTCGGTGTGCATTGCCCCCAACACCCCTATGTCCCCTCTCGATTTACTCACTGTGCCGTCTAGACCTGATCAAATATGATACCCCCTACCTCGGCCCTCGTATTCAGCTCATGCTGTCGCAAATTCAGTTCAAACTCAACGTCGAGGAACAGTACCTCAAGGGAATTGAAAAGATGGTCCAGCTATATGGTATGGAAGGAGACCGCAAGAGCAAGGCCGATGCCGCTGCTAGGAGGGTCGAGTCCAAGCAGAAAATCCTTCTGCTGAAGCAGGCCATGAAGCGCTACGAGGAATTGCACATCGACATGGATACGTCTGATGCCCAAGACGGTAAGTTTGCGCCCCTGGACTGTCATCACTCGCTGTGCCGCTGCTAACTGGGCGCCATAGATGATTCGATCAACGTGCCAAACTTACGCAAGCCTCTGACTGGCCAGCTCTCCATCCGGGTTGGACAAATCAAGGACGTTGACCACGCTTCCATGAGTCGCTTCAGCCGAGGTCCCGAAACCTTTATCGCTGTCAAGGTCGAAGACAATGTGGTTGCCCGCACAAGAGTTACTAGGACCGACAAGTGGGAAGCCGAGTACCACACCATCGACGTGGACAAAGCCAACGAGATCGAGCTCACAGTGTACGACAAGCCCGGCGAGCATGCCATTCCTATCGCCATGCTGTGGGTGCGCATTTCTGATATCGCCGAGGAGATGAGAAGGAAGAGGATCGAGGCCGAGATCAACAACTCTGGATGGGTGTCGGCTGACAGAATGGGTGCTCCGCCGTCGCAATTTCCCATGAACCCCCCTCAGCAGCAACAGTCCTTCGGTGGTCCTCCTTCGTCACCCGGTCTTGCTCAGCCGGGTGCGCAGGGCCAGCAAGCGCCTGGTGGCATGCCGAATCCCCCAATTGCTCACCAACCTATCGACGGCTGGTTCAATCTCGAGCCTGCCGGCCAGATCCAGCTTTCCTTGGGATTCCTCAAGCAGAACAATGCCCGGCGCCCTGTCAACCTTCAGGGACTCGGTCGTGTTGGTGCCGTTCGTCAGCGTAAGGAGGAGGTGCACGAGATGTACGGCCATAAGTTTGTCCAGCAGCAGTTCTACAACATAATGCGCTGCGCTCTTTGTGGAGATTTTCTCAAATACTCGACCGGCATGCAGTGCGAGGATTGCAAGTACACCTGCCACACCAAATGTTACGCGAGTGTGGTCACCAAATGTATTAGCAAGAGCAACGCTGAGACGGATCCGGATGAGGAGAAGATCAACCACCGTATCCCGCACAGATTCCAGGCCTTTTCTAACATGACAGCCAACTGGTGCTGCCATTGCGGCTACATCTTGCCATTTGGCAAGAAGAACTGCAGAAAGTGTGCAGGTAAGTGTTGCCCCAAAAATTGGCTTCAATGGCAAATCTAATCTCGCATAGAATGTGGTCTCACGGCGCACGCGGCTTGTGTTCACCTCGTTCCTGATTTCTGCGGCATGTCTATGGCAGTGGCGAATCAAATCTTGGAAGGCATCAAGACTACTAGAATGATCACCAAAAACAAGACTTCGTCCTCTCTGAGCGAACGCACGCTGAGGAAGCCAACCAGCCCGACAAGCACTCTGGGCTCTCCTCCCCACAGTGGTGGACAGGCGCATTATGCTGGAGGCTCGCCGGAAGCGACCGAGGCAGCCAAGCTCATGTACCAGCAGCAGTCGCCGTCGGGCCAGCGACCGTCGCACCCTGATCGTACCGCTTCCAGCACAGCGGCGGCGGCGGCAGCAACGGCCGCAATGAGCGGAACGATCGCTTCGCAGCCAAAGTCCCATTCGCAGGATTACGGGCAGTATGGTGGACATCCCGGCTACCCCCCTCAGGCCGAGCAAGAGGATCCTTACGGCGGGCGCAAGTACAACCCTGCGGATTACGCGGCAGTCAACCAGCAAGCTGCTTCGTACGCTCAGCAATCCCCCGTACAACAGCAACAACAACGGCCTGTTCAGCAACAGCAGCAGCAGCAGCAGCAGCAACCTCTGCCTCAGCAGTACCAGCAGCCAACTCAACAGCAAATGTATCAGCAACAGCCCGTCTCCTCGCCCAAGTTGCAGGAGCCTCCTCAAATCTCGCCCATCTCGTCATCTGGAGGCGTTCCCAGTGCTGGTCGTAAGCCTTTGCCATCTGCTACGGACCCAGGTACTGGCCAGCGTATTGGTCTGGACCACTTCAACTTCCTGGCTGTGCTGGGTAAGGGCAACTTCGGAAAGGTCATGCTTGCGGAAACGAAGCGATCTAAGAGGCTTTACGCCATTAAGGTGTTGAAGAAGGAATTCATTATCGAGAACGATGAAGTGGAGAGCATTCGGTCCGAGAAGAGAGTGTTCCTCATTGCTAACCGGGAGAGACACCCCTTCTTGACCAACCTCCACGCGTGTTTCCAGACGGAGACGCGTGTCTACTTTGTCATGGAGTACATCAGCGGTGGTGATCTCATGCTTCACATTCAACGGGGCCAATTCGGTACCAAGCGAGCTCAGTACGTGCAACCCCTATCCGCTCCAAAGTAAGATGTGCTAATACGTTCTAGATTCTACGCTGCCGAGGTCTGCTTGGCGCTCAAGTATTTCCATGAGAACGGCGTCATCTATCGTGATTTGAAGCTTGACAACATTTTGTTGACACTCGATGGACACATCAAGATTGCCGATTACGGTCTTTGCAAGGAGGACATGTGGTTTGGCTCCAACACTAGCACCTTCTGTGGTACGCCCGAGTTCATGGCACCAGAGGTATGTCTCCCTGCGTCACTTTGTGGCATTGTGCTAACCATTTTCCAGATTCTTCTCGACAAAAAGTACGGCCGCGCCGTTGACTGGTGGGCGTTCGGCGTCTTGATTTATCAGATGCTCCTCCAGCAGTCTCCTTTCCGCGGTGAGGACGAGGACGAAATTTACGACGCCATTCTGGCTGATGAGCCTCTGTACCCCATTCACATGCCTAGAGACTCCGTGTCGATCTTACAGAAGCTTCTTACTAGGGAGCCTGATCAGCGTCTCGGCAGTGGTCCCACAGATGCGCAAGAAATCATGAACCAGCCGTTCTTCAGGAACATCAACTGGGATGACATCTACCATAAGCGTGTTGCACCGCCCTTCCTGCCTCAGATCAAGAGCGCCACTGATACCAGCAATTTCGACTCTGAGTTTACGAGTGTCACGCCTGTCTTGACCCCTGTCCAATCCGGTACGTGGATATTCATCATGATATTGAAGGTCACCTTTGCTAACAAAGCGCAGTTCTCTCGCAAGCTATGCAAGAGGAGTTCCGTGGCTTCTCTTACACTGCCGACTTTGAATAGGAAAATGGCGACGGCGAAGAAGAATATCAAATTGTTTCGGGAAGCCCTGAGAGCAGCAGCTGACGCGAGTAGTTCACATGAACTATGCCGCCGACTTGGAGAGAAAGAGAGAATACCAAGTTGGTGAATAGCGGAACAAGCACTGGCGAGAGCGCAAGCCGCGCGCGCCAGGCCCTAGCGAAGACGGCCTCTGTTATACAGGGACGCTACGCATCGCCAGGCTGTGACGGTGAACCTCGGGTGGACAAGGAAGTGGTGCGCGCGCGCAGTATACGAAGTAAAAGCAGCGTTGCCCCCGGCCGTTCATGAGCGGACGTTGGAAAAGCAAGTCAGCGGATACCGACTAGAGTTAAACCTGGCAGGGTCTCTCCCAGACGCTGCCGCAGCGTTGTCAATAGAGGACACCTTCAGTGGTTTAAATCTTTTCTGACACGTTGTGGCCGGAAATCTGGAAATCTGGATTGTGACAGTAATACATAGGTTGTCCTCATGATCTATATGGTATCGTATTGTACAGGTGTATATACAACCACGGCGGAGTGGTGTGACTTATGTTCTCCGTAAAAGCAGCAAAGCAATGCCTCCTGCCAAAGTAGCTCCGGCTGCAGCGCCCTCGAGGGCAAGGATCGAGGCGTCCCGCATGCGCAAGTCAATGCGGCGCTCACTATAGAGATCGACCAATCCCGCCTTCATCAGCGCGGGGAGCGCTGGATCGGTGATGAGCTCGCGCCACGACTTGGGCGTGGGAACCTCTTGCTCCAGGACTTCAAGAGCGCTGGAGACCTCCCGCTCCATCTCGTGCTTGACAGCCGGCTCCTCGAGCTTGGCGCTCAGGGCCTCCTCTCCAGCAGCTGTCACTCCAGCCGTCACCGGCGGTGCCACTCCCGTAGCCTTGGCAGCGACATCAGCAGCGGCGTCCGCCGCCTCCCTCTGCGCCAAGGCCGCCTTCAAGCCCGCCAGCTCGGCTGTCACGCCCTCGAGAACGGCCTTCTCCTCCTCGACCACGCCGAGCACAAGCCGCCTCCGCTTCCACGGCTCGGCGACGAACTGCAGCACGATGAACAGCAGCACGTTTACACCCATCAGGCCCCAAGTGCCCCATGTCGATGCACGGCGGATGCGGTCCGACCAGATCTGCTCCTCGTGATAGCGCTTGAGAATACCCGCGTTGAGCTGCTGGCCCAAGGCCTGCTCAGCGTGCTCGGCATCGGTGAGGGCCTCGGCGGCAGCGGCGACCTCCTGCTCGAGGGAGTGGTCCTGGCGGTAGAGCTGGGTGAAGCGCTCGAGGTCGGTCGGAGACCACATCTCCTTGCGGGCGAGGAGGGTGGTGACCTCGCGCTGGGTGGTGGCGCGCTTGGCGTTGGTGGTCTTGTAAGTGGCGCGAGCGGTGCGGACGAGGGACTGAGCTTCAGCGAGGCGGTTCTCGAGGAGGGTGTTTTGGTCCTTGATGACCTCGATCGGGGCGTAGCCCGTGAGGGTGTTCAGGGTCGTCGAGGCGGTCATGAGGCGCGTCTGGAGGGTATCCATGAGGTGGGACAGCTTCTCGGAGAGGGCGGGCGGCAGGGCAGTGTAGATCTTGGTGGCCGTCTCGGGATGAGGGTCTTCGAGCTTCGGTCTGGAGGAGTCGGGGTCGGAGGACGTGGCGGTGTCGGTTTCATTGTTCGTGGTTGAGGATGGGGAGGGAGATGACGATGTCGAGCTTGAGGTCGCAGCATCTGAGCTTGGGAGGAACGATTCGCTTGTCGGGGAAGCTTGTTTGATCTCTTCTTTCGAGGCGGAGGAGCTCGGCGGCGGACGGGGAGGGAATGAAGGGGGGAGGCCCGAGGCGTAGAGCCGTCGTTGGGGTGCGGCGGCCGGCGGGGCGTTAAGACGCAGGGCGAGGGCGACGGCGGGTTGCCATCTCCGGAGATTGACGGTGGTGTGCATGCCGATGCGAGCGTGAGCTAGGCGCGACGCCGTCCTGACAATTGGGGGCATCTTTTTCTTCCCGGCGTCAGGGTTCGAGAGCTGAAGAATAGCGACAGCTCTTCCCCAGTGAAACAAAAGGACGGACCAATTGAGAGGGATGTCGGCGGGCCGAGTTGTTCAAACGCACGGGAAGCCGGGGTCGGCGGGTGAGGCTTGGGAGGAAAGTTTGGACGAGGGCAACAAGACCCAGACCTTTTGGGGAGGAAAGCGTGAGTCGGGTCGGCTTCGGATCATGCTGAGTGTTGGTACGGAACGGGTCCCTCGTCGGTTTCTGCCGCAAAGGCCAGTGGGTGGATTTTTCTTCACCGCCTGCCGTGATTTGGGGTAAGCGCGAGCCCGGTGCCGGCGCGGCGGGGGCTAGTTATTAGTTCGATCTTCGGAGACCAGGGCCGGAACGCTGAACTGTTTCCCAGTCCAAGCTTGCTGCTTGGGACGACACCCGCCATTGCCAATGTCATGATCGAGCAAGTCATTAACAAGACGGCAAGATACATCGATTGAGCACATTCGACATCGTTAATGCACATCATGGTTGGGAAGCGGCGAGCAGTGAAGACGCCAAATGCTGATCAAAGGATGACTGTATACGACTCTCTGCATTGCTGGCCTCGTGGCCAACATGCTGAGCTTGTCAATGGTAATACGGTTATTTTTCTGGAAAACTAATTGATTTCAATTGGGTTATGTAACAAGTAGAGAATATGACGCGTAATGATTAGATTCAAAAGCACATCGACAAGTATCGTTCGTCGTAAGCAGCATGGGTTGCCAGACTATAAGCAAAAGACACTGTTTGGTTGCATCGCAAGTTTTCCCAATATGAATTGACACCCCACCGTTAACAATCTTCCCAGAAGCAACAAAGCCGTCTCCATCTGTGCTGACTGGTTCCCGAATATAATAAGTTGACCAGCAACTCTACTTTTTCAAGGCGAAGCACCGCTCAATGTTGTCTGCATTGTTCCCCCACCACTTTACCATAACTGCACCCGTCGTTCCAAGAAAGATGAAGATGAACAGCAAGTTGGCATTGAATCCGGTGTCTAACGCCGCACCGCTGATGTATGCCCACTTGTTCCAGAAGGCGCGTCGGTAACGGTAAAGATAGAAGTTGAAGAACGTTCCAACAAGGAATGTGGTAAGAGGCCCAGTACTCAGGTTGCCGTGGAAAGTGGCGGCGCTGGCAAAAAAGATTGTCGAGTTCCAAAGGTCGAAGCGGGCCTTAGGGAACTTCTTGTGCAGCATCCAAATGATAATGGGCGCTACTGCCCCAGCAGGAAAGCCATATAGAACAGGTTTGAAGAAAGACGAAGCAAAGAGCTTCTTGGGACCGACTAGGGCGTACTGGATGCCGGCGGTATTGTAGCTCTTGAACTCTTGGCCCGTCCATTGTCCCTGGGGATCTGGGATTCGACCGCTTACATAGTCGAACTTGGACGCGACCACCCAGCGCATAACACCATAGTTGACGGGCAGAGCAAGCATATTTGCGATGATTTGAATACCGACCACCTGACGGGGAGGCAAATGAAGATAGTGTCCGATCTATCTGATCAGCTAAGGGCGACAGATTCAGTAGATGTGGCCTACCTTTTGGTCCTCCAGAACCGTGCGGGCATCGTACCAAACATTGCCGGAAATGATGCGGTACGCAAGTTGACCAAGAGGGTGCCGAGACGAACCTGGGACATCTATCATATCTGTATGCACGTGTTAAGCACTGAAATCTTCGCTACAATAAATGATATTCACTCACATCCATAGATGAGCTCGTTAAAGAAGCCGACTTTGATCGAGTAACCCGACATCGCATACACCAGACTCATGGGAAGCATGGCAGCAGCGCCGAAACCGAGAGCAACGAAATAAGTCCAAGTGGGCATCCAAACCGATTTCGTCGCTACAATAACCAGCAAGATTCCAATGGGTACCACAGTCAAGATACCCCATTCCCTGCGAAGCTGTTAGTAAAGTTGCTCCCGTGCGGCATAAGGACCGAAGAAACTAACCACATGGTGAGACCTGGATACTGCTGAATAATGCGACTGTTTAGATCAGCCATCTGTACATGCTGCTAGAAATGAAAATTACCCACCTCAAGCGGTCCTGGTGGTACTCGTCCTCGGCCTTCCTTGATTTCCGTACTATCTTCATAACCTTCGGGCCTAGAAAAAGGCCACACCAGACGAAAGATGAGATGTATGAAGCGTACCACTAAAGATGCTTAGCACGAAAGCCAGAATAAGTTTGGTGTGGAAGCTACCATAAATATCTCCCAGGTGTACTGGGCACCAGTGTAAGCAAGGCCAACCTCATGATATGCTGTTTCATTGACGTGTTGGATACCACTCGAGTCCGTGTAAACTTCAACCATGTCAACGACTAATTCACATCCTTCTTGGTTAACAAAAACACTTACTTAGAGACTCGAAAGGATACGCAGAGCCATTCTTCTGAAAGACACCATTTGACATGATATTGTAGGTTGGTGATCCCCAAAGATTCCCGAAGTATGCCACCGGAATGAGAATCCACGTCTTCATAACTGTGAGCAAGGTTCTGTTTGAAAGCGGGCAGATAGCATACCGTGATGACGAAGCCGACGAATATGGTTACTTGAACGCTGTACGGGAATGTGACCACTGTAGATGTGATGTTTGACCAGTTGAGCGTGATGTTGAGTAGCCCGATACCTCCCCGACCAGCGCCTAGGAAGTTGACAGTATGGTTTTGGCTCGCAAACCAGCAAAGAGGCGCAAGGGCGGCAACGAAGGGGAAAATATATTCAGGCAAGAATTGCCAGAGAAACGTGCCTAGAAATATCCACCAAAATCCCTTGAATTTACCGTTAGCCTAGGAAACTGAACATCTTCTGTTGAATCATAACTTACATTCATCTGTCTTTTGGACGTGCTCTTGTGGAGCTCCGTCTTGCCTTGCATACTTCTGTACAGTGTGACCTGCTGTAGGGAAAGCGGAAAGATGAACTCCGGATCATCGATCAAAATCTTACGGACTTGAATATATTAGGAAATGTGAAGAGATAATGATGCTTGTGAATGTACACCTACCCATTGCTGCAAAAGAAAAGCCAAGAAGTGAAGTACCCTGCTCTTACAGTCAGCTGTCCGAGGAGTGCCTCAAAAGTCTGGTCGAGCTTACCCATCCAAAAAATAGTGCGACTGCCGGGTTCATTGTGATGCCGTAGTAAAGCGCCGCGTTGGTGGGTAAGAACGCTGGATAAGATCAGTTCCGAGTAACAACGAAGCGATACTGGCTCAACCTACTTGCCCATTGGCCTTGACTGCCAGCATTGGCAGCAATACCAATGATAGCATGTTCTTTGATGGAAAATGGACCAGGGTTTAGAGAAAATGAGAACCTCCCAAGCGGCACCTTGTAATCTGGAAGTACTCGGGCGAGGAGCCGTCCGAGAGGCGCCGAAGCCAAGATGACGAAGAAAACGGGAAACGGGGCCGCAGTTGTTCGGAAACTGATCTTTGATCAGCGACCGAGGCATAAGAAGACATGAAAACTGGATCTTACTAGGAGAGTTGAGACGTAACGCTTCCAATGACACAGAATAGAGTCGATAGAAGTAGTGAACGAAATGTGATTACGGGTAACGAAGGATCGTCTTCGAAGCCAACGACCGTTCGAACAAGCTCGGGAATGTTAGAGAACTCTGGGGATTCGAAGTCATATTCAGGCTCAGAATTCTCAGATGAGTTTCGTTTTTCTCCACTTGAACTGTCTGAATTGATACCGCCCAGAAATAGCTTCTCTGATGTTTCAAAGACTCGGTCAACGGAAACCTTTGGCGCAGACGACGCCTTCAAGTCGCTCCCCGCAGTCTGTTTGTCTTGGAGATCAGACATTGTTGGAGAGTGTAGATTAGAGATATAATTGAGCGTTTGAATATAGTTCACATTGCCACGGCCGAAGAGAGTGTTTTACAGTGATGAAATGCCACGAAAATCTCCTACAGAGGAAACAGCATGCCATTGCGGATCTTCATGATGTGATAAAGAAGGGAGCTGCATTATTAGACTGATAAGGCAGGATGTTCCCAAGTTGGTAATAGCTTGAAATCACATCAGAGGATAAATGTCAAGATGTCGATTGGTCAACAGCCCGAAGCATGCGAGTTCTTCTGCGATAGCTTGCTGGGCACCTAAATACCCGTGGTCTTAGTCACTCTTTGGCCACGCTTAAAACCCCCTACTCACGTAATTTCGGCCGCATTAAACACTCCCTACTTACGTGAGTAGGGGTGTTTAGCTCTGCTGAGTGACTAATAACCCCCAGTTACATACATCGGATGGCGTGTATGGTCGTCCAACAGTGCCGCTGTTGGAGATTTTGGTTGTTCCGACTGTACGTGCAGCTTGGGCCCTGGCAAGCGTCGGAAATGTTCGATAAACATAGTCTAGTGTCGGCTAAGTAGTTCCAGTAATGTTCCAAGTGGCCGCTAACATGATGTGGACAATTGATGGATATCAATGCTGCATGCAAGCCGTGCCGCATAATCTGACGGCGTTATCAAGGCGCAATGTTGGTGGAGAATGTCGCGAACTCACAGGAGCGGGGGAGTTCCGACGGCACCTCTTCAAGCTATTTCCTGCTGCAGTATATGCATGACGAAATGATTTGTCCAGAAATAACAGACTTTGAGGGAGCCTCGGTCTGGGGCAGAGCACACTCGACGCTCGGAACTGAGCCTGGTGTTCACCAATCAATGGTCGAACTTCCAAACCCTTGTTTTGAGATATCGGTCATGTTCCGGTTCTTGGAGAGAAATGCTCATCGACCAACGCCACATCATCAGCTAGCCTAGCACCCTCATACGAATAAGAAGAACTAGGCAGACGGTCGCCAAAAGAACTTACAGATGCTAAATAATAACAACTTTCATGTTTGCCAAGACCCGGAGGCTAGAACAGTGTGACGCCGCTGGTGCTATATACAAGGGGATTCAGACAGAGTAGAAACGAGCAAAAGCAGTAACCTGAGTTCAATCTTAGCATGGCGAGTCCTATAAATCATTCAACTATTTGATAATAATAAGTAAGAAGTATATGTCATGCCATAGAAAGCAACAGCCAGAGAAATCATTGGTTTAGTTCAAACACTGGCAGACAAGATTAGTTGACAGGCCCAATAACTACCTGTCACTCTGCATCAGAAATATGGAACTTTGAGGAATATAATCAGTTTTATTCTTATGTAATAATGAAATCAAAAAAGTTTGAGGTAGTTGTTACTAGAAATAAGACTTTGTAAAGAAACTGGTACGTTCTTCCCCGAAAGCGGCAACCACACGAGATAGTCCACCGCACAAAATAAATCGACTCTGTTTCAACGACAACAAATATAATTAAAAGTATAACGTGGTGTATTTAAAAAGTTTGTAAGAAATACTCCATGAACAGTCGAATTTATCTCAAAATCTCGTCGACAAACATCACTACTCTAAACAATCAGAAGTTTGTTAAGCTTGCAAGTACCTTGCTCCACCCGTCTTCCCGTTTCACCACGCATAAGGCCATCAACAAAGCATTGAGTGATGACTTGCCACTGGTTCCCTTTCTGTCGCATAATGAGTGGCGCTGAGCAGCCAGGTACCACGAAGATCGAATCCCCTTTCTTCAATACTTGAAGTATTGCTGTTCCAAAAAGCCCGCCCGCCGTAGTGAAGATGGGATACACGATGCCAACATGCTTGTCGAGTGAATCCAAATATCGTTTCGGATCTTGGCACTCCCCCACATCTTCGGGCCTGGGGAAGAATGACTTGAGCTCTTGGCCCCAAGGCTTGAATTGTGCGTTGATCTGATTTCGAAACTGAATGAGATCTTGGAGGTTGGCGTGTTTGAGGACTTTCCCCCAGCCGCGCTTTTCCAATGCCATGACATCCGGATTGTCAGGTTTCAAATCTTCGAGCCAGGGGATGTCAAGAATAGTATATCCTGTAGAGCAGTCGTAAACTGCTGCTCGATGCAAAGTCCGCAAAATCGCCGCTTTTGGGTTATCCGGTATTGCCTTGGAAGTCGGGTGAATGGCGTCTTGCCATATCCGGAGCTCTCCGTGTTCCCAGCCTAAGAAGGGTGCTATTCCATCCACAATGTCAACAAAATAACCGCTGGTGACCAGAATGTTTTTATCCTGTTCAAACCCGAACCAGGCGTCTTGACCCCAGCTGGCATCACAGTCTGAGCCCCATAGATAAGGATCCCACGGCGAAGTCAAGTCTGGCACCCAAGATGGGAGCGTAAGAGTCGATTCTGTTGTCCCAGTAAGAACGATGTCAAAAGATCCGAACCCCGTTATAAGAGCCTTAGCAAAGTCGTAGAACACTTCTTCAACCGCTTTCTTGTAGTCGGGTTCGATATGTTTTGCAACATACTCAGGGATCATACCCATCAATCCATACAGACGGTCTCTCAAGTCAAGGGAACGGGCCATTCTGCCAATCATTAAAAGAAGGCCAAGTTCGTCTTGATCTCTCCTGCGCTCTTTGTCTGTCGGCGGGTGTCTGCGGCGAATACGCTCTTGGTTGATAGTCATTAGTTCGACTAATTTCAACACGCGCCATACCTTTTCACGAGCTCGCACGGCGCCTTGAATATTGGTTGCTGCCTGTAGAAAGTTGTGAAGCGGCATTAGACCCATTCGGAACGTCCCAAATAAGATGGAAGGATTCACTGGTCCGAGACACTTCTCCTGGATCACCCAAATTCGAGTCCAATATGTTTTCTTGACGATCACATCGATGGCACGCCTGATGGTTTCCCTCTTCTCCGGGTCGGTTAAAGCTATTTCCAGTAGATCGAATGCTGCATCATTGTCTGTTGACTTGACAATAATCTCATGGAGTTGAGCCATATCCGGTACGGCCGCGTCTGGAACTGCCCCAAGCCAAATAGAAACGATGAGCGCTTTGCCATAAATCATGCGCATCCGTTTGACCTGAAGACTACGCTCATCCAAGTCTTTTTGGTTAATGCAAATCGCATCTGCCCAAATTTTCAAGCCTTCAATGTAGTCCGGGTCTGAAGACAATGCCCGAAGCGCTGCCTCCAAGCTTTGGCCGATAAGAACAATTTGGCCGTTCATAACAATCGGTACTCTGATGGTCTGGTCTCCCCAAGTATAGCTCAGTGCGCCGTAATCTCCCCACTCAAAGCGATGATATCGATGATGGGTGCGCGGCCGTTCAAAGGGCGAGCTTACTCTTGTTGGACTAAGAGAGCGGTATCGTTCGTTGGAGAATAGTCGCCAACGCCCATCGCTATTGCGCCGAGACAATGGCTGCGCCTTGGATACCCATTGCTGGTAACCTGAGAGGTGTGCATCGAGTGAAACATGTTCTATGGTACAGTGGACGAGGCCATGCCATTCTGGTGGCTCATCGCGAAGGTTTACGAGCGGCGGCCGCTCGATCGTCTGCAAGTTGAGTACTCGAATCTCATTACGGGCTTCGTCAAGGGTAGAGTAGGGGAAATCGCTGGCTTGCGTCAGTCGTTGAGATGCCATCGCGTAATATCGTGCGAACAACTTTGTGGTTATGATAGATAAACGGGCAGACTGCTGGTCTAATGCGTGGCCTGCATGGTATTTAGTATTGGCGGGACTGGGACTGGCCGCCCTGGCGATTAGTTGAGGGATATTGGTTCGCATTCAGGACGAGGCAGCTCAGCTTACGCTGTTATCGTCATTAGCAGGGGGGTGCAGCACAGCCACGATGCAGAGAATGAGGGGCATTTGACTGACTGGTACCATTAGCTTGAACGCAAGATAGCGAACCTAGGTCTGTTCGACTTGTTCAATTTTCTATTTCGCGTGCGGAGAACAAATACCTTCCCAGCCAATAAACGGTAACCTCATATTCCTCGCCTGGTAATCAGGGTGTTAACAGTACAATACGTTCTTTCAAACTCCGATCAGAAGTGTGAAACTTTCTCGTGTAGAGGTCTTTGTTTCTATGGATCTAGGGGAACGAAACACCTTTTCTTCTGGTTGAGAATCCCCTCCTGTAGCGCTGGCCTTCGTCGTTCCTGCTTCTTCTCCCGGAGATAGAAGCCGGAGACATTTCGGAGTACTGTGCGTCGCCGGCCCTGAAAGAAGCGGGAGGTGGGGCTGATTCATGCCACTGCTCCGGCGTCATGAATCCCGGCCACATTTAGGTACCCTTTGCATCAGCTGTTGTTGAGCCTTCTCTAGGAAACGATCAACAGGCTCTGGGCTTCTTTTTCATTAATACTCTTTATGTCAAGGTGCAGTGCACCACCACTCCGATCGGCTGGCAATGACATTCCAACGCTGAGCGCCGAGATGCTCATCGCTTAGCCACCTGCATCGACACGCTTATCGAGGCTTGCGTATAATATAGGACTAGAGGGTCAGGCACCGTTTGCGTGCCAGGCGGAAGTTCAATTACATATGTATTAGGAATAGCTATCTGCAGTAGGCCTTTGATGCGTAACTTAGCGAAAAATTGAGCTGGGAAGGCAATGCCCAAATCTCAGACGACGATATTGAATGGCGATTCTTGTTGATGAGAAATCAAAGTCCGGTGTGGCGGTCGGATATCGGTGCTGTAGCATCGGGTACGACCGAGCAAACGCGCCCGAATCGGGTTCCATACCTGCAGGATGATGCTTGACAGATCCGTAGGGCTGGTAGACTACACTAATAAGCCGAGTGACGAGGGCAGCTGGGTGAGTAATTGAGTTATTGAACCCTTGTTGCAGGAAACCGGGAGATGCGCTCTTGTAAGCAGTTCAGATGCCGCATTTCCCGTTAGGCGGGTATCGGAACCGCGAGCTCGGGATTGAGGGCTTCGGAACGCTGGAAACAAGGGAACCTCGAGGAATTTACTTTACTCAGCCAGAGGGGGGCTGCTCGGCGACGAGCAACTGACGAAATCCTTGACAAATGCACAAAAACGTAGTAGTTCTTGCGCAATTATGCAACAATATATGCAGGTTGCGGTGGCGTCATCGAGGGGTCTGACAAATCAGATGGCTTAGTGCGTCGATGATGCGCCCCGTTCGCGCCAGTTTCTGCTGCGACCGACTTGCACCTTCCGCCATCCCACATAGAAAAAATACCTACAAAACACTATATTTACATAGCGCTATCGAGGTACCCTTTCTGCCCGCCCACGAAGAGACCAATACCACTTCTATCCTTTGTTATAAAGCCCATAGCAGTCCGCCCCATTTAGGTGTCGGACCTTCCATTCTGAATCAATGTCCACCCGATTCTTCCGTCCTATTCAACGCATCGCGAGATCTTCAGTCCCATCTACCTACAGAAACTTCCACGCTTCTTCGCCCAACATGGTTGTCCACAACGTTCACAAGTAAGTCGGTGATATATTCCAGTCTATTCCCGCGCGACCTGCATACTACCCCGCAATCCGCATCACGCGTCGTGATCCAGCGGTTTTGCACCCCGCCATTGTCTGTGTCGATATTAATCTGTGTTGAACTACTACAGCAAGGCCGAGTTCGACGCTGCCCTGAAGGAGCACGACTTCGTCATCGTCGATGCCTTCGCCACCTGGTGTGGTCCCTGCAAGGCCATCGCCCCCATCCTTGCCGGGTGAGTTGAACCCCCTCCTTCACCGTGTCTGGGTTATTTCCCAGCCTGGGTATTTGGCAGCAGCAGTCGCTGACATGTGACGAATTCCAGCCTCTCCAACGAGGAGAAGAACAGCAAGCTCCACTTTATCAAGATTGATGTCGATGAGGTCCCCGACGTGAGCCAGGAGCTTGGCATCCGCGCCATGCCCACCTTCCTCCTCTTCCAAAAGGGCGAGAAGGCCCAGGAGATTGTCGGCGCCAACCCCCCCGCTCTCAAGCAGGCCATCGAGAAGTTCGCTGAGGCTGCCAACGCTGCATAAACCACTTGTTAGGAGGCGCATGAAAAAAAAAAAGACCATGACAACATGGGTTGAGAACCCGAAAGAGTCAAAAGAAATACTGGCTTGCGATGGAGCTTTTGTTGACCTTAGATACCACAATACATATCAAAAAAGTCCCATTTATTCTTTCGTTAGTGCCATCGGCACCTCTCTAGGGTTAGTGGCATATGGCTCATGTGTCCATATCGCCATGACCAAATGCTAGACTGCTGCAGGCGGCATGAGGTTCAATTTGTCATCTGTTGCTGGTGAGAGTGACAAAATATTACTCGACACGAGGTAAGGTGTGTGGCAAGATACTAGGACCCCATGTCTCTGGTCAATCCTCGCGTCGTGTCAACATGTAATTGTACGGGTGTGTGTGTGTGACCGAGGCAAAATTTCGGAGCTAGAGATCGCCAGGAAGCATGGTTGCGTTGTCTTGATGGCTACAGCCGGCTTCAAGGCTGAGGCGGTCTTGATACGGACTTCCAATAATGTTGCCCACAAATTCGACCATCGACGCCGAAAATCCACATAGAGCTTCATACAAAACCTGCAGGTCAGGCAGGCAAGTATCTATCTAGTAGGGTGTTTGCTTTTTTCTGCCCCTGTGAGACCTTACTAGAAGGCACACGCCGCGCATCCTAACTCACCTTACCCAGTGATTTTACCCTAAGCATGTATACCTTAGCTAAAACCTGTAGTAGCTCCAAGATAACTGTTTTCGCGCGAGTGTAACATCAGAGACCACATGTGTCAACCAAAGGCGCCGAGAAGGACGGCATCTAGCGCCCCAGGTGGCTGATTTCCGACCCATGTGGCCCTTTGTCCGGGGGTTGATTTGGCAGGAACTTAGAGAGGTCAGGGTTCCCAACGGCCCCGCGCCGGTTTTCGGCTCGGCATGGTAGGGGCAGGTTGCCCGCGGAGAGGGGACGCCCTGAATTGACAACCTGCCAACAAGTGGATTGTAAACATGGCGCAATGATTCATGCACTAATCATCTAAAGGCGTTGGGTGACAAGGTAGCTGTGGATCATCGTTAGTTTTAGTTGGCTTATCACCGCAGCTCTCGTGGTCGACTGTTCGCCGGTGGTTTTTGAAGATAAGCTGGGCCGAAACCCCAAAACCATAGTTATTTAAACCCTCCGCCTGTCAACTAACTGCAGTCAAAGTCAACTCCGTAACTCCGGTAGATCAACAGTCGCCACTAAGTCGAGTCAAGATGACGAACAACATAGTTGTACTCGGGTAAGAGACTCATGCATAGCCTCTCACAAATGCACTCACTTACCGTCTCCAGCGCCGGGGTGTCGGGCCTCACCGCGGCGCTGCTTCTGTCCAAGAGCAGAGCCAACTCTGTGACCGTAATCGCGAAGCATATGCCCGGTGACTATGACATTGAGTACACATCGCCTTGGGCTGGTGCCAACGTCTTGCCGTAAGATTCTCCGGGGCCTCATGAGATGGACTTGCGACTAACCAACTTTGTTAGCATGGCGCCGGAGTCAGATAGCAGATGGGAGCGGAGGACCTGGCCCGAGCTCAAGCGTCTGGCTGCCGAGGTCCCTGAGGCAGGCATTCACTTCCAAAGTGCGTCGCCCTTCCTACTTAAGTGCCCTTTAGCAGCTCCGAACTGACACGGCTCCCAGAGAGCGTGGTCTTCAGACGTGAAGTGGACGCGGCGTCTAGCAGCCCTTACGATGCTCTCTACGCCGTGGACCCGTGGTACCGCGATCTCCTCCCCGACTTCCGTGACCTGCGCGCCGACGAGCTCCCAGCCAACGCCCATTCGGGCTCCGAGTTCACCTCGGTCTGCATCAACACGGCGCTCTACCTCCCTTGGCTCGTCGGCCAATGCCGGAAGAACGGCGTCGTCTTCAAGCGCGGCGTCATCGCTCACATCCGCGAACTCAAGGCGCTGCACCACTCCGGCAAGCCCGCCGACATCATTGTCAACAGCTCAGGGCTGCTGGCATGCAAGCTCGGCGGCGTGGAGGACAAGAAGGTGCTGCCGGCGAGAGGGCAGGTCGTAGTGGTCAGGAACGAGATCGAGCCGATGGCGACCATCTCGGGCACTGAGGACGGGCCGACGGAGGTGTGCTACATGATGACGCGGGCGGCGGGCGGCGGAACGGTTCTTGGTGGGACATACGACAAGGGCAACTGGGACCCGAACCCGGACCCGAACATTGCAAACCGCATCATGAAGCGGTGCGTAGAGCTATCCCCGGCCTTGACGGGCGGCAAGGGCGTCGAGGCGCTGGATATTATCCGCCACGGTGTCGGGCTGCGGCCCTACCGCGAGGGTGGCGTCAGAATGGAAATAGACAAGTCGACGTTTGAGGACGGGACGCCAATCGTCCATAACTACGGCCACGCTGGATGGGGATACCAGGGGTCATATGGGTGTGCTGAGAGGGTTGTTGAGTTGGTAAACCAGATCCGCGCCGAGAAGGGAGAGAGGCTGTCGAACGAGCCCAAGATGTTTTCCTGGGATCGGGCTAGTAAGTTGTAACGCGATTCAAGCACAGTCTGTTTTTTTAAGTAGACATGAAAATAGAGCATAGTAATGGAACTACGAAAACGGGAACAAAAGGGTTGTAGTCAAGCTGACGTCTTGTAATATTTCTTAGTTGTCTCTACTGTAACAGTGTTAATTTCCCCATGTGTAGCAAACAGCGCACGGTGTAATCTGGACCCTTGCATCTGTCTGTTTGCGACAGCTTTCAGTAGCTCCCTTGTTCAACCAAGCTTCACAACCCAAGCAGCACCGCTTGCGAAGCCATACCATGGCCGACCAAGCACCTCCAATCTACGTACAGGCAACGCGCCTAGTACTAGACATCGCCAACGGCCGACATGCGCTCTCCAAGGCCATTCCCCCTCTCCTCCTCGTGCTGGATGCCGTCCTTTGCGGGCTCATCATCTGGAAGGTCCCTTGTGAGTTTCGATCGCAGCCCAGGGGAGGGAGCAGCAAATCGCTGACGTGGCTCCCAGACACAGAGATCGACTGGGTCGCATACATGGAGCAAGTCTCCCAATTCGTCTCGGGCGAGCGCGACTACACCAAAATCAAGGGCGGCACCGGCCCCCTCGTCTACCCGGCCGCCCACGTCTATACCTATACCGGCCTATACTACCTCACCGATGAGGGCAAGAACATCTTTCTGGCGCAGCAGCTCTTCGCGGTTCTGTATCTTGTGACTCTTGCCGTTGTAATGGCGTGCTACTGGCAAGCAAAGGTGCGCGGGTTCCTGCTCCTTCTAGGCCATTGTTTGACAACAGGAAAATGGGCTAACTGATATCCTTTCTCAGGTCCCTCCCTACATTTTCCCCCTCCTGATTCTCTCCAAGCGCCTTCACAGCGTCTTCGTTCTCCGATGCTTCAACGACTGCTTCGCGACCCTATTCCTCTGGCTCGCCATTTTCTTCTTCCAGAAACGACTGTGGACACCAGGCGCCGTCCTGTACAGCTGGGGTCTGGGTGTCAAGATGTCGCTGCTGCTGGCCCTGCCCGCCGTAGGCGTCGTGCTCTTTCTGGGACGCGGCTTCAGCGGTGCCTTGCGCGCGGCGTGGCTCATGGTACAGTTACAAATCGTCATCGGCGTGCCCTTCTTGTCGAGCAACGCCAAGGGATACCTCGGTCGCGCGTTCGAGCTGTCGCGGCAGTTCTTCTTCAAGTGGACGGTCAATTGGCGTTTCGTGGGCGAGGAGACGTTCCTCAGCAAGCCGTTTTCTATTGCGCTACTGGGACTGCATCTATTTACCCTGCTAGTGTTTATCATCACCCGGTGGCTCAATCCCGCCCAGCGGCCCTTGTCGTCGCTGGTCCCAGCGATGCTGCAGGGCAAGTCCCCGTTCTCGTCGCCGCTCGAGGAAGCCCAGGTGGCCAGCAGAGTGACGCCGCGCTACGTTCTCACAACGGTCCTCTCAGCCAACGTCATGGGTCTCCTCTTTGCCAGGTCACTGCATTACCAGTTCTACGCATACCTAGCCTGGTCGACACCATACCTCCTCTGGCGCAGCGGCCTCCCCATCTACGTTGTCTATATTCTCTGGGCGGCGCAGGAGTGGGCCTGGAACGTGTACCCCAGTACGGACATGAGCTCGAAGTTGGTGGTGGGTGTGATGGCGGTCACGGTAGCGGCGACATGGTTTGGTACGGCGAACGAGGGGGCGCCATCCGAGAAGCCCGATTCGAAGAAGAGGTGAAAGCGGGAGAGGGATCATAAGTCGTCAAGTTGCTCTTCGTCATCAGTAGTCGTCCTCGGAATCGGATGGCGGCATCTTGCCGATGTTTGAGTCGGACTCTTCGCTATCATCATACGTGTTTGTCTTTGCAAACTCCTTGGGCCTTCAGGCATTGTCAGCGTGAGAGGACAAGAGAAAGAAGCGGACAGTGACTCGGGGAACCGCACCAGTAAGGTTGCTTGCGCCAGGCCTTCTCGTCGCGAACGACGTTGATGATCTCGCCCATGACGCGGCCGTCGGGCTCGTCGTATCTCTCTGCCAAGACGTAACCGCCCCGCTTGATCCAGATAGTATTACGGAAGCGCTGGGCCAGCTCGAGGATGAGGTCCTTCTTGTTGGGCAACTCGCAGGCGTACAGGTTGTTGCCCTCGGCCTTGACAACACGCACGATGGCTTGGTTCTTCTCGAGGGCGTCGGGGGGCGTCAGGGTATCCTCGGCCGCCTGGAGGGCGGCGCGTTTTGGTCGTCCCATATTTTCCAGGCAATAACAATGGTTGGTCAGACTCTTGAGCAAAGAGGTGCGAAGGATCGTCAAGGAACTTGTTTTTTCTCCCCCCCCTTCCTGGTGGTAACAAGTGGCAATCAATCAATGGTGGGGTAAATTTTCTGGCAGTGGCTTTTCTGGAGGGTGGACGCGGGGCAGAATGTAAACTACTTTGTACGCTAGGGCGGGGGCTACGGACTGTACATCGTACAAGACAAGTACCGAGATGGGCCTAGACGCCGAGCTAATTCTCAGAGTCCGTTGGATGACCACCCATGATGATTGTGCGATGCAATGCTACCCGATGCGTCCAATGGCTGGGGCTACTTCCATTCCCGGAAATGGTCCCAATTCCTATCAATTCTTGGAGAAGACACCTTTACAGCCGACCCCGACATCAGCGGAGCTTCTCCGCCTCTCGCTGCGGCTTATTCGCTGCGACACCGGCGGCTTGGCGGCACTAACTTGGCCTGTCTCCCACGCGGGGACACGCTCACTTACACACACAACTAGCTACGTAGTCAAACATACCTATCCATCTGCCTACTAATGTATCACGGCATGAGAGGCTAAGCCCAGACAAGATTGCCGACATAACCACATGCCCCTCAGGCTCGTCCTCCGAAAACCTTTTCTCTTGTCGCCCAAGTGGAGAAAATGCATGTTGCAAACCCTGCGTCCCGCCGCCCGTTCATGGATGACATCCCGGGAGCCATTCTGGAGCTCCGGCCGGCAGGGCTCTCGATTGCCTTGCCCCAACCACCTGTAGACCGCTTGTGAGATGTCGGCCACGCACTGGACCTATCGTGAGGAACAGTTGTCTCTGACTACATACCCGACTCCCTAGCCAGCCCCTAGTCCAAGTGTGGCATCCTGGTCTGTACACTAGACGTCCGCCAAAGTCGCTCACCCTATCTGCATTGTTACTTTGCCTGGATAGATGCTGTGTATATCTTAGCTACAATAACCAGCGCATATTATCTTATTTTTGATTCTTCCTCCTTCAACTTACTTCCCTCCCACCTGTGCTCTTGCTCTAGAGCCGGGCTCCCATCTCCGCTTCTTCCATTTGCCACCGCAATGGACGTGTCAATGTTCAAGGCCCTGGTTGAAGTCGAGCCCTGCGAGCTCGACAAGGGCGCCCCTCTCCTCCCAGCAGCCCCAGCCAAAGCCGTCCCGCGAACCTACCCCGGCGCGCCTCAGCGCGACGGATTGTCGATCGAGCTCTCGCGCATCAACACTAACCCCAACAATGGTAGAACCGCCGCCGACAAGACCGCCGCCGGCATCGCCGGCTCCCCGCGGGCCCAGTCGCTGTCTCTGTCCAGCCCGCCCACGCCGGGAACCGACGTCGAGATGAGCCGGCCCACGAGCCCAGCTGCCTTCGAGGTCCTGCAGAGCATCTCGGACCCCCACATGAACCGCTACCGTCTCGCCGCGGCGTGCCTTATGAACTTTGGCAGCGGACTCAACGACAGCGCCCCGGGTGCCTTGATCCCCTACATTGAGAAGTAACAGAGCCTCCCCCGCTTCCCTGTCTTGTCACTGCCAGACGCGAGCAGCAGCCACGCGGAAAAGAGAGAGTGACAAGGTTTTTCGAGAGAGACTAATACCAATGCCAGACACTACAACATCGGCTACGCTATCGTCTCCCTCGTCTTCATCGGCAACGCCTTCGGCTTCATCTTCGGCGCCGTCTTCCTCGAGTCCCTTCGCGTGCGCCTCGGCCGCGCCCGCCTCCTCGCCCTGGCTCAAACCATCATCACCCTCGGTTACGCACCTATCCTCGCCCAGGCGCCCTTCCCGCTCGTCGTCGTCTCCTTCTTCGTGATCGGCTTCGGCATATCTCTCAACCTCGCCGTCAACAACGTCTTCTGCGGCTCCCTGCGCCAGGCCACCACCGCCCTCGGCTTCCTCCACGGCGCCTACGGCATCGGCGGCATCGTCGGGCCTCTTATAGCCACGGCGCTCGTCACCGCCGCCCGCACTCGCTGGAGCATGTACTACGTCATCCCCCTGGCGTTGGCTATCTTCAACGGCGCCTTCTCCGCCTGGTCGTTCCGGGATTACGACTCCGAGCTCGTCAGCGGGACCTCGGCCGCCCAGGAGTCCGCCGCTGCCGCCGACTCAGGCACGCAGCTCCTCAGCATGTTCTCCGCCCTCAAGATCCGCGTCGTGCTGCTGGGTGCGCTCTTCATCTTCGCGTACCAGGGCGCCGAGGTGTCCATTTCGGGCTGGATAATCTCCTTCCTCATCACCGTGCGAGGCGGCGACCCGGACTCGGTAGGCTACGTCACGGCGGGTTTCTGGGCGGGTATCACTGTCGGCCGGCTGTGCCTGTCGCACCCGGCGCACCGCGTGGGCGAGAAGCTCTTCGTCGTTCTCGCGACGGTCGGCGCCGCTGTGTTCCAGCTGCTTGTGTGGTGGGTTCCCAACGTGGTCGGGCCCGCCGTGTCGGTCGCCATTGTCGGCTTGCTGCTGGGGCCCATCTACCCGTGCGCCGCGGCGGTGTTCATGAGGGGTATGACGAGGCAGAAGAGGCCTAGCGGGATGGGCGTCATCAGCGCCTTCGGAAGCTCTGGTGGCGCCGTGGCGCCGTTCATGACGGGTATTCTCGCCCAGGCGTCCGGCACGTGGGTGCTGCATCCGATCGCCATTGGTCTATTTGCCGTCATGATGGCGTCGTGGTACGGAGTGCCCCACAGCAGGAAGAGGTCTGAGTAAGGGTGAGGAGGTTATGAGAAAAGAAGAGAGCTACGAGTGAGAGAGAGCCGTATTAAGATGAGAGATCAAGACTCGGCATATGCGGTACCTTGCGTTGAGATGTGACCCATCTTCAGGTGCCTCTGAGATGTCAGCATGGTAATGTCCGAGGCGTTGCTTCCTACACAAGCTGATGGACCCGTGCTTACGAACGATACAAGAGAAGGCAGCATGGAGTCTAGCTTTCGTAAAGGGGATGGTTTCACTAGAGGATTGGAAAAGTGCTAGGGGCGTCGTCGATTGTCGTTGGCCTTGCCGTCAAAGACAGCGTGGTATTGTCCGTGATTTATACCTGTAGACCCAGTCTATGTCTATATCTAACGTGAAGAGAAATTGAAGAAATGCTTGAGCCTCATGTCTCGTAATATAGGTATCAATCCCTGCCCCCTCTTCCCTCTAGATGAATATGTGTGTCTGTATGCTCTCTCATCCAGCGTCTTGTGGAGCATTTAATGGATGCGTCCCCGTGCAGCGTCCTTTACGCTAATCTTGCCCTCGACAATCTGCTTGACGGTTTCGTGGATGTCGGAGAAGTCATTGAATGTGACAAAGGAAATGCCCTCTTTTTCGCAGTACGTAACGAGATCTGCGCAGTTATTAGCTTTGTCGCTTTTCCATGGCCGATGCAGATTGGCAGCGTCGACACTAGCGGGTAAAAAGATGGCGGGGGCGGGGTAAAGGATACAAAAGAATCGAGGCAAAAGGAGAAAAAAGTCTCACCTTTATCGCGCTTGGCAAACAGCAGATCGGTCTCACGGGCGGCGGAAAGATCTGAAACGCCATCGCCGGCGTAGAACATGACGGGGCGCTCGGGCAGGGACGAGTACTTGCGCAGCTCAATGGACTTGTCGTGGCCGTGGATGCTGTCGTCGTGGTAGACGATGCGCCAGCCGCCCTCCTCGTTGATGGTGGCCTTGCCGTCGCGGGCGGCAACCTGGTTGCTGACGATTTGGATGTGGTTGTCGACCTCATCCTCGCCGAGCCACATGACGAGCAGGGCGCGGATGATGGGGCGCATGCCGCCGCTGATGATCACGACGGGTACGTTGTTCTGGCGGCACCAGTGGTAAAAGTCCTTGAAGGCCGGGTCGAGCTTGACGTTGGCCTTCAAGTACTCGATGCACTGGTCAAAGGGCATCTTGACCGAGTCCATCATCTCCTGGAAGCTGTCGCGGAAGTGCTTCTTGCCCTCGAGCACGAGCAGGTTACCGGCGCGGCGGTTTTCGTAGCCGTATCCGACATTGTCGGTGAGGAAGTCGTTGGAGTCCTCGAGGGTGATGGTGCCGTCAAAGTCGGTGAAGAAGATGAACTTGGGGTTCGTAGCGAGCGCCGGGGTTTCGCTGGTTTGGGAGCCCATCTTGCCAATGCTGAAGGCGAAGGTGTCGGAGAGAAAAGACGTGAAATTGGGGAGGGGGGAGTAGAAACAAGTGAATGTTTCCGGGGTATATGTACGGAATTTGCAGTTTGGTGGTCACAAACAATGGTATGTGAGGTTGTAGGAATCAAGGAGGGGGAGGGGTAAAATCAAAATGCTCCCAATGCGAGGTCAACAGTGAGTGGGGGAATCCTGCTTGCGGACGGACCCCGGGTGCGTGAGGAAACCACGCGAAAGATGGTGACCTGGCTGATTGATCTACGAACGTGATGTAGTGTATAACATGCCGATTGGCAAAGAATAAAGAAAATACCCTCAGGCTGTCAAGGTACATCCCTACACACAACACAGGAACGAACTCTCGAATCCAGGCATTCTGTCCTTTGCCCCAACCGGCCAGCAATTGGCTCGCCCCTGAATCAATCCCCTGAAGCCCCTGAATACCTACCCGCGCAAACCTTGAGTGAAAAGTGCGGAATCCTAACCTATTACCTATGAGCTCAATGTCTCCTCGGGCGCAATTCCGACTGGGATTGAAAATCCCACCTCTAGCGTGCCCCTCAATGACGACATGTACCCCTCCAGCCCCCCCATCGCTGTGGACCCTTCGAGTTCTCGTCTTCACACCAAAACGAACATTACAGAAGTCCGGCATTCAGATGCAGCCTCACAACTGATCAATGTGCCAAGGCAGCCAGCTCTTATTTGGACCACGGATTTCCGGGTGGTTCTGGGCTTGCCAAGCTGCAAGGATCAGAAGAGCCTGTTTGGAACGCCAACCTCGACACCCTTCGTTGAGATGCGTCCTCGATGTAAGAACGCTTTGCTTCTGAAGTTTTGTCGTTTTGTCCACAGCCTCTGCCGATCTATGTCTTCTTCATGCTGTCCGAATCGAAGCGGCTTTGGGACAGCCACCCGTTCCCAAAAGAGAAGAACGAAGAGTATCATATCATCTCAACTATTTCTTTATGCATCTGAGCTCGAAGTCGACCCTGTCGAGCTGCCTTGGAATTATTTCATCGAGAAAAATACTTTTGATACCGGAATTGCTTCAAGATTCCGACGGTTTCTTGAATCGATCGCTTCTCGCGGGCGCCCCGTCTTCAGCTTCCTGCAAGCAAAGATGCAAAAACAGAACACAGTTTTTCACACACTTAGGCTTATGAAATAATATATCATATGCACAACTTCACTGGATTCTCTTACATGCTTCAGGAGAACTTAGTCTTGCAACGTTTGTTTAGAATTAAGTTTGGCAAGATTTGAGTCTAGCCCCTTTCTAGTCCAGCCAGTTATAACCATAATTTTGAAGCTAGGGTGACTCTCACGTGCCTTGAAGCCTGCTTCTCGAAGTACACGGAGGTTGGCCACACAAACACACTTCACCTGCCAGCTTTGCATCCTCTACTTGAAAGTTTTCCTTATCAAATTTATCCCTTGGCCGGAAACATTGCGAATCGCCCAAGACAAAGTCTGAAAGTCTTTGATAACAAGCCCTAGAACGAGGGCAACAAGCTTCCATATTTGCGAACCACTCGGCCTCAGCATACGTAACCGCATCCTGGCTCTCCTGAAACCTCAGACAGAGTTCTTGGCTACATGACCTTCGGAATACCGTCAGCAAGCGAGGCTATCGTCATGTTTGGCTTGGAAGTCAAGGTCCTCAAGCGTGGTCTGGCGACAGTGGCGGGGTAAGACCCAGAGATGGACGTCGTGCCGTTATTGTGTAATAGAAGGCGTAGCATTCGTTGCTTTCCCATTCAGTTACAACACGGTTGACGAGCTTGTCAAACTCCTCTGCGCTGTTGACGATGCCGTAGCCGCCGTCCGAAAGAACGCTGTCGCGCATGCCGCGGAAGGCGCCGCCTCGGCACGCAGCAGCTTTCATGCCTTTCACGCCGCCAGCGCCACCAAGGCGTACCTTGATAGTCCTCTTTTGAATATCGACAAAACCAGCCTCTGCAAGGAGAATTGGCAGAAGTTCGCCGCAGTCAAGAAGAAGCTGGCGCTTGAGACCAATTCTATCAGGCGGAAAAAAGTGACTTGTCAGCAAGATGTGCCGTAACAAATGCTAAGCCACAGGACACAAAACTTACGATGAGAGCAGAGCCTGGAACTTTTCCTGTGCGGCGCCAGGGTTGCCAGCGGGCGTGAGGACCTCGGTGAGCTGGACAACGCCCTTGCCAGGGATCAGAGTGTTCCTGATGGAGGCAAGGGCACGGCTCCACTCATGACGACGAAGTGCGTAAATGAGAAGGCGCTGATGCGCAAGGGTGACTCTTGAATCGAGATGATCTGGCAAGTCTAGAACATTGCCGATGGCAAATGTCATGTTGGGGGCATTTGGCGGGAAGAGACGGTTGCTGATGTCAAAACCCTTGATTTCGACGCCAGCTGGTAGGTATTGTGCCAAATCAGATGCCCAAGCACCAGAGCCGGTACCAAGGTCAAGAACGAGTGCCCCTTTATCAAGGGTGAGAGAGTCGTCTAATACTAAACGACCGTCGCAGATGTGGTCTCGAATGAAGTTGTGTTGCTTATCAAGCCGGAGCTTCTCCTTGCTGTCAGCAGGGAGGCAGTAGGGACTGTCTGGGTTGTTGTGGGACTCGCGAAGAACGATAGAGTTGTTAACTAGCCCCTTGACGGTGCTGACCGGCGGCATCTCATCATCGCTGCTGCTGCTGCTATCGTTGAATGCGTATTCAGAAGTGTTGTCGGAGGCATATGACGATGCTTCAGACGACCATGATGAAGGATCGAGCTCAAGCTTCACTTGATTCGAGGGAGCGAGTGCTGACTCTAGCTCCTTGAGCGAATCAGTGATGGAGGCGGTGATTTGAACAGCAGACATCTTGAATCTCTCAGAGTACTCTATGTGGCTCAATGTAATGAAGGAAAAGAAAGCAATATCGAACTGAATACTGAGACTACGAGTGATATTGCGGACGAGGCTCTTATGAGCATACGTCTGATACATATTGAATTCACTTTGTTACCTAATTAAGAATCCAAGATAGTTATGTCTTTGACCTCCACTTCAAGTTTCAGCCTTAACTTCAACTCTTTTGGATTTCACCTCAGCTTTTAACCTTCACCTCGGTTTCCAACCTTCAATCCAGCTTTGACCTTCACATTTCTCAAACTACAGGGATGCCGATAAGTTAGTTATTGCCCTAATCGAAGATTCCAAGTCTCAAGATAGGGCGCTCATCGATGGGCCCCCTTTCTCGTCACCCCTTCGAGTCGGGCCAGCATGCATCTTATGGCTCAACGAAAATTCTACGTGCAGGCAACCAACTAACTAAAAACATGATAATCATAACGACGTAAACATTGCAGCTAGATAATATTAGAGATAATAATCGCACTAAAGCAGTATTCTCTGGGGACATAGTAGCAAGGTTCACGTCATCACAATGCCAAGGGGCGTCGGTAGCCGGATGTTGCTATCCGATGTTGTATGGACTTATAACGTTGCGGTGAAGAAGCGATAGGCTGAAGTTGCTTTAGTCTCCAGTCTCACCTTGTTTCACTCATCCATATTGCAGGCTGCAGTTACATCTCTTAGGATGATACAGTACGTGTCGGGTCCTAGGCTTCTGACTATGTGGCGGAGGTTCAGTTACGTCGATTAGTTTCCTATGTCGTGGCACTTATAATCATCGGTTTGACTTCGAGTCAGGTGTGATAAGTTCTGGACTGCCATCTGTTCGCCCAAGTCTGGACGACCTTCCACCATTTGCCACTTTGGTTCAACGTTAAATGCTCGATATTTGGTGTCTAACCTGGTCCTCCCTGTTAGTATTTTGTTCTTCTTCTTCTCCTTCTACTTTGTATACTTTTACCAAAACGACGGACGCAGAGTCAGAAACATTACTTAAGAAGCAACCGTCTGAGATGACGATGGTACCTGAACCGATGATTATTCGGTTTACCAAGCAACCGGAAGTATAACACACAATATAGCTTAGGGGACTTGGGGCTGTTCAGACGCCGTTGAAGTATGAATCTGCGAGATCTCTGTGCAGAAGCAGTTTCATCGCTTAGTGTTGTCCGGGAGAAAACTTTTCTGCCAAGTCTACCCGAGCAGAGGAACGCCCGTGAGGCAATCGTAGTCAGCCTCCCCGACTGAATATGATGCTTTGCGAAGAACAGTACGGGCCGGTGTCTACGATGTTAGCCTCGGTAGGGTTTCTGCAGACATAACCTTGCCTGTCCAGCGTCTGAACCTCTTGAAACTTGCACCTCTTCTAAGAGATCCTGGGAAGTGACGGTTTTCATCACAATCGTACCTGCTATTGTGGTTGCTTAAGCATCATAATACCATCATTACTAGCCTGGGCGTCTCAAGTGGTCTGTTGCCTGTAACGTATTGTCGCCTCATAAGTGACTTCACCTTCTTGATGATGACATACTTTTCCGACTCTCAGTCTTCAGAATCCCGACCAAACGTAAGAGGGCAGCGGGCGCAAGGAACAGAGTTTTGGGTATGAAGATGCCGTTTGGCGCTGTAGAGACGCCGGAGGCCTAAGAAGTGACCCTCTGGGGCGTTGCACAAATCCTATGGAGCAGCCGCAGCAACTCTGACTAGCATCCCATGTAGCCTTGTCTTCTGGCTTGAGCTTTATGTTTCGATGCTAGTCTGCCTACGGTAAGCGTGAAAGAGGGTGTCAGTCTGGCAAATGCTAATCCCACATGATCGTTTCCATGGTTCGCCTCCTTGTTACTTCCGCTCGTCTTGCAAGGCATTTCGACTTCTTGCGCCATATTTCCTCATCAAAACAATCTCTCAGAGGCTTTCATGACGGCGATTCAGAACCAGTGGGTTAGTGACTATGGGAATATAGTAATGATAATTCTACACCAAAATTCCACGATGGCGTTTCGAATACAAGACTTCTTCTTCCACAGCATTCTATCTCAAACTGCATACAAGAACGATTTATGACAAGAAAAAATCCTTATTGTAATTTGGAGGCTGATCTTGCTCTTCTCTAGGCTGCCAAACCTCGCCAAACCACTTGCTAGATCAAATGCCTGACACCTCACATATGGGTTTATCTTGAAGACATTCGATATGCACTTAGTTTCAGTGCATCGATATAACATCCTGGTTGGGTTCTATGAATGGCTGGCCGTCAATCTGCGAATGAAAAGATTGTAAAAATAATATTGTTTAAACAGAGTTGCAGTGATTGTAAAACTTGTTTCGTGAGAAAACCCTTCAATGCGGGTCACTGCCTCACTGGTACAATATTCACCTCTTTTGGAAACCGACGCTCTCGCACTCACGAGCGTTTCGCCGTTTTCGCAACCTCTCACAGGATTCAAGGCAGTAGTTGTTGTCCATGACCGACGACGCGGTTTTTGCAAGGCACAAGTTTCGATTGCTTTGTATTTGTCGGTGACTAAAACATTCCAATTGCACTTAGTTTACACGTCTCACGAAATAGATCAATGTATGCTCTATGTATCACTTGCTTTATTGCTCACCTATGTATTGGAGTGTTTTTTTTTTCCTATCCTTTCCTTTGTAGAAATTAGGGTACTTGACCTTAATTTTCTTGCGCCCTGCCGTGCACTCTACTTCGTGACATTATCAGATGGTTGAGTCTAAGTCATGTTTTGATCTCAAGTGGCCCAGATGACGGGCAATCGACGTCTCCCGCCAATGAGCAGGTCTCCAAGGATGCTGGGTTTTGTCGCAGGATGCAGAACAATTTCTTCCTGCCTCAGGAGGTACAGCGTAATAATACACAATCGGCCATCAAATTGCTCATTTGGATGTAGTACAATACTGATTTTCCGCAGGAGACTTTGTCATTGAGACAACTTGCCTTTGCTTCATGTTCACTAACCACGAAATAGCTCCAGTGAACCACAATTATCGAAACAGGCCTTCTTTGATCTCGTTCACTAATCACGAAAACTTCGGTGGGTCTCGGGTTATGTACGGTGTTTGAGTATCCAATGGATGAGTGAGTCTTTGGCAGTACCATCCGGCAAACACCGGCGATACTAGGACACTCACGTCGGTAAAGATGCAGTCAGCATTTCTTTCAGGATCTTACTGCATCCAGGATTAGTAACATCACGATGCATGCAACGGATGTTCGTGCAGTACACTCCTTGGGAACTGAATAATCAAGGCTTCCAAACAACCATCAAATCAATAGGTTGAGACAATGTAGGTCGAGATATGGAGCGGAATCTATATAAGAAGCCTTCACATAAACCATTTGTAGATCATCGAGCAGTCCAGAAACTACTCATATTCCCTACACCTCTTTTGAAAATCCTCCATCACTTCAATAACTTACACCTAAGAGAAATCAACTTGAACATAGTACAAGTCATGTCTGATTTCCAGAAAGTCCTCCTTATCGGCGCCAGCGGCTCAATCGGGAGCTTTGTACTCGCAGCTTTAGAAGCTCAGTCAGACTTCACCATCACCCTCCTCCAACGTTCCTCGTCCAAAGCCGAACTGCCATCTCACCTCAGGACCATCACCATCGCGGACACATACCCTACTGAAGAGCTAGTGCAAGCGTTTGCAGATCAAGATGTGATTGTAAACTGCATGACATCTCTCTCGGTCGCCGACCAGTTCCGCATGATCGACGCCGCCATCACCGCCGGCGTTAGACGCTACGTCCCCAGCGAGTACGGGCTAAACAACATGCGACCCGACGCCCAGGCTCTCAACGCCGTGTTCCACGACAAGGGAAAAGTGCAGGAGTACCTGCGGTCAAAGGGCGACCAAGGAGTCTTGGAGTGGATGTCCATCTCGTGCGGCATGTGGATGAAGTGGAGCATGGCACACGAGTTCCTGGGGATGCACGTCAAGGATAAACGGTTCGTGATCTGGGACGACGGGGAGGGGCTGATGTCATTCACCACGGAGGAGAACACAGCTACCGGCCTAGTAAGGGCTTTGCAGACGCCGGCGGAGACGAAGAACACCAACGTACTCCTGAGCGACTTCGCTGCCTCGCAGAAACAGATTCTGGAAGCCCTTGAGAGAATCCAAGGGGTCAAGTACACCACGGAAATCGTCGACAGCCGTACTGTTATCGAGGAGAAGCAGTCAGCTGTGAGAGACGGTGACGCTTTTGCGACGTTCTCGTTGATTGAAACAGGGTTTGTCACGGGCAGGTATGGCGGGCACCTGGAGAAGGAGGGTGTTATTATGAATGAGAAGCTCGGCTTGCCGAAAAAGTCATTCGACGAGGTTGTCACGGCTGCCCTCAAGTCTGTCGGCGCGATTTAGTATCTTTTGAGCATCAGTCTATAGAAGTAGACATCTGACTTTGGAACTGTTCCTACTTTCCAACACCACGAATAGATACCGATAATTCAGAAAGTCGTAAAAACAGAGCTAGGATCTGTATGCCTTCTCACAAAAATTTCATGAATTCGCCATCTTTAATTCCTACTAAAATGAGTCCGAATTATCCGGTCACTCCGGATCAATATTCTGTGCCGATGGCTTTCGTTATTGATATCGGGAGAATTCCCTCCCAAATGACCGTCTCAAGGTGCGGAAGATGGCTGACGCTCAATCATGACGGGGCTCGGTGGTCAACGGCCGGAACTTATCATCTTTTTAAGGATATTAGCCCGCAGATGTGGAATCCTGCCACCAAGAGCTTCATCACTATGAGCTTGGCAATGCGGCCTTTCAAGTACTTCCGTGGCACCAAGCTCTCGCGGGTTCTTGCAGCTACTAACCTACTATTCTATGATGCTTTCCGCAGCCCGTAATCATCTGAATTCGTGGGACTCCGAGGTCCTGTTTCATCATGACACTGGCGTAGTGGCCGCATCCAAGGATGTGCAAGCTCATGACAAGCGATCGACCATCTCCGAGCTGTCATTTCCTGCTACCGCTGTTTCGGAATTTGCTCAACGGTGCGGTTGGATCGATTGCGCAGTCTCTTGTTGGATGCGTGAGAACTCCTAGGTACATTTTATCAGCTGGCCGCAGCGAGGTCTTCGCGGGCGTTGGCGCATGTTCCACAATCGTCCAATGTTGGCCACAGAAAACGTTCACTACCTGGTTGAAACGCCTTTAGAGGTATTGGAATGAAAACATGAATCGATGGTATCTTAACGCTTAGAAAAACCGGAGGCAACGGGGTAGAATACCTCGTGGCGGGACAGCAAAGTTTCTGGAGGGCCGGCCCCGGGACCCACACGAGCCCTCATCGGGCTGTTGCAGCTCCCTGCAGATCCTTTTCATGCGCAAAACAAGATCCGACGGACATCAAACCCTTTGCCAGAAAGGACGAAGTATCTGATGGAAGACTTCGAGAGCCGGAGCGGTGGGCCTGATGGGTTCCGGGCCGTCGAGGTCAACCTTTCCACGAGGAGGTGATCACATTCCCAAGGTCCTCCGGTATTGTCGGTCCGACCCTACTGGCTTATGGGAACCTAGGGCACCCGTATGTCTCGGCCAAGAATGCGGGTGCGGCTCAAACAAGGATGCTGAGACAAGAGGCCAAGCATGCGTAGGGCGGCGCAGGGAGGAATGCTTAGAGCGAACCCACAATCCTTCATAGAAACACAGCTGAATAGCAAACACCCCGCATCAATAATGACAGCGACTTACACACAACAGGAAAGTTTGATGTGCTGCGGCATCACGACCTTGAGGCAATTTTCATCAATGTAGATAGACAACGAGTCCCTAACCAGCACGGAATACGATGCGCCAGTGTGGTTGATGATCTGGTATTATGGCTTATGGTGATCCGCAAGCAAGGAACAAGCGGTTGACCTATTTCTTTCTGAAGGAATCCATTGATTTCCTGCAGGCCCGAGCTGGTAGCGCCGAAGCCAAAACCGCACGTTGGGGGTTCGGAGCTGTCCCCTCATGTCACATGTTGGTTATTGACTGGAGGATTGCAGGCTAATTGTAGATCTGGAGCAGTAGCCACTCAAAGAGGGACGCCCATGGCCCGCACCCGATCACGAGACCGGTCTGGCGACATGTGGGTGCCATCTCCGACTGTTAATTGCCGGACCCTGAAAACGTGGAAATGAAAAAAAGACCAGAGACTGGCTGGCAAGAGATATGTCTGTGGACACTCACACATGAGGCAGATGGAGAAGGGTGAAAATGTGATACATTGTACATTCAGCGCAAGTGAAAGGGACCCTTGAATTGGCCGTGCTAACGCATGGCGCGTGCGGCTGGATTTGACTCGTGCAGGCTGCATCTCGCCATGTACCATGCTGACATAATGTATGGCGCTTGTACGAATACGGACCGCAGTAGGAGAGACGCGGGGCTGTGCAGCTGGCGGGGAAATAGCCCAGGGTGGGCGAAGCGGTACGTACCTCTACCGGAATGAGGATGCATCGCGGCCAGGGGAGGGGCTCGCTCGATGGTGCTGGTGGGGGGCGATATTGGGCGGCCGCAGCTGAAGTATTTCAGCCAAAACGATGCATCATCCCAGAACTAACCACTAGGATTGCCAAACGGAGTCAACATTCGCGAGATACGAAAGCGTGCTGGCCACGATTGCATCAAGGAAAAGGCTTTGTGCTGTGACGGTCGCCGTCCTCCCCCGAGGGGGGAAATCGATGAAGGAAAAGGGAGTACCGAGTCCGAGTCGTGCGGGTGTCGGATTTGTTGACTTGGCCGACTTTTGATTCCGTTGCCACGGCGAGGGCGGCGCGACTAGGATCTGATTTGGTGGGTGGGTGGTTGTCGCACGTTGGGAAGACACGGGCCTATCAGGACGTTGCAACAAGCCATATCTCCAGCCCGACATTGACATCACCGGCCGGGATGTTGGGCGACGAAGCGGGTGCGGTGCTTTTGTGTTGATGCAACCATTGTCTTGTCGAGCAGCTGGCAGGACAGCATACAGGGACAGGCAGTACACTAGTGGCAGCCGGGAACAGGCAAGGCTCCATCACTATTGAGGACCGAAGAGGCCATTTGGCCTGCGTCGGTCGCATCGTGTCAAACCCCCATTTGGCGTGTCGACGGGAGCCAAAGAAAGACATGACAGCGCTTGGTTGCTTGCGCAAAACATGTGTCGCAGAGAAAGACGGGGCGACGTTGGCGAGAGGTCGCCGTTTGCGTTGTCGTCTGGTATGCTTGCTTTCTTTCCCCTTTTCGACTGTAGTACATGTTCCGAGAAGAGAATACGAAACGACGGTTAAAAACCTGGGATGGACTGCGAACAGGGCCGGTATCAAGTCATCTTGAGCACCCGAGCACGAGTATGGTAAGGTGGGGTATGAATTACCGGGGGAACCAACCCAAAAGACAGGTGGGTTCCTTCTCTAATGCTTCTCCCAGCTTGCAGAGTTAGGGGTTGGGATGGAGCTTGGTGATGTGCATGTCGTTGCCTTATGCACCTGGTGGATGTCGTCAACATGCACCCGTCAGGTTTAATGCATCTGGATCTAAAGTCTCTGTGTCCCTGGCCTGGGAGGGACGGAGTCAATTCGGATCCCGAGTGGGGATTCATTCTATCGTTACTCCGCTCTTCCCTGATGCAGCGGTGTTGAAACGACAACCGGTCAATGATTGCTCACTGAGCCCTGACGACTGCCCAGGATTGCATCCGATGACGGCGGAGGAAGCTATCTACACATCGTTGTAATTACAAGTACAACGTTATTGGTGACCTCATCGACCTCATCCAATGTCTGCCTGTGATGTGTTTAAGCTTCGGTGGGAGAACAGATGACTCAATGCCCTTTAACGACATGAAAACATACACACACAATGCGTCTGTTTTTCAAAGCCATTGATACTGATGCTCCGAGTGCCTGATTGGGAAGTAAAAGAAGAACGAAGCATACTGATACGTGCTGACCTACCTATGGATATACAGCACGTGCTATGTATAGAGAGGTATGCAACCTAAATGAAGCCTTCGAGGTGGCAGGCGAAGCCCCTGGGCCCCACTGGCCTCTTTTCCCAAGAACAGGGTGCGTACCGCGCAACGGGAAGGCGCTAAGCAATTCCACCCCCACTAATACCCACCTACACGAGCGTAGTCGTCCAATCAAACAACGCTAACGACCGGGATTCTAGACCAGCAGGTCCTGGTCTGTCCTGTTCGTTCCTTCCCAATCCAATCCCCAGTCCAGGCCCTTTGCACTTTCCAATTCCAACATTGGTTCCTTCCGCCGCTCAAGAGCAAGCTTGTCCAATGCCCAGTATCTACATACTGTACCCTAGTTCGAGTACACTAGGCAGTTTCCAGTGTGTGTTCCCCATCCTGCGCAGGCTTGTTTCCGTTTCTCCCATGTTCATGCGCATGTATGCTGGTTACCGACCCTGCTGCTGTTTCTGTCTTGGTCAAGCCCTTATTGTTTTTTCCCACCCCTCCTGGCCCCTCTCTTACTTATCAGTCAAGGTCCGGCCATCCGTCATCCGCTTCTCGCCCACCCGATCTTCTGGTCCGTTTCTATAGACGAACGACAACCGACGCCGGTCTGCTGTTCGTCTCGCGCATAGGCTCCTCCTCACCCACCCTCACCCTCTTGCCTGTGCCCTACGGGTTCCTGACTTCTACTTTCTGTCGACGCCCTCATGACCTGACCTGTACGAACAAACGCCCTACAGTTCTGCTTCATTCTCACTTCCTGCAAGCACGCTGACGCAAGTTTTGTGGCGAAGATACGCTCCCGTCTTACAGGGCTTGCCGATACACACCACCTCAGCACAATCTACTGGCGTCCGTCTCGACACAGCCTCCTCGCGAGCACAATCCTCACTTTCCACCACTAAAGAAAAGAAAAAAAACCCCACTGGTGTCGCATTCACCCCCTTACTCTCCGACCGCACCAGTTGCGAAATCTACTCTTTATCCTGCATCTTTGCGCACATTCTCGGGCGATCCGGCTTTTAACAGTAGAACACCTCTCAGCCACCGCTCGGCAGTCGAAGCTTTGCCAAGATTGTTGACTTTCACATCCCGCCGATACCCACATCCCTGGGCATCACAGTCAACACAACCTCGTCTCTCCCATCACGCCCGAGACCCCATGCCGAAGGACCTGCAATCTCTGACCAAGGCACCGTTAACCTATTTCCGCGCATTGTGTAGTATCACGCGAATGATCAGCCTTCTCGAGTAACGACAACCCCCCTTCTCTCCTGATATCACTCCGGCGACCAAGGCCTCGGCGCCCTCGACTTCCGCAATGGACCAATCCTCAAAGATGCTCACGGAAGCCCACGAGATATATGCACGAATGGGAGGCTCTACGGGCGACACGGCCACGCGACCGCCTGCATACAAGGGTATCGGTATTGCTCTGGCCGTTGCTTCGGGCGCGTTCATCGGAACCTCCTTCGTGGTCAAGAAAGTCGGTCTGCTAAAAGCCAACGAAAAGTACAACGAAGCCCCTGGCGAGGGCTATGGCTACCTCAAAAACGCCTGGTGGTGGACTGGCATGATTCTCATGATTGTTGGAGAGATTTGCAATTTTGTCGCATATGCCTTCACTGACGCCATTCTCGTCACCCCGCTCGGCGCACTCTCTGTCGTTTTAACTGCCATTCTCTCCGCCATCTTCCTCAAGGAACGTCTGAGCATGGTCGGCAAAGTCTCTTGCTTCCTCTGCATTGTCGGATCCGTCGTCATTGTCATGAATGCACCCGAGAACTCGGCAGTCGCCAACATCCAACAGATGCAAAGCTATGTCATTCATCCGGTATTCCTGACGTACGCTGGTGTCATTCTCATTGGCGCCGCTATCACTGCATGGTATGCTGGTCCGAGATGGGGTAAGAAGAACATGTTGGTCTATATTTCCATCTGCAGTTGGGTTGGAGGCTTGAGCGTTGTGGCGACGCAGGGTCTGGGAGCTGCCATTGTCGCCCAGGCCGGAGGACAAGCTCAGTTCAACCAGTGGTTCACCTATGTCCTGTTGGTGTTCGTCATTGGTACGCTACTGACGGAAATCATTTTTCTCAACGTAAGATCTCCCGAACTTTGGTCTCTTTACACCCGGTACACCATGACTGACGCGCACTGCCGATATAGAAAGCCCTGAACCTGTTTAACGCAGCCCTCGTTACGCCCACTTATTACGTCTACTTTACCAGCACTACTATCATTACCTCAGCAGTCCTATTCAGAGGATTCAAGGGTACACCTACCGCAATCATCACCGTTGTCAACGGTTTCTTGACAATTTGCGCCGGTGTGGTACTGTTGCAACTCTCAAAATCCGCCAAGGATGTGCCCGACACGGCCGTCTTCTCCGGTGATCTTAACCAGATCCAGACAATCGCCGAACAGGAACAGCCCGAAACCGAGCCGAAAGCCGATGCCATCCGTGGGGCCGCTGCAATCGTGCGCCGTTTGTCCTCAGCCAGACAGAAGATGGAAGAGGAAGAGTTCAGGAGGTTACATGAAGAGAAGCTACGAGAGTCTTTGGAGCCTGTCAGTGAGGATGGTCAGCCAATGTATGAATGGGACGGGTTGAGGAGGCGCAGGACCATGACGGTGGGAAGCCGGAGCACCCGCGGAACCATCATCTCGCCTTACCCTGTGCCTCATTCCGGCGTTCCTCTCACGCCGGCCGTGATCCCCCCGATTACTCCCCAGGCCCACCCGCCACTGGGCATGTCTCACTTTCCGACCGAAGAGGAAATGGCGGAGCATGACCGCCCTACAACCCCCGGCATGCTCTCGAGCATTGCTGGCACGATTCGCGAGCGAGCACGGAGCGTCTTGTCAACCCACCAACCTCAGTTCCAGGACCCCAGGATACAAAGCCCTATGCATCCCGTTCCTTTGACAGAGATTGCCGTATCCACGCTCAAGTCGGACGGTGACCAGGACCCGTACTACGGCAAGAGCAGTGAACACGTGTACGGCTTGCCAGCTGACAGCCAGGGCGATTTTGAGTACATTGGCGCTGGCGGTGTCTCTGACCAACGAGGTGCATCTCGGGGTAGCGCTCTCAGTGGTGCCAGCTCGCATCTGGCACCGACCCCACCACCCCACTCAGCGAGGAGACAATTCTCCTTCACGAACGTGTTCAAGAGGCACCACGCCGATGCACCACATCAAGAGGGGGAGGAGCCGTCGCATATCCGACCGACCAGCCGGTATGGTCTCGGCTCACGCGGTTACTCCAGTCCACGGGTCAAGAATGCTACTGAAGAGGAGCGGCTCGGCCTTGTCAAAGGAGACTCTCACTCGATGCCTCCTTTGCGGCGCTATGATGCTGATGAGGAGGACGAAGAAGATCCCTACATTGACGATAAGATAAGACGCGTGGAATCGAGCCCGAGTCCACCGCAGCCTCTGAGATACGGGCGAGGTATCACGACCCCGCCACGAAAACCCAGCGACGGCCGTGACACTGATTTCGAGTCTGAAGCACCGACGCCGCCTCCCCATCGACCGCAGCCAGGCGAAGGCCGGCCTAATGCATTCCTATGAAGCATATGATTAGCATGATTTGGATCAATTCGATGCCGATTACGACATGATGGGATACGCTTTCTTACTTGGATGCCTCGGTGTTCTTCATGAATGTAACAATAATGGACGAGTAGGTACATAGCAGCGTTATAATGGATTGCTCGCTGCAGGCGTACAGTAGATGGATAGGGAGCAGGCCTGTGGCCTGAAACACGGACTTTTTTCGTCGGCTTGCCGGCCATTTGATATATACAGTACAAATACAAGTACGTGACAAAACCTGCCTGAAATTCCATATATTGTCTCAATCTGCAAGCCTCCCTCTTTGGAGGTTTTACTCGCTGCCTTTGACGCATGGTTGAATATGACCGTAGCTAGCCCGTGTGAAACCAAGTAGAGGTGTGCAACGTGCCCTGTTCTTGCGTAACCGTGGAGGTCACAACCAACGCGAGTGTCGAGGCGTCAAGAGCTTTGAATCTAGATACAAAGTCTTCGTGAGCTTGGCGCTCCGTTGGAGGAACGAACTATCGTCCGCGTGGTCTGGAACTGGGAACGCCATCCAACTTACATGCCTGCCACATGTCATGTATCGGTGGAGAACATGTCGCACGGGATTTGCTTCTGGATTCTGGGCAGTGGAGAGATAAGTGTCCGCCTTCTTTGTTCGGGCGTTGTTGGCCAAAACATCCATGGGATACTGTACATCAGCAGTTATCGTCGTTAGATTGGAAGCGAAGTAGATTCTGAAGCATATCGACTTGAACAATCTTCAAGTTTGCGATAGCTGGAGTGGGCTTTGCAGAATAGGCGGACGGTCGAGGTCAGAAGTCTTAACTTTCAAAAGGATGGACACCTATAAGGGAGATATTGTGTCCTATCACAGCTGTACTTCTTTCTCTAGCGATACGTCACGTGTCTTTTTATGTTATGCATGCCAGACATCAAAAGGGAAATCGACTTGCATATGGTCCAAGAAGCCCATATTCATCTTGCACGCGGTGACGATCAGCGTCAGCGATAAAATGGATAAAAGACAGTGCATTGCATAAAGATGGGCATGGTTGCTCGGCATAGTTGGGAATATCATTCTCCTGCTGGCTTTGGTGTCATATCACCGGCTGTTACAAAAGATAAGAGAGGCGTGTAGGAGTTCTTCGATGATTAGTTTGGTGCAATATCTGCAGTGGTGTTTGAACGACAGACGTAGGGAGGTTGCAAGTATACTCAGGCAACATGTTCGAGTGTTACCCCAGTGTCGAGATGACTCCATCTTAGTGACAGGCTTCACAAAACAAGAGTTTGGCATCTCTGGGCTCTTTCCCACTCAATTTCGTTGCCACCCGAGACGCCTCTGCCTTCGTTGAGGGAATATCAATGCCTTGAGAGATTTCGTTTGGAGTCAACCGAGTATATAAAGTCTTCATTTCCGTGTTCACCAGAGCAAATAGATTCTAGGCCAACTTAGAGAAAGGCGATATCGCCCCTTCTTATGGTATGATTTACTTTCTTAGTCGACTCTCCCTTTGGAAACCCCTGAGCTCGACTGACAACATCGCTGACTTCTACAATTCTTCCAAGCCTCTTACAGAAGCCCTCTTATCCATATCGTCTCTTTCCCCCCTCCTTTTCTCTGTGATCATCACATATTGGGATACTCTTCGAACCTTTCTGCAGAGAACTTGCTCTTGATTTTCACATCCCGACTCTCATATTGCTAAGCAATACCTCAATTCCCATTTTGGACATTGCCTCAACCTCTTTGCTTTGAGTGTCCAACGCAAAGAATGGAGACCATCAGCTTCTCCGCTACCTCGTCCAAGGGTAAGGGAGTTATGGTGGGCTTCTGTCTGCTAGTCGAGGTCTTCCTTCGTGGCGTCACTGGTGCCCGCTCTCAACCCGACAGCAAAAAGGTCTTTCCCTTTGAACACAACTGGGACCCCGCCAATCCTCCCCTCTGGTCCATCCGTTCCGAGGATCACGAACTCTTCACCGTCGGCAGGTCCTCCCCTGTCCAGATCCGTGACACCGACGCCAAGACTGCTGGTTTCACGTCTCTCAAGCACACCTGGGACCCCCATAACCCTCCTCTTTGGACTGTCCGCCCTGAAGATCGCCAAAAAGTCCCTGGGCAGCACTATAGTCAAATGGCCGAGGCTTCCAAGAGTTCCGAAGAAACCGATCCTTGTGCGAACAAAGACAAACCTGCGACGCTCTACAAAACTTACGAAAACAACGAGTGCCCTCCCAAGCACAAATTTCTACCACTCGAGAAGGGAATGGGGTTTGCTGACACCTGCGAGGGGTGGAACACAGAGGATTTCCGCAAACACGACTGTATCACGTTTTGCCAGACTTGTAAGTTGATGCCCTTGAGGATTTATGGATTTAAAATAGGTCGATAATACTAATACTTGCTCCTGCCATAGCCACCAGGTTTGAGTGGGCGCAGGAGGTGCCCTTCCCTCATTCTGAGTGCCACTTCCCAATCTCGTGCGGCTTGTCTGAGGGCGACTCAGTTAAATCAGGTTGGAATATGGGTGGGAACGTAAAGGTCCAGTTCATAAAGGCACTGAAGATTGGCGTCACTGGCGGTTATTCTTCTGACTGGTCCGAATCTGAGGGTAGGAAGTTCGACGTTAATCTCACTGAGGGTCAGTGTGGCTACTTCACCTTTGTTCCTGTGAAGAGAATCGTCTGGTATGTTTGTTGCTTGTAAGATTTATCTCTCAAACACCCCATGCTGACTTGTTCTCGTCTCAGTGGTGGCATAACCGAGCCGGACTACCCTCCAAGATGGTATGATTTTGGTTTGTGCAAGGCGGGCCCCAAAAATACCCACCTTTGCGTCGACAAGCTTTGGACAATCAAAAGCCAAAGAATAAAAGATCCTAATCATGAGATTCCCGACGGTACCATCATCTTTGTCTATACCGACTGCTTCAGCCGGCGGCCGCTGCCCATGAACAAGCAGGACCCTGTCTACCACGCCCCTGGTGTTGCCCTACACCACGACGTCCTCGACGGAATTAGACAGAGCTGGGTTTGGAACACCTGTTACATGTGGAATATGGGAGCCGAGGGCAAGCTGTCTCTCTACATCCATGGCTCGGGTTTCAAGGACTCCATGGTTGGTCCGGAGGGCAAAAAGCTCATCGAGAGAGTAAACCATTGTGCCAGATCCGTCGATGGGGTCATATCAGGCGCTGAGTTCAATTGGTACTACAGCGTCTACCCGGGTGAGGATCCCAAGATAACGGGAGCCATGTGGGTGTTCATGGCGGACGTTCCGAGTAACATCAGACCCGGCTGCCTCGGCGATGCCATGATAGAGCTCGGTGGAATTACCAAGGACAAGTGCATCGGAGACAAATTCGAGGGCTGATTCATTTTATTTTTATCTTTGGATGAGGCCTGGCTTTTGATAGGCGGAGATCAATGTATCCCGCCCAAAGAGGGGTGGCGAGGATGCCGTTTCCAACGGACTTAGTAACAAGACAGATGACTAGAAAGTCCCGACCTTGATACAGACAGAATGGGGAACTTGAAATGTCAAATCCTTGTTTAAATTTGATGCGCTATTTTTCTCGATTCGTCCTCGGACCATCACTGTCTAACGTCCGTATTGGATGGACATTAGCGACATCTTTTCTTTTGCTCAGATGAACGCTATGAGAGACACAAGTAAAAATGGGAATCAATGCCCTAGCTCCAGTTTCCTTGAAAATTCTCGATGATGAGTATGTTCAGCACGGGAGTGAGATTTTGCTAGAAGCTGTCGTAGGGGGTTCACGTTTGGATCAATGAAAATGCTTTTGGCCAGCCATTTCCACACAAGAAGAAGAAGGAGGGGAAGAGGAAGAGGAAGAGGAATCCTGACCCACCACCCTTTAAGCAGCTCGGTATAGTGTTTCGTGACATAAGAGTCGATGGCGGAGTATTAGATCTGCGTCCTCCATCTACCCAGGGTTCTAAGTTCGGGGGGCGGGCTCGAGATAAGCGCGCGCTCCCAGAGGACCCGAGGATCGGCCTGGCATGGCAGGCGAAACCAAACCTACTTTCTCCTTTGAAGGTTGTTTCCATGATCGATTCCGGTGGAGGCGAGACACAAACTCCCCAAACGCAATGTATGGCATGTCCAAAGACAACTAGTTCTAGTGAACTGTTACATGGTCATGAAAGCTTCCGGTTTGGTTTTCTCAAACCGGAAGGCTTTCATGTGCCAGGAATCCAGAACTAAGCTCAATCTAGCGAGAAATCTACCTTGTCCATCCTATTCGCTCGTCCTTGACCGGAAGGGCGTGTCACCTCCGTGATAGGAAAGTGTACCTGCATCCAGGAAACTCATCCGATGTTTCTCATGTGGGAGCTTCAGCCAAACCGAATGTGTTGGAAATTGCCTGCCCTTACCCAAACGTAAACAAGAGCTAAATCTGAAAAGGTACGATCCGCTCGCAAAGAAGATTCGTTTCTCGGGTTGTTCTAGAATACCATTAAGAAGAAACATGCTGACGTCCGTGAATCTTTGCGGCCAGCTGCACTCCCCCCCCCCCCCCCCCCCCACATCGACCTCGTAACACTGCATCGGCCCGGTGCGGGCCGTCACAGTTTCCTCTCCGCCCGGGGCAGGCATCTGCTCGAACTTGGCATCGTCGTGATCGATTCGTTTTGTAGACATTGTAGGAACGACAAACGTGATAAGAGTTATAAAGAGGTAGATAAGATATGCCTTGAAATAGTAGTTTCTTTTTGTCCAAACTCCGTAAATTTCCTTGGCTAGATGTACACCATGTTCCGTGTCAATTCCCAGCTACAGGCGACTCTTGGTAATCATGTGGACGTTGACGGGCGTGATAGCCTTGCCCGTCTTGGCAAAGGAAATAATGTTCTCCATGCCCAGCCTCTCGAAGCCCATGTGCGCATCCAGCGACGCACCGGCGTTGTGTGAGAGGACCTCGACGTTCTTCATCTTGATCAGCTCCTTGTTGACGTGGGGCTCGTCGTAGTGGACGTCGAGTCCGGCTGCGGAGAGGTGGCCGCTCTTCAAGGCGGCGACGAGGGGCTCTTCCTCGATGAGCTTGCCGCGCGCAATGTTGACGAGCTTGGCACCCTTCTTCATCTTGGCGATGGCAGCCGCGTCGATGAGGGTCTTTCCCGCGAATGGCGTCGCAACGAGCACGCAGTCAGCCGTGGCCAGCAGGTCGCCTATGTCCTTGTAAAAGGTTGCGGCGGAGGGCCTCTCGAGCTCGGGGGGCATGCGCACGACGTCGTTGTAGAGGATCTTCATGTCGAAGGACTTGTGGGCCTTGTCGGCGATGCGGCGGCCGATCTTGCCGAAGCCAATGATGCCCAGGCTGAAGCCGTTGGGATTCCGGGAGACGGCGCCAAGGTTCTTGTTGGCGTCGACGAAACGGTCGGGGTCGCCGGAGCGGGCGGCGGTGGCGGACCACGAGAAGAGGCGGAAGGCGGAAAGGATGAGCCAGATGGCGCCGTCGGCGACGGACTCCGTGCACGCGGCGGCGGCGTTGCAGTAGACGATTCCTAGAGGTTTGTGTAAGCACGGCGGGCGCCTATAGGAGGGGACTCAAACTAGCGGAGGTGCGACGAGTTAATTCAGCCTCGTCGAGCTCTCCCGGCGCGACTCACCCCGGCTCGCGAGAGTCTCTGTGTCAACCCAGTCAAAGCCGGCGCCGGCGCTGGCGTAGATCTTGCACGACGAGGGCAGAAAAGAGATCAGCTCCTTGTCCCAGTTGCCCATTTCACCCCCCGTGTTCCAGAAGGGGCGGTAGATAGCAAAGAAGTCGCCAAACTTCTTGTCCTTGAGTGCCTGGATGAACTCGGCGCGCGGCATACTGTACGACCGGCGAATCTCGAACTTGGAGGTGAAGTCCTTGTAGAGGTCATGGTTCCATTTGATGTCGTCGCCGAGCTGGAGGACGATAGGCTTGCCCATTGTGAATGCACTCGGAATGTTCTAAAGGCGAGGTTTTGCTGCAGATGGGGGGGGGATCGTGTGCCGAGCTCGGCGTGTTGTGGAGAGGAGAAAGTCGTCAACAAGCCATTTAATCTAATTGATAATTGAACAAACCCCGAGATCCGGCGAGCGTCCCGCTGTGACCTTTCATATCAGACGATAATGGCTCAGGGGGTTGGGTGTCCTGCAGGCTCTCCATCATTTCAGTGATTCCCGATTGGCTTTCTTGGGCTCTGACCGGCGATATTTGCCCCATTCAGATGGCTTTTGGGGGGGGACTGGGGGGGAAATATCCGGCAATAGTGGAACGGCTTGCTTAAACTAGGTAGGTAGAAGCTACCTAGCCACCTAGCTTCCCCTTACCCCGCCCCCGCAGTTGGCCAGGACGCCATGACCCGTGGGGAACGGCTACCGATCCTGGGCACCTGCTGTCAAGTGCCATCACTGGATTCTTCCGAATCCGCCGCCAGAACCCGGGTGCACCGATGATAATGACCGTCAACCGTCTTTCGCCAGGAGATTCTACCTCTGAGACATGGCAATATTTGTTCTAGTCTTGCCGCACATGATTTCCTTCCCAAACTTGTGGATCAAAGTCGGGCCGCTTCCTGACCGTAGGGGATTACTTGTAGTCCCTTAGCATTCAAGAAGTTTCCCAAAAGCTCCTTCTTTTATAGTGTCCTTCGAATAGTTAGTCCAGGAATTACACTGTAATCAGAGCTCACATCTAGGCGCTGTTGTTGCCTGACGGAATGGTGCCATACAATAGACCAAGCCGGATCTCGCGATTTCTGTTTAGTAACGGTGTCAGAAGAGCAAGACTTCCGCAACCTCCGATCGAACAGTGAGGTCAATTATGTATCTTACGGCCTTTCACAATAATAACAGAGGTAGAGCTCTATTTACTAACTGCGGTAGTAGATCTATATAATATAAGGCGTTAATTGCTGCTTGCAATTAACAGCGTCGTTTTACAACAGTTATAAGCCCAGTTCGCTCCAGTGTGCCAGAATAGCACTAGCCCCAGAGTTTAGCGTCTGAGCGTCATAGAGACCCTAAGGGTTTAATTCCCACGCAAGCCTATAGACAGGTCGCATCAACTCCACTAGATAAGTCAGGCAGCAACTAAGAAGCGTTGTGCTAGGTTCCTGCCCTAGGGACGTTAACCTAGGGGGGCTATAATGGCTTCCCTGTCAACCTAGTGATTATGTAGGCAGACAGATCACATAGATAGATCTCTGTGATCTAGGGTGGTATGTTGTAGTGGATCTATATGATATAAGGCGTTAATTGCTGCTTGCGATTAACAGCGTCGTTTTTGCGACACTAACATACAAACGACTGAGTAACCCAGGTTTAAGATTATCCAGGGGTTAAGCTTGTAATTGTGGACCGAATATGACAATACCACCTACTCTGGGGTCAGGGAACTTCAGATGAACGAGTGCTGCAGCCGGCAGTCTTTGTGCCATACATTAGAGAAATCGGCTGTGATGAAATGATTTGTTCCTCCGCATTGCTGCGATAGATAACTCCCCCACCCTATATCCGAACCACCCCCGCATCCGAACCACCCGAAATTCCCGCATTTCCCCTCCTTCATTAACACCACTACCTTTTTCAAACTATCACAACAATTGCTATTTATCGCTAAATAACGCCATTTTTTTAGGATACCTTCTTTAAACTATTATAAAGTAATATTCTAAAGATAAGCTCTAACAGGCCCTCCTAGATATGTAGTTTAGGCAGTATAGCCTCTAGGCTGTTACTTATAGATAGGGTATACTATATGTAACACTTTAGTATTAATACTTTAGTAAGTAAAGTAGGAATACTGCCTTTAAAGATAGGCAGCACTTATCTTAGGCCTAGGAGGATAATCTAGCTGCTTATATTACCCTTTAATAGTCCTTTAGTAGATATATTAACTATTAATAAGTAAAAGGCCTAGTAAAGCGTATAATAGGTAATAGGTATCTTCTTATAAGGAGGAAATAGATAGCCTAATTTATACGCTAAAATCTATTTATTAGAACCTTTTAATCTAGAGTAATTAATACCTAGTAATAAGTAGCCTATTCCCCTAAGGTTATTTAGGATTTCTTTTATTACCTAGGTAGTATTCCTACTATCTAGGGGATTTATCTATCTAATAGATAAAATATAGATAAGACTAGTATTATAAAGGGTAAAAGGGGTAATAGGCTAGTGCTAGGCTTTAAGGTATTATAATATATCTAGAAAAAGTAGCTAGGATCTAGGGTATAGGTATTTATTATTAAGTATATATCTGCTGCTAGTAGCTCCTTACCTCCCTTAGTTATATATAAAGGTAAATTACTTTAGGCCTAGTGGTTCTTATCTAACCTTAATATATATAAGCTATAGTAATTTATAGTAACTAATAATAGCTAGATAACTAATAATACTACCTTTAAATAGCTAAAGAAGGTCTTTATTTTATATACTAAGCCTACCTAGCTAGAGGAGGCTAGACTACTAGTTCTTAATAGGTATTATAGCTATTTAACTATTAATTTTATATAGTAATACTAGTAGTATAATATATATCTACTATTTCTACTGCTATATGCCTCTACTGTCCTTTAGCCTCTAGATATAGCTGTCTTTAGCCTATTAAAGTAGGCCTATTATAAGGAGGTTAGATATTTAGATAATTAGGTTATAGATTTAACTATTACTAGTAAAAAGGTATTCTTAGAGTGTTATTTTAAGGCCTATAAGGTATCTATTATATCTATTAATATTAGTAGTAGCTAGAGGTTATTTAGATTATAGCCTATATATATAAGACGCCCCTTATCTAACTTAATAGTAACTAGGGCCTAACAGAGCTAGCCTAGCTAGCAGACTAGTAGCTAACAGTAAGATAAAGCTAAATCTATTATCCTATAGTTAACGCCTTATTAATCTGCTAATCTATAGTATTAATTACACTAGTTAATCTAGTTAGGTAAGGATAAGTTAGATACTTATACTATTTACTACCTATCTAGAAAGCTATAAAAGGGCTATAATAAGTAGGTATCTAGAGTAGCCCTTTTAGAAAGGCAGGTTAACTTATTACAGGCCTAGTTAAATAATATACAGTCACGTAAGAGGAAAAAGGTCTAATTATCTCCTAACAGCACCTTTACTACTATAGAGGATATAATCTAGGCCTAAAGTCTGGATCCTAGCAATATAGATAGTCTGGATGAATCTGGGGTATCCGAATTGCCTAGCGAGGCCGAAAGTTGCATATGGGTGGGCGGCAGAGATGGTGAAATAAGTGGTGATGGTGGTGGCGATGGTGGTGATGATGGTGGTTCGGATGTGGGGGTGGTTCGGATATAGGGTGGGGGAGTTACTTTCTAGGCATTGAGCCGGCAGCTTACCTACTCCAGCGTGTTCCAGATAAACAGTTGAAACACGCCTTCATTGTATCATTGATCTCTTTCACTTCGATGAGTCTTGAAACTGCAAATATTATACTGACTTCTAGACTCGTGGATTATCAGTCCTGTCTTTACTTGACATAATCTCCATCGGGACTTGGAGAATGTCTGTGTTTGATAGCCCTGAGCCTTCCAGTTATAGTACCTGCTGCAGTCATTAAGCTTAACGATGCGCTGATCACCCACAAGACAAAGACCTGGAGGAGATAGCGGTATCAATCGAGGAATCACATTGCAAAAAAAGCAAAGCTACATTATGTTCCCGAAGGGTTAAGCTTCATTATACCTTGCATGTTAACTTGCGTTCTGTCAAAGTTTGGTTGGAAACTTTAGGAAGCCAGCCTAAAAGAGACTCATATAATGGCCAAGAATACAGGTCATAAGTTAAACCCGGTGTTAGTCGGGCTCAGGCCGCGAAGTCTGAAGGCACATCCCCGGGGGACGGGGAAAGGTAAGAGGAGAGAGGGAATCAGAAGGGGAAATATATTCCTGTCTGCCTGCTGATCATCGTCGTATGTCTGTTACCATGTTCAATGCGAATTCGAAAGCCGCGCAGGTGAACGTCCTGCAGTCGTCTTTCATGACAGGAAGCCTAAGCTGCCACCTCCAGTAGTTCCAGTTGCGTTTTCGAAATCTGTCCTGTTCAAAGAATTTTCGTCAATCGGACCCAATTCCGTCTACGAGTGGAGCAACGCGTGAGCCTTGGTTATGTTAACAGACGGCGGACGAAAATGTTGGATAAAAATACAACAGATCTAGGATTGCAAACAGTTTGATGGAAGCCAAACACAAAAAACAAGTTTCATTTGTTCCCGTCGGCAGTGTGCCGACTCTGCGGATAAGGTAGGGGGGATCAGATTTGAAGGGGCTCATTTGTCCGGGACTCCTTGTTTATATAATACGGACCCGGGGTGATATAGGTCGCAGCGTAACTTTACATGCCATTATGTACAATAGGGTGGTTTGAATGCATCCGTGAAAGATCATGTGCGACAAATCAGTATCTCTTTTGGCACTTTGCCATAATCGAACTAAACAAAACACTATATCTCAGGCACTGAGCCTAGGTAGTCAAATATCTTTTAACATTATCGACGATCTACCGTAGGGCAAAGAGAGCGCTTCGGACCTATTCAGTCTCATTTTAGCCGTTATGAGCCTAAATAACTCACGCCCCCATGCCTTAGTCCATTTTCCCCAGCCGTCCCCCAGCTGCAATTTCCGGGCTGGCCTCTCCCAGGTGAATATTTTGCTCCACACCATATGTCGATACTGCATACTATAGTAGCTACGGTAGCGGCCGTTGCGGACCGCAGCCATTACCCTGCCAGCCTGCTGACCGAGGGATCGCTAACACGCTCTAAATAACTATTGCGGCACTTCGGCACCCCTCGTATATTACACATCCTTGGCTTCAGCGAGCCTATTTGACCTTCCATGCTTAGGTTGCGCAGTGTTGCACAACATTGATTTTTTTATGTAGGTACTCATATCAGCATCCAGTTCGCTTCGTGTTTGTCCCCTGGCTCCGGTGGAGAAGATAGTTCACGCTCGGCAGCCAAATTCGGTAGTGTGTCTATAGCAGAAAAAGCTGAGTTTACTGACTATTAGATGGATGCGTCACGTTTGCAGTGGCTGGTAAAATCGAATATAAGCCCCTCCCTGGTCACCACGGTCCCCCAACCCTTTTTGTCTCTACTCAATCGTTACCATGCCTTTGTAAATACACATAACCAGTCACTCTTTTGTATTTTAGAGCCTCATTCGGAAGCTTACCATCATGGCTCACGCTATGGCAGCAATGCTGCTCCTTGGAGCGATTGTTCGTCCGTCCTCTTGTTCCGCTTTTCTCAAGAAACGGGGCGACACCAGCTTGCTGCCTAGTTACGACTACATTGTTGTCGGCGCTGGTGCCAGTGGACTCACTGTTGCTAACCGACTTTCTGAAGACCAGAGTACGCCTCCACTCCTACGCTAAAGGGCATTTTTATCTGGTATAAAAGTTAACTGGTGGTAGGTGTAACTGTCCTTGTCATTGAGGCCGGTGAACTGTAAGCCGCTCCAAGCTAGAAGCACTTTATGCACAGATTCTGATCTGGAATCTTTAGTGACGCAGGCGAGGATATCGTCAAGATACCCGCGCTTGCGGGAGGGGCTATTGGAACAAAGTACGACTGGAACACGACCTACGTCGCCAATGACGCGCTTGGTGGCCGAGTCGTTCCCATTCCTCAAGGAAAGGTTGTTGGCGGTTCAACTAAACTTAATCGAATGGTATTTGACCGTGGGTCAAAATCCGATTACGATCGTTGGGAAAGTCTCGGGGCTTCGGGGTGGAACTGGGATACCTTGCTCCCCTACTTCAAGAAGGCAAGATGAATTCTATTCGTTTATTTACTTTGATCCGGTATCAATGCTAACGTCGACTCAGAACGAAAATTTCACGCCTCCGATCCCAGAGATAAAGTCTGAATGGGATATTGAGGTCGACGCCGCCGCACATGGCAATAATGGACTAATGCAGGTCACTTATTCACCATTCTTCTGGCCTACTACCAGTTAAGCTTTCCCCGTAGTTCTTATTTGTTTAAACACAGCTAATCTAACAATCTTCTTTCAGAGTTCATGATTGACGCTGTCAAAGAGCTTGATATACCTGTCGCCAAGGACCAGGCAAACGGAGGCCCTATCGGTGGTTACTTTTGCCCCCACAACCTAGACCCTAAGACAGCGACTCGTTCATCTGCCAGGGAGGCCTATTACGACAACTTCACTGGGCGCCAAAACCTCCACCTTCTCACTGGGCGTCAAGTCACAAAAGTGGTCACCGATGGCGTAGGAGACTGCGTCAAGGCAACTGGAATAGAAGTAAGCTGCGTCAAGATACGATGGAAGGAGTTGTCAACTGACTCGCCTTCCTGTAGTTCGCTGCCAGTAAAGATGCGCAGACTCAGACGATCGGTGCGGACAAAGAAGTCATTCTTGCAGCTGGAACACTCCACACCCCTCAGATCCTTCAGGTTTCGGGTATCGGTGACCCCGCCCTCCACGCGAGCATCAACGTATCGACTGTCGTCGATCTCCCAGCCGTTGGACAGAACCTCCACGACCACGTCTTCTTGGCCGTGGTCAACACAAGTAAGACCTTATATCATCAAAAAAAGAAGAGAAAAATATTTAGATTAAATCCTGGGACTGACATGAAACCATAGTCAACACCAGTCTTCCTGTGTACTCATGGTTGCAGAACAATGCGACCTTCGCCGCCGATGCCCGAGCCCAATACGATAGCCACCAGAATGGCCCGTTGAGCTCTCCTACTGGCGATTTCCTCGCCTTCCTTCCACTTTCCACCTACTCCAAGGCAGGCCAGGCTCTCAGTTCCCAAGCTGCAGCTCAAGATAGCATCGCCTTTCTGCCGCCGGGAGCCCCACCTGAAGTTGTGAATGGATATCGGGCACAACACAAGGTTCTTAACGAGCGTCTTCTGGCCAACGACTCCGCTCTTCTTGAGATGATCTGGGCAGACGGCACAATCATTCTCGGTCTTCAACACCCTTACTCTCGAGGGAGCCTTCGTGCTGCCTCCCCTAGCACCTTTGATGCCCCCGTCGCAGACTCCGCCTTCCTCAAGAACCCTCTAGATCTTTCTTTGTTAGTTGAAGGGGTTAAGTTTACCCGCACTCTGGTCGGCACTGAGTCTGTCAAGAGTCTGCAGCCCTTCGAGGTTGTCCCAGGCGCCAATGTTACCACTGACGATGCAATCGCCGACTTTATTCGCCAGCAGAGTAGCACCCTGTATCATCCCGTCGGCACTTGCAAGCTAGGCCCGAGAGAGGAGGGTGGCGTTGTAGACACCGATCTGAACGTTTACGGCATTGAGGGTCTGCGCGTTGTCGACGCGAGTATCATACCTCTGTTGCCTGCGTCACACCTCATGACTACGGTTTATGCTGTCGCCGAAAGGGTAAGTTATTTGCAGGTTTGAACTCGGTAATACTTTATCGGCGCTAATTGTCATCCGCCTTAGGCTGCAGATATCATCCGAGGCAAGACGGCATAAATTGGCGAGACGTACATAGCTGAGAAACAGATTGAGCAACGAGCTTTCATTTAATTTTATGTCAACTCCATGCGGAGCAAATGGGGTGTCGACCTTCTCATGTTTCTGCGCAATCCACATTAGCTTAATAAGGCATGCTAACAGACAATTATTAGATTATCTTTTCTCACCTTTCGTCTTCAAACGATATCAGATCTCAATTTCAAGACAAGCATTCTGTCACAATGTTTTGTTGTCTTGACTGTACTCCGTAGAATTGATATCAAGAAGCAAATTGAAAAATGAAAACTATTGTGGATATTATCTGATAGCATTTGGTGTTCGAGCTATACACTGTCTAAAGTCAAAGATTTACCAGTGATCTGAGTCAGACCAAAAGAGGGCAAATATGGCAGCTTTTTTATCTAGATAAGATGTAACCTATGCCAAAGCGGCGAGACTATACTACGACATCCCGGGCCGAAGGAGTATCGAATAGCTGTGAGTTTTCTTGGACAAAGCCCTGTTGAAGTTATCTTTTATAGACGGCGACAGTAAAGGACATCAGACCCTATCTATCGCAATCCAGCGTGCTCCGATGTCCTCGAAAGCAAAGAACTTACTATCTCACCACTACTATACTACTTACAAGCTTACAAATCAGTTTAGAGGCCTATTTCCCTTAAGTTCTGACATTTAAATTACAAATTTTGTTGCGTTACATCAGGATCACTTGAGAGTACATGGCCACTGGTAACTAAGTCCTTTTTTAGAGAATCGGGGAGGCCTGGTTTCGAATACCGCAACCAGTCCATCTACTTTTTTGTTCCATGAGCGACGCGCTCTAGTAAGTGGGTTGGTATCTTGTCACACTAGCCGCGTCTCATAAGTGTCTTATTGGCCATACTTTTGAGGCTATATCTATGTAGGCAGGTAGGCTATCAAGCTCAACATACTAAACAAGTCGGACACGAATCGCTATTCTCTTACATTATGAAATGTTGAACTCTAGGCTTGGATTCAGACATTTCTCAAATGTCGCAACTGCTTCATGTCAGTTACTAGTTTCTTAGGTCTCAGTGGGAACCATCATCACTGGTTGGCGATTAATAATGCGCCGTAAAATAATATCTTTACAGGAATACAGAATGAAGGCCGTTACTCGCACTATGCGGAGCTTGAGTGGTAGCAATGCCTCGCATCACAAGGCTGAGCGCCGTGTATAATGAATAGTTACATTTTGCTGCATACATGTATCGATATCGAGAAAAGCCTAGACGAGGACCGCTAGTTGGTTGAAACTCGGTGTATCGGTAGTCCAGATATAAACCACACCCCCCTGATTGCTATTGGATCGCAAAGGATCATTTCTTCAACTGAGTCCGACTTAGTGTCTCATTTGCAATCAGTCCTATAACGCCGTGCTATGCATTTGCGAGAGAAAAACTGTGTCTTCAACATGGACAATGGATGGGAAGGCTTATGATTAGATCACCAGTCAACCGCCCAGCCATTTTGTTCGAGGAATTCTTCGCACGCCTGCCTGAGACCAAGATTGGGCCTGAGCTCCGACGGCAAGAGGGGCTCACGGGTGAGGGGGTCGCTAGGGTGACGACGCAAGTGCTCCATGATGGATGCTCTTTCATATGACTTTCCGGTTTTGGTCTGCACGCATGTTAGTTGAGGCCATTCGCAGAAGCGACGTTAGAAGCTGACTCACAATAACCGGGTCAACCATGACACCGAAGCTGATATCGTCGATAGCCCACTCCGGAACCTCCCGCCTTTTCTCCTCCGCAGATCGGCTCTTCTCAAAAGTGTCCCTCAAAATGGCGATCTTCTGCTCCCACTCAGCCTCGATCTCCCTCTTCTCCCCGTCGTCCACGGCGTTGGCGATAGCCTGTTCACGCTCCTTCTCCATCAAGTCAATGACCTCATTTTCTAGGTGGCGCGCTTCTCTGGTGCGTGTCTTTTCCATCCAATCCCACCGCTCTTTCTTTGCCCGAAGGACCTGTGCGGTGATGGCAGCTAGCGATTTATCACCAATCTGCACACAAAGCTGATGGGCCTTCTGGGCGTTTGTGAGGGCCGAGTTGTAGTCTTTCAAAGCCAGCTGTGCTTGGGAGAGGTAGTAGTGGGCCTTGAGGTTGTCGGGGGTGAGGCCGAGGCACGATTCGCAGTCGGAGACGACCGCGTCCCAAATTTCGAGCTTGAGGCGCGCCATGGCGCGGTTCGTGTACAGAGCGGGGTTTTTGGGGTCGGCTATGATGCTATTGGAGAGGAAACATTAGCACCGTGATTGATCCTAGTGCCTTTGTAGCTTGGGAGGTACGCAATAAGGGCACCAAGTCGGAGGTTTGGTCGAAAGTGTCCGATCGAAGGAGAAGGAAGGCTTACGCTTTCGAGTACAACGCCTCTGCGCCGGCATAGTCGCCTTGTTGGAAGTGGCGGTTGCCCTCTTCCTTGAGTTGAATTGACCTCGACATTGTGTGTTGTGTGTGAGTTGCGATGGAGAGTTGGGAACAAATGCGGCGGTTTGGCTGAGTAGTGTATTTGATGATGTCGAAGTATAAACCGGATCGACAGCGGAATCGAAACCCGGAGAACGCAGCAAGATTTGCCGGACTGGGGGGGGGGGGGGGGGGGGGGGGGGGGGGGCCCCCCAAAAAAAAAAAAAGCCCCCCCCGGGGGCCGGTGGGGGAAAAAAAAAAAAAAAAAAAACCCCCCAAAAGGGGGGGGGGCGGTCTTCAAAAGCGGGGAAATTTTTCTTTTGGGGGCGGGGGTTTTGGGGAAAAAAAAGTTTTTGAAAACACCCCGGGGGGGCAGGGAAACATTGTCGTGTCGGTGGAAAAATAAAACAGCGCGGGAGAACCGCCCGTGCGCCCCCCGTTTTTATTCAAGCTCTGAGAGAAATGGAGGTCTTTGAAGAAAAAAAAAAACTCC